GTTCTTGGTGTACTCCCCTTGGCCCTCCGACAGGCCATAGTATTTGTTGGTTCGTAACAATATACCTCGAAATCTTAAGAACAAAGGTTTTTTAATTACATTAAAAAGTATTACTATGTTGTGATTTGAGGTTTAATATAAGGTTAAAATTAGAACAAATTAATTTCGTAATCGTTTATTGGGTTAAAAGATTAAATCTAATATGAAATATATATTAAAATATAAAGATTAGCTTATTTATTAATTTCCCAGTTAATAAAGCCTTGTTTATTACTTTAAAAGCTTTTACTTTAAAGCTCTTACCACTTTTTCTTTTCTTTAACCACTGATTATAATTAAATATAAGTACTTAACAGCCGTTATTATACTTATACGGTACTTTATATCCTATGTAAATTATCTATTTACTAATTTTAAAAGCTATTAAGCTTTAAATAAAACCTCGTTACGTCGATATTTACGCCTGTTAATTAAGGCAAGAAGTTTGAAAAAAAATCCTTCAAATATTATAAATCGAAACAGATAAAATAGTAGCGGATGGTCTTATAGAGGCTTGATTAAAAAACAATTTTTAAAAAAAAGAAATCAGCTTAAAATACTTGATATCTTTTACTTTTTAAACTGAAAGAAATATAACGAGCGGCTTTAAAAAAAGATTAGTAACTTAAAACGTATAAGTGGATTATTACCGCGATTAAAATGTTTTATAATATATAGAGACTTCGAATTTTGCTTTAAATAAACCTTATTATATATATTAAATAACCTTATAACATTTTAGAAAGGTGTATTAAATAGAATAGCAGCTATAATTGCGTTTAAAGAGGTAACAGTGTAATAACAGGGCTTTTAAGGCATTTCGGTATGTTATAGCACACTAGCAGATTCTCTACCTTTATAACAACTACTAGAAGATCACCAGATTTATCAGAATACCACGTTTTATACCATATGAACCATCTACGCACTGTTTGACATTTTCTTCCTCTCCTCACCCTTGTGGCATTAGCGACGCAAGCATTGGCGAAATGCGCCGCGAATGACTGCCTTCGAGGCTGACCATGTAGCACAATCTTAAGCAGTATCGCGGTGACAACCACAGGCACTACGACCAGGACGACCACGGAGACGGTGACCCCAGCGCCAAAGCTGTCGAGAAAATGGCTGTAGCAACACAGGTCATCTACCTTCTGATGGGCAGAGCTATAGAATATCGCTCAGAGACAACTCAAGCTCCGACAATACTGGAATATGCGTCCTCTTGTGACTCGTCGGCCGCCTACGCGGCGGCCTGCTCTTGTCTAAACATCTCTTCAGATACGATAACCACGTGAACACCAAGTGTGACGAAGGTCTTGCGAGTGAGACAACTACAACTGCAGTGGCAGTTGAGACTGCTCATGCCACTACCATCCGACCCCCCGAACCGGCACACCCCCCCAACCGGCACAGCCAAACCCCACAATCACCACCAAAAGTCCCCTTACTCACTTACACGGATTACAGCCCTTTTTGAGGGTATCTAGACTTTCTTTAGATAGTTAGATAGCCCTTTTCTTGGTGTTTAGCGGAATATAGATTATTTAATTGCTGGGCCATCGGTATCGGCATTTAGCAGCCTCCATGCCCCGCCCTTAAATGCAAATTTGCTGTAGAATTCTCTCTGTGAGCCCCTGTCCCTCATGCACCACAGCATCCTGAAGCCAGCCACGATGCCTCCGCCCACGTATACAGAGGATGATGTGGTGGATGCCTACCTAGACGTCACAGATAATGGCATGTCCGTGAGAAAATCCAGCCAAAAATACGGCGTCCCGGCCAGCACGCTGTCAGCACGCATAAGGGGGAGAGGGACTAAAACGGAGGCTCACACCACCGAGCAGAGAATTTCTCCCGAGCAAGAAAGCAAGGTAGCAGCCTGGATATTGCGCCAGGAGACTTTGGGGCTTGCCCCTTCTCACTCAGCCGTCAGGGAAATTGTGGTAGAACTCTTAAAAAGAAAGGGGGATTTCGCACCACTTGGGAACCACTATATGGACAGCTTTAAACGACGCAACCCTACCATTCAGACTAAAATCGGCAAGCGAATGGAATCCGCTCGGTTTAAGGGGTTTACCCCTAAGTCTGTGAACTGGTTCTTCAACATCTTGGAGGACTACGGCTGGGTGAAGTCAGAAAATACGTACAATGTCGATAAGGGCGGCATCATGTCGGGTTTTGGTAACTCTTTCGAGCCTCCTATCCTCACAGTCAATTAACTACCCTTATAGGCATTGATTCCCTAGTTCTGGGAAGTTCTGAGACGAGGAAAGCTTTCCTAAAGAGCCCCCAGGGCCGCTCGTGGACATCTTTCATCGAGACCATTTCAGCTACCGGTAGAGTACTCAAACCAGGCTTGATTTTCAAGGGAAAAGATCTTCAAGCGCAGTGGTTCCTCGAGGAATTCCAGAAGATAGCCGACTGGTACTATATAACGTCGGAAAACGGCTGGACCAGTAACGATATCGCCTGCCAGTGGCTTGAGCACGTTTTCATACCACAAGTAGATGAAATTCGTGGCCAGGAGCAGTGGGAACCAGTCCTTTTGATCCTAGATGGCCATGGTAGCCATACCTCCGTACGTACACCAATTTTTTCTATTTTATTTACTGATTATTTAATTTATTCCGATTTAAACAGCAACTGACTGTAGAAAGGACGAATTTATGATGCGGTGTTATTTTGCCAACATCTTGCTATGCTTTTTCCCAGCACATACCAGCCATGGAATGCAACCATTGGATAACAGCCCCTATAACGCCCTCAAGTCCTACTACCAGAGATTCCTCACCCAGTTAAATTCTCTGACTGATTCCTCTCCTGTTAACAAGATCAACTTTATCCGCTGTTATAGCAAGGCAAGGGACATGGCGTTTACGCCAAAAAACATCCGCTCGGGCTTCCGAGTAACGGGGTGCTACCCAATCAGCCGCAAAAAGTGTCTAGACCATCCAGAAATCCAAGAAGACAAGCGAAAGACCCCCGAGCCGGAAGAACAGGAAGACTCGGAGCCAGAGGACCAACAGACCCCTACCACGAGCCGGCAAATCCGGGATTTCGGGAAGAACCGATCCCCAGCCACTCGGCTGAAGTTCCGGAAGATCTCCCATGCCTTTGAGAACCAGGAGACGGAGCTGGCCATAAAAGACCAGAAGATCAGGGCCCTGGAGGCTGAACTGGAGCGGCTACGACCCAAGAAGAGGAAGAAGATACTAAATCCCAACAAAAAGTTCATGACAATGGTAGAAATACTAGCCCAGGGTGGTAATCCGTTAGTTCCGGTTGCTGTAGAGTCTTCTTCTTCTTCTTCAGAGCCGGAGGTTGTTGAAGACGGGGTGGAGGAGGACGAGGAGGTTGCGGACGCTGAGGAGGCTGTAGAAGCCCCTGTTGCAGAAGCCCAGATGACTATATCTGGGCGGTCAATCCGGGCGCCGGCTAGATACGTCGATTGAGCAGCCAAAACACCACAGAATGATAATTTTGCTGATTTTTTCGACCCTATACAGCCTCAAATGCGTGTAAGTGAGTAGGGGGGTCTTTTGGTGGTGGTGGCGGGGTTTGGCTGTGCCGGTAGTGGGGGTGTGCCGGTTCGGGGGGTCGGATGGTATGAGCCACATCGCGGCGAGCAACGGCTCAGCATTGTTCGGAAGCTCGACCAGCCTGAAATCTGGGAATGCTACAGTAGGCGACCTGAATGCGACGACTCCTAAGGTTGCTTCGAGCTCCAGTGTCTTGTGCAACTCGAGTCTCGCACTCGTGGCTACAGACACGATATTGATCAGCGATAAGTATCAGCTGAAGAGACCAGGACTGGCCGTCGATGCATCGAGCACTGAGCCTAGCTCAACGCTCGCCAGTGATTCAGCCTTGGAAACACCACTGGGGTTCAGCAACGCCACGGATGCGTTGCCGTTTTCAAACGCGACAAGTACAGCCCAATTCCAGAACTCGACAGCTGCTCCGACGCAACAGGATGCCACAAGCACGGCGTCAGATGCGGTCCAGGTTTTGAACGCGACCAACATGGCCGCACGTCTAACCGCCACGAGCTCTGCACCGTTCCTCAGCTCCACGGCAAAAGGGCTCGGCAATGTGACCAGCACCCGCCTTGGCCCTCGACGCGACAAATGCCGCGCCATTCCTCAACCACACAGCAGGTACACTGGCCAACGCCACCAGCACGGCGAAGTTTCCAAATCGAGGCTGCGCCACGGCCCTACGCAAGCTACAAGGCGGCGCATCTAGGAGATAGAAGAGAGGTTTTCTACGGACGACGGGTAAAGGTTTATCAGATTAAATACATAGACACTCAATGATACTGCTGCATATACTTACTGCAATATATTCCCAAGCAGTGAGTTTGTACTTAGAACCTAAATAGTTATTTCATTCATTGGGGTTGTTCCCACGCAATCAGCCACGAGCCATTCATACCAATAGATTCACCCTTGAATCTCCATTTGTGAACGACCACAACAATGTACGTATCTCCGTCAATGTGCCTAAGGTACCTAACAATCGACATTGAACATATAGAAACTGCCTAGCTGTTCCCAAGATTCAGTGGATGAGTAATCTGTGCAGGTGGAGCTCCATTGTACATGTATAGACCATTAGCGCATTTATTGACATTCTCTGCTGATCTGAAAGCCTACAAGTATGTGTGGTTCTTCCCCTCACCTGTCCACCACTTCTTCATCTTGCATACACACATTCTCTGGATACGCATCTCTGATTACTTTCCTCTGTACTCGAGGTTCCATCGCGCGATCTAACACTCAGTTTCATTACTACACTGGACAAGGCAAGTATATCACGTTGTAATACATCAATTCCTCTTGTTGGTTTATCCTGACTTCATCAATTCTCCTGCCCCTCTTGCTTCTTCTCATCCTCACTTATCATTTATTACACTAACTCTCTCCTTTGTTACGTAGATGGCTTCTGCCAATGACACATCGATGGCTCCTCTTGACGAAGTCACTTCAGCCATGACGTCCCTTGCCTTGGCCAACCCTTCCACCCTCATGAGTCTCCCGATCGAGCTCCGATGCAAGATCTACCTGCGAGTTTTCGACAACGACGGAAAGGTTCACGTACTCAACTGCCGCCCTGACCATCGACCTAAGAGACACCGGAAGAGACACAAGGGGAAGATGACCGTCCCGCCTCTCTTGCTCGCCTGTAAGCTGATTCATGCAGAAGGTACAGACATTTTCTGACAGAAGCGACTGTTGTGGCTGAACAAACTCACCTACAAATGGAAAAGCTCCAAGTTTCTTGCTTGGTCGATGACTTTGCCTCTGCTCATGCCGAAGCTGAGCCAAACTGTTGTTACAAATATCCGTCATATTCGCGGCCAAGATATCACTCAATGGGCAAAGATGAACAAGGGCCGGGCCAGATGGCTTCTTCGTCAGCTTCCCAACCTCAAGACATTCCGCTTTCACGGCGCATGCCATGCCTATCCTTTCTGGAGCGGTAGCGAGTGCGACGAGGGTATCATAAAGAAGGCTCTCGAGTACTGTGGGGGAGATTTCGGCACAGTCAACGACACCCGGGACATCATTAGAAGCTTCCCTCTCAATCCCAACACTTGCAAGATTGAGTTCCAGATGGTCATCGTCTGGACAGCCATCGTCCCGGATGACCACGTTGTAAGTTGCGCTCCCTGATTGATCCAAACTTGCTCGAGAGTTTCAATTAACGCCACAGTCTTAAATTAGGGCTACGAGATACACATGAACCTAAACACCGGAAAGCACAAGATCGTGCCCAATCTAGAGGATGATGATGATGAGTTCGAGCTCGGTCACTGGGACGAGGGAGACGAGGTCTGGAAAGAGCTGCGTGCAATCCAGCGATCGGTGAACTGCAAGTCATCAAGAGTATGGATCCAGCACCACCCCCGGCCAACAGGAGAACGACATCTACTGGCTCGTTTTCGAGCTGACCATGCAGGAGAAAACTGCTGAGAGATAAGATGGCAGCCCTGACCCTGGTGGTCGAAGGTATCAGCAAAATGGCAGGCTTTGCAGACAATGTTAGATGGAAAGGGAATACGAATATTTCCGGACTTTTTGCTCCTGGTGCGACGATGGAATAGTGATCTGGTGACATGAGCGTCACAAAAAAATGAGATTAATCTTACATGGTTTGCTCTCGGTGATAGAATAGCCGTGCTTGACCGCAGCGAAATATGTCTCGTTTGGCATCATTGACCAGCTGTTGATGCATATACTTCCCTCATTACCAACAAAATCTCTCAAAAAACCCCGCAGAAGCGGAACTGGATTAAGAGCCTCCAACACCACCACCACCAGCGCGCCGACCCCAACCCAACCCCAACCCGGACCCTCGACCGCACCTGCGGCACGACCTCGGACCCCTTCGCCGTGCAAGTCGCGCAGCCGGGCGGCCTCTCCGACCGCTGGTATTTCAAGCTAAGCGGCGACGCCATCCTTTTCACGCCTATTATCCTATAGCAAACTTATCCATTTACGATTTATTGTATTTTTTTAAACTCTTCGACTAGAGAAAAAAAAGCCACACTTAAACACTTTAAAAGATAACAAAAAGCAAAGCCCTCGTCCTATACGCTAAGTTTATCAAAATAAAACGCTATAAATCATCTCAATCTACCAAACCTCCAACTACGGATTGCGTCCATAAGCTCAGGCCGATACGTCATACGCCGAACAGCATGCGCGCAAAGCCTTGCCCATAAAGCCAGACCCTGCTCGAAATACCTTGTTTCCTCCTTCCAGCAGACTCTTCGACGCAATTCAGCGTCGAGAAGAGCGGGCACCTGTGCGCCGTGGGGCGCGTGGGCTCGCAGGGAAATGCCGTGATCGCCATCGCGGAGAACGGCACCGATGTGACGGGCAGAGCCGTGTACTTCGTGGATCCGGCGGTGCTGGCTGATATCGATGTGCAGGGCTATACTGTACAAGCCACTGTGGATCCCAGCCACTGGATCCAGCCACCAGTACCTTATCGGATCTCCTGTCATCCAGGGCGTTCTACGATAAGGTTACCTGGGATGGCTGTCCCAGGTCAACCCACTGTAATTTAGGTATTTAGATACTTCTCGGATGGGATCCCTTCCCATCCGAATTTAACCAAACACCAACCAGAATACAGATCATCCCAACCGAGACTTGTGATAGATCTCTGTTCTGGTTCCGCTACCACAAAGGCACACCACCGTGGCGTTCAGGGAGGTGGCAGTGCACCAACAAGGCCAATAGGGCATTTTTAGGCCACCTAGCCCACAGAAGGATTTTCACAGACACACAACACAAAAACACAACACTCAAATCAGATCAACCATAATACACGCTGTTTGACATAATGCGATGAGCTGTGACGTTGAGGTGGAGTTGGCGTGTCGCGAAGGCGTTTTGGGTTGGCTGTGGGCTAGGGTTGGATATTAGTAGTGATGGAGACGGGACGGCGGTGGTGGGTGGGTGGAATTGTACGGGTGTGACACTGGCGGCTGTATACTCGTGAGCAAGAGTGCCGCCTCTCAAGTAAATTCTCCAAGTCAATGGAGTATTCAACTTGGTTCCCGAAAGGCTTCAAGGGCCATCCTGACGGCCGTATCGCCAACGGCTTCTCTGAATGATGTCTGGGGACGTCTCTAATTGTAGGCTGGGAGGCAGTACTATTCGACGTTCGAAGGAAATAGGGGGGTGGACCGAAGTGTCGCTTGCGAACCAATAAGGGTGCGATGGTTCCTGACCCGAACACAAGACCCACACACATCCCGTCGGTACCTTAGGTGTTGATGAGATGGAGACGTCATGTGGGGAAGTACATGTAAGCATAGGAGGTAATGGCCAGTTCGATGAAGTCATGAGCCCGCGACCAGACATCTTCAAGCTGATCCAACTCAACAATCACATTTCGAACCACTTAGAAGACACTCTTTCTCTTCGCCACATAAATAACTACGTACCCGAGTCATCATGCCTCCCTCTGGATTCGCAGTCCTCATCGGTGCCGGTATGTCTCCATCTCAAGTCCAACCACCAGTGAGCTTACATGCGCCAAAGGTCCAACATCCGGCGCCGGCATAGCCCGCGTCCTCGCCAACCCATCCCAGGGTAACATGGCCGTGGCCCTCCTAGCACGCAACAAAGACAACCTCACACAACTCTGCGAGGGCCTGCGCCAGACCTCAGACGGGGGCGTCTTACACCATTCCCCTGCGACACTTCACCCACAAACCTACAGCGCACCTTCACCGAGATCAGCCAGCATGCCGCCTTCCGGGACCTAAAGCTGAAGGTGGCCGTGTTCCACGTCAAGCACGCGCTCAAGAGACCGTTCCTGGCGACCACGCCCGACGAGTTCGAGCGCAACGTCGCCGCCTACACGACGGGCGCGTTCTCCTTCGCGCAGGAGGCGCTGAAGCTGATGTATGCACAGAACGGCGGCGAGACGAGCCTGGCTGAGAATCCGGCTAAGAAGGGGACCATCATCTTCACGGGCACTCTGGGCGCGATGCGCACGAACGCCGAGTTCAACGCTTACGGGGCCGGAAGAAGTGCTGTGCGCATGATTGCGCAGGGGCTGGGCAAGGAGCACTCGGGTAAGAGGGTTCACGTTGTGCATACTATTGCCAATGGCGGCATTCAGGACGTCTCGAAGGACGAGAACGAGGATGTCAGGGTTGGCAAGAAGATGAGTGCCGAGGTTAGTAATTGCTCCCGAGTGGTTTGTTCCACAGATACCCCAAGCACACAAGTGGAAAAAAATACACATAGTTCACGCTGGCTAACTCTCCTCTTTTTAACACAACAGAGCGTGGGAAAGACGTATCTGTGGCTGAGCCAGCTGGAGCCTGATCTGTGGATCGATGAGCTGGACATGCGACCAGCTCAGGAGAAGTGGTGATGCCCAGATGCACTTTCGCCGCCTAGATTTGACAAGATAGGGGCGGATCAACAATAATACACATGATAGCAAAGCGGATCATAATATGCATGTTGCTACGAGCTCGAACCTCCTCCATTTTGGTTCCCTGGTGGTGGGTCGACCGCTCCTTGCTCGTATTCGTATCGTGAAGCTCGAAAGTCGTATCACCGCGTCACCAAAAGCAAGTGACGCCTCTGAGAACCTCTCTGGCGGAAGGCGAAGCCTCTTTTACTCGAGATATGACTGGCTGATCATCGATTTGACTTTCCAAGCCAACGAGAGTCGAGACCGGAAGAAGCTGCGAACCTAGGTACCTATTGGTGTTTGAACTCTAAATTGATTACGAACGCGTTGGAAATCACTACCCTGGCTGTATGCTGGATTCTTCTCTCCTCGTGATGGCTGACTGGTAATATTACCGTGGACAATGACTCAGCCTTGTTCGCGTTCAAGCCTTCCTCTGCCACCGTGGACGCCATCCGTGGTTAATGTTTTGGTAGATTGAGATGATTTGTGGCGTTTTATTATGATAGACTTAGCGTACAGCACGGGGGCTCTGCTTTTTGTTGTCTTTTAGGTTATTTGGGTTTGGCTCCTCCCTTCGGTCGAAGAGCTTAAAAAATAAAACCAAATCGTAGATCACACGTGGACCTGCCCCAACAGGACTAATGACGAGGAAGGAAGTCTAAAGGATAAGGTTTCGTGACTGACATGAGTGAGTTCAGGACCTGCCACTACATAGATGGATGTCTTTCTCCTCCCTTCACTGTCACCGTCTTCTTCACCAACACCACACATCCTCCACAACCTCCAAGGCCGAGCTTCTTCCACTTTTGGCTTATATCAATCGACATCTCTCGCCTCGTTCTTATCCACGGTATCAAAAAGGCCTTCTGCAGCACTTTTTGGAACACCATCACTTACAGGTACGTACGAATGAACACAACATCAGTTGGCCTGAGAGCACAAAGTCGCCTCGCCACGGTCGAAGTCATGCGTCAGCTAACGTCAGATGAACCCAGCTCCCCCGAGATCATCAGTTCACTGTCCTTATTCTGTGCCGCGAAGACAGAGCGCACCGTCCAAAATGGCTATCAACCGACAATTCGATGGTCCTGCTTCATATGCCGCCCCATATCCCGAGGAGCAGGCCGATATGGACCCCGATTCCGGCATCAGAGATCGTTCCAAGACAGAGCAACTCGACGGTGGTGAGGTGGGAGCAATGCTGGCGGTACGAATGCCCCGGACCAAAGCAGCGAAGGTACTGTGGAAGGTGACCGCGTTTCCGCGGCCGGAGACACAGAGATGAGCGATGATGAAGACCAAGACCCCAATACAACCGGCGGTCTACTCGATGGAAGATTTCCCCTAGTCCCGGGGGGTGGAACCTATATACAGGTCCCCATCTACCTGAACCACATCGTCGACGACTCCAGGGAAGCCTGGCTCATTGCTATCCGATGTGCTGCCGATGCGGTGTGGTCAACCATTCGAGATGTGTTGGCGACTGGCATTGACGTCGACAGCCGGCTAGCTGAGCTGGAGCCTATTCGCCTCCTAATGCTGAATTTCCAACTCCTCAATCTCGCCCAGAGACTGCAGTATCAGAAGATCAGCTCCCGCATCTCGCTCCTCGGTCATAAGTTGATCTCAAAGCACCATGCAGGCACGAACGGGGTCTCGGATGCTCTCTTTGCTTTCATCAAGAAGGCAAATCTTGATGAGTCGATCAAGGACGCGTATCCTCCTGTGTGGGCAGAAATGGTCGAGACGCACCGTCAGAGAAGACAGGGTACGGGTATCGCATCTTCATCTACCCCACAGCAGTAGCCCGGGTCGAGGCGCACCATCAGAGAAGTCTGGGTATGGACATTAACTCTTCACGCCCACCTCCCGAGAATAACACAGGTGGCCCGGGAAGCATTCCCCATCAGCTCCAGCATGCCCATATTCGGCGAGCTCAAATAGGCGATAGAGATTAGGAGTGAGAAGGCGATGGAGATTAGGAACAAGGAGCCGACAGAGACTAGGAATGAGGAGGCGATTGAGATTAGGAATGAGAAGACACTCTATTAGAGACTCAAGTAGATAGCCATGAATAATAGCATGCCTGAAAACCGGGTTATGACCGATACTACTTTCGTTATGTTTTGCCGTGATCTATTTACCCCTGAGGAGTACACTGCAGTGTAGAGCTTTGACGTGTCATCGGCTTTGAGGATTCAACTTGACCTCAACCTAGATCAATATACCCCAAGTGTGAGCAGAATCCATCTTGTACGTAGCCAGTATGTGTTGAGCGGCACGAGTGTCAGGGCCATGGGCCCTACCTCACTTATTTGTGGTATAAATATTGCCAACGGACAGTAGATAGACCATCATCAAGACAACAACGATATCTCGTCCATACCGCTGTCGCCGCGTTCGTATTTTGCCCTCACCGAGTAATTGACGTACTCATCTTCGTCCCACTGTCGCGCCTCGCGTACGAGTCTAGACATGCTTCAGGTGGGCGAAGTCTAGCACGGCTGGCCGATGTAAGTTTTGGCGCGTCCACCAACTAAGCATAACATTGAATACCGGCGCACCCGCCACCTCCGAAAGCATGGCAAATGGGAAAGGTAGTACCAACTACAGGTACCTATCGAATATACCTCAAGATGAGACCTTGACCGGTACCCCCGGAAGAAGTTGGCTTCGTTCAGATGGCCTGTGGATACTCGTGCTGATGCTTCTCGCAGGTTTGCCATTTGATGTGTCTAGGTATCGTGACCGCGCAATGGGTACACGCAGCCTGGCAGGACATAGCGACTTTCGTGTTTGAGACTCAAAAAAAATCCAATCAGATGAGTGCAAACTTTGAATCAAGGTAGGTTTAGTAGAGTAGAAGCTACACCACGTAACTCAGATTCTTATCCCCAACAACTGAGTCAACAACTCCGATGACTGTCCTCTATTTTCACGTGAAAAGTTAGCAAGATGCGTTGTGTTCAAGTCTGATTGCGTGACCTGCGTGCTTTTCCATGCTGACCTCTCTGGTCGATCCTTTGCTAGCCATCGGTGAAAGAATCTTTCGCGTTAGGTAGGCTCCATTCGCTATGTCCTCAACGAAAACCTCAGCTGGCGGGATCTTCTGGTGGCCGCAGCTTAGTCTCATCGACCAGTTGGGAGGAACTCTGTCACTGGTCGACGTCTCTTCGTGCCTTTACCAACCTTGGCGGCCTTGGGTCCTGCTTCCTCACTTGGTGTGTCTGAATAGCTGTCCAGCCGAACGAAGGTAGTGTACGCTTCGAAAGCAGCTTCGATTCTCCGTTCGTCGCAATATCTGGAGAACGTAGCACGCTGTTGAAGCCCTTGAAGGATCCTCCTTTTCTTCTGCTTGCACATATCGTACTCGCGGGTCTCAGGATGTAAGTGAGAACCTCGCCCCAGACTCAATGATGCGAATGGCCGAGGTGGAAGTAATAGTGCTTCACCCACAGAGGCCTGATCAGGCAAACTCAGCCCTCGAGCCAGAAATTCCCGGTCGGACGATGCTTCTCCAATGCTTGCGTAGAGGAGGAAGCCCCATAGATCAAAGCACAAGCCGTCGATGAATTTGACGTGCTCCGTGTATGCGAGGGGTTGTTGCCGTGAAGAGGGCTGCGGACTGGTCCGCGCACGCAACGCCAATATGTGACTCCTTGATCTGGCTGCAGAAAGCAACGCAGCGACCATATAGTCGAGAGAAAAACCATCGAGTTTCCGAATGAGAATATCCCAGTGACCAAGGAGTGTGAAGTGGGCTGCTAGCGTCATGACGAGGTTATCAGACCATGTTTTTCGTTGGTAGCTCCAACCGGAAGACGCTCGATCCGTATCTGCTGAGTCCCAGTCGCGGAGTTTTCCGGCCGTATCATAGAGCGTGAGCGCTGGAAAGCTTGCAAGGTAGCGCAGAGATTTGGTGGTGGTGAAATCATTGCCCCAGATTCTCAACACTCGTAAGACGGGGAAAGGATCTGGTTCTCGCGCCCACTCTCGGACAATCGAGTCAGTCACACGAGGAAATGTGGCTGCAAGAACCTCGTCTCCTGGTTGAATAATCTCGAGGACGCCAAGATTCTTCAGCTGCGACAAACTCAACAGCTCATGCGTGTTGAAGGCGGCAGAATCCGTGATGACCAGATGGGCAATGAAGTCGAATGAAGTCGATATCAGAGGGGTGATATATTGGACCAGGAGTCCGGTTGGCGATGATATCTCCTCTGCATGCTTGAGGACGCTCAGAGTCAGCGGTTGTTCAATAGGTTCACCATCCCAGAGGTATCTGGCGCAGATCTTCCAGGATTGAAACTCCAACGACCTGGCTGAGTTGTTAAGTGTGAGGTTCCAAAAGGCACGGGCAGGTTCCGAGTCTTACTCTTGAGTATTCTCCATGTACTGCCACACCAGGTATATCAGGTGACGAGGGACCAGTTTTAAATCGTCCATCCCAAGAGAGCTGAAATTCGTCGCCATGACTCTGACGCTCATATCGACGAGACTGCGAGCACCAGCCTTTGCGTGTTTGGGGCTCGATATGCTCTCGGGAGCCCATAAAGTCTGGCGTCGATGCCATTCGTCTGGAGCGCCATGTCGTGGCCCAACCACCGAGCGCCAGGAGATCTCGTCTGTAACTGTGTTGTAGCTGTAGGCGTATTCGGGCATCATGAATGGAGCGTGGAATATGAGGGGATGCGAACAGAGGGAAGTATTTGTAGGAAAGGATAGGGGAATGGAAGCTGCCGCACCAGGGATTGCAGGCGGTGTCCCGGGGGTGGGGCATTTGTATACGAACTCGAAGGGCTGACTGGCCAATCAAATGCCCCAGGGATAGCAGCCCGTAGCGGCTGTAGACTACTGCTTGCAGGGTATCTTCACTCAACTCAAAGCGCCTCAACCGCAACGACCTTCGTGTGAATCCGCGATTGAGCACAGCGCCAGATGTGTCTCCATGCCTAGGTACGTAGATACATGTAGTTTGACTGTAACTTGTGATGGAGTACATGCCTATATCGCTAACAGGGGTACAATACATTTCATGACGCAACATGTTGGGAGGTTGGAATACTCTCATTTCCAAAACACAGCGCTGAATTGTCCATGAGAAGTAAGAATCATGAACACCCGCGCATGGCAATCCCTCTACAGCATGGGCTTGAGATATTCAGCAACATGGAATGGTGCCTCCGTCTTGCTCTTGACCTCGTCTACCGTTACACCATCCGCAATCTCGATCAGGGTCAAACCGTGGGCAAAGTCGACATCAAATACACACTGCGAAGCTAACGTCAGTATGTCTAGGCTTCAAAATCGGGCGTGGGAAAAACACATACCAGTTCCGTAATGATTCTCGAGACGCAAGCTCGACCGGTAAGCGGGAAGGCACATTGCTTGAGGATCTTCGGGTTGCCCTTCTTGTCCGTGTGCTCCATCGTGACAACGACCTTGGTCGCGCTCGGGTTGCTGACCAGGTCCATGGCACCTCCGAATCCCTTCACCTTGCCGGGCAGCATCCAGTTGGCGAGGTCACCCGTGCCGCTGACCTGCATGGCGCCCAGGATGGTCAGGTTGATACGACCGCTCCGGATCATTCCAAAGCTCTCCTCACTACCAAAGACTGCAGCACCGGGTTGCAGCGTGACTGTCTCCTTGCCCGCGTTGATGAGATCGGCATCTTCCTTTCCTTCCCTCGGGTACGGTCCCAGGCCGAGAATACCATTCTCCGATTGCAGTTGAACTTCAACTTCGGGTCCTACAAACCCAGGCGCCAGCATGGGCATGCCGATTCCGAGGTTGGCATACATGCCGTTCTTGAACTCTTTAGCTGCCCTGCGAACAATTCGTTCCCGTTTGGCAGCCGTCTCACCCGAGCCCAGTGCCTTGTTGGCCTCGGCGTCGTTGTCATCCTTCGTCCAGGTGTACTTTTCAATTTTCTTCTCGCTGGTGCTCTGGATGACTCTCTTCACATAGATGCCCGGCAGGTGAACCGCCTCGGGAGGGATGTCGCCGGGCTCGACGATGTTCTCGGCTTCCACGATGGTCATCTTGGCGTTGCGTCCCATTGCGCCGTTGAAATTGTTGGCGGCGAGACGGAACTGACAGTTTCCCAGCTTGTCTGCCTTGTATGCCTTGACAAAGGCGTAGTCTCCATCGATGCTGTGTTCCAGGAGGTACGATTTGCCCTTGAAAACCTTGACGTCCTTTGGGTACGAGAACTCAGCGGGCGTCCCGTCGCTGTTGTTCTTCAGCGGTAGCTCGCCAGTCTGCACCACAGTACCGAAGGCCGCAGGTGTGTAGAAGGCCGGGACACCTCTGCCGCCAGCAGCGCAGCGCTCGGCCAGAGTACCTTGAGGCGTGAGTTCCAGTTCGATCTCACCGGTCAAGTACATCTTCTCAAAGGTTTTGTTCTCGCCGATATAGCTAGCAATCATCTTCTTGATTTGCTTGGACTTGAGCAGTTTGCCCAGGCCGGAGGTATCCGTTCCAGCATTATTTGAGACGGCTGTGATGCCTGTGATTTCGGGCTTCTTCATGACCTCGTCTATGAGGGTATCAGGTACACCGCAGAGACCAAATCCACCGCAGAGCAGGGTCGAGTCGGATCGCATGTCTTTGAGGGCTTCGGTGGCGGACGGGTAGACCTTGTTGATCTCGGGACGGCGAGAGGTGGCCGAAAAGGCTCTGGCGAGTATTCTCGCATGCTATGGGCGCAGGCACAGTCAATGTAAGAGCGATCGCAGGGTAGTAAGTTTCCATTACTTACGTTGGAGCCATAGCGGGAGTAGGCTCTCAGAGTCCGCATGCACACTGCTGCCGACGGCATCGTGGCCGAACTTGTGTCTCTGTACGCGTAGTACGGGTTGACCGTGACCGGCCTTGGTGGGGGAGCTTCTTCGCTGACCTCACGACGTAGATACTCTTACAGATGTCTCACCACGAAATTGACGATATGTGCGGCGACGAAACAACAACAAGCAAATGGCATCAACCCCCGAGACCAAATCGCAAAGGAAGTAAAGAAGTTGTCTGTTGTAGCTGGTGCATGATCGTGTTAATATTGACCCAAGCGTCGTTCTGTTCTCCGCGCTCGGCACTACCCGACAGCTCGGGAGCTCTATTCGGCTATGCATTAACCCAGAGACCAGGGGCCACCACAGTCTCCCCGGCCGGGGAATCCGGATAGTGGCGGCAAAGCCAGAAGGGCACGAGAAGGGGTCGGAGGGTGATGAGGTCGGGGATAATCGTTTAAGCCGCCTGGCAGCCTGGCAGTCTGGCACTCCTGGGCAGTGAGTCGTGACATCGAACTGTACGATTCGTGTTTACACAGCATTCAGACCCTTCGCTCTTCTGCGCTGCCTGAAGATTTAATGTTATAAGAGCGTGTAGAAGCATCGTACGCCGAACGACTATATTGACATGTTGATACATATATATCAAGCATTATACGTGCTGCGTGTCGTGCCGGAAATTGAAGATTCGAGGATGAAAGCTCGAGTTTTCAAGTCGGCGTGGTCGCAGGTGGTATTGATGTGAGCATAACTTATTAAGCATAAGCTGGCTTGTGCACAACCTCCAATGTTGTATAAAATCCACTTCCCATTAGCCCCACATCACGATCCTGGACTCGCGATACCTTATCGATAGCTGCGATACCCAAAAATTTCTGGAAGTGGGATACCATTCGAAGGCCGCGACGACAGCGCAAAGCTTCGCAGCCAACAAATAAGCAATCGATCAACAAGCGCAGAGATGGAGGCGAACACCGCGAAACGCCGGAAGCTGGGACATTCGAATGGAGGACTGACCCTTGGGAGTGCCTCGTCCTCCTCCATGGGTGCTTCGGGGTCGAGCGCCTACATCTTAGAAACCGACGAGCTTCTGGAGGAAGCCAAGATCTCCGATTACAACAAGGCTTTCCCTGGACTTTCTGAGACTCTGCGCCAATTCAAAGATGTCATCGAGAGCCTGGACGATCATGAGCCCCTTCCTGTGAGTCTACGGGACCCCGAATGGTTGCTCGAGTGCGGATGGGATACTAACCAGCCTGCCCACCAAGATCAGCGACGTGTCGGCGAGCTTCGAGAAAACGAACCGAGTCGCAATACCGTACCCGGACCCAAAACCCCGGAAAGACTCCCCATACAAGCTCGCCTTTGCAAAGCCGACACAAGTCAACGTTGTTGGATCCTACGCTTTTCAGACCATGATCAGAACCCAAGCGGCGCCATCTGTCGACATGATCGTGGTCATGCCCGCCAGCCTATTTCAGGAAAAGGATTACCGCGACTACAGATACTTCTACAAGAGGGCGTATTACTTGGCATATATCAGCGCGGGTCTGCGTAGGAAATTTGGTACCATGGACTTTTCTTACTCGAACCTGGGCGGAAACGTCCTGTTGCCCATCCTTTCCGTTTGTCCCAAGAACAAGTCGAGCAAGCAAGATAGTGCCGACTGCGCGGTTCGCATAATCCCCAACGCTCCCGAGGGTTGTTTTCCCACCGCGAAGCTCTCGGCGACTAGCAATGCTGTTCGGCATACCAACCCTCAAGATACGGGTGACTCAAAGGACACCAAGATGCCTACACCTTTTTACAATGCCACCCTGAAGGCGGAGTCTTTGTTCACATCTTTCCTTCGCCTACTTCATAACAGCCAAAAGACATGCCCTGCTTTCCAAGATGCCTGTATTCTCGGTCGGATCTGGCTACAACAACGAGGGTTTGGGGCTGATTCAGCTACTGGTGGGTTTGGTCATTTCCACTGGGCAGTATTGATGGCTCTCCTCCTTCAAACGGGTGGACGAAAAGGGGAACCAACCCTCTCCCCGTCACTCCATGCGACTCAACTGTTCAAGGCGACGTTACAGTTCCTAGCCTCGGCAAACCTACACAAGAAGGCCGTGGTACTTGGCCAGCCTACTCCAGAGCCAGAAGCGATACGTCAGCCTCTCCCAGTTCTGTATGATAGCTCAAGGGGTATCAATATTTTGTCCAACATGACCCTATGGTCTGCCTCCCTCCTTACTGAACAAGCCAAATGGTCACTTTCAGCGATCAATGGCAACCCGCGCGACCAATTCGATCCGTTATTCATCGTCAAGGTCAACCAGCCTCTGCAGATGTTTGACCTGCTATTGCGAGTTAAAATCCCCGTTTCCAGGAAAGACACGCGCTTGGACGACTGCAGAGGGTTTCTGTGGTCCTTCTGTGACACCTTATACCGAACCCTGAAGAAGGCGCTTGGAGAGCGTGCGCAACTAATCCACATAGAGGTTCCAAAGACAACATCGTGGCCTGTGACGGCGACTTCCTCAAGGGCGAAAACGGAGAGTCTCCAGGTGGGGATCATCGTTGATCCTGCAAAAGCATCTCAGGCCCGGGACTTTGGGCCACCGTACGAACAGAAGAAAGAGGCAGCCAAATACCAGGAATTTTGGGGTGAAAAGGCAGAGCTCTGGCAGTTCCCCGACGGAAACATAGTCGAATCGCTTGATTGGACACAGTTCGCACCCTTCGGGTTTTCTGGCATCTGCGAAGCGCTAGTGCGGTATATCCTCAAGCTGCGACTAGAGCTGAGCGACAGCGATATTGAGTTTTATGGGCAAGATCCTTCTCGGATCATATCACTGTCGCCTACAGACAAGACGGCTTTCGACAAGGCAAGAAAGGCCTTCGCCATGTTCGAGAAAGATGTCCGAGATCTGAACGACCTACCTTTACAAGTTAAGCAGATTGCGCCCATCGCTCCCGAGTTGCGATACGCCTCCGTGCGCATCCCGGATGTCGATATGAGAAGGCGTGTTTCGCGACCGATTGATGCGATCGTATCTTTCGAAATGTCGGGGAAGTGGCCGGAAAATATTGCTGCAATCCAACGCATGAAGGTGGCCATGTTGCTCAAGATTGGCAGCTCATTTGAAGAATCCAACGACGCCGTCAAGACACATCTCGGGCTGGAGAACGTCGACCGCAATACACAGAACCTGGCCTTCTTGGATATTGTGTATGACACCGGCTTCTGCTTCCGCCTGCGAGTTCACAGTGACCTCGAAGAGACGCTTCTCGACAGGCAGGCGAAAGACAAGACACTTGAGCGCCACGACCGTACCGATGCTGCCGACCTAGTTACCTCCTTGAAACAAACATATACCAACCTGCCACTGCAAAACCAGACGATTTCGACTTTTTGCACTCGCTTTCCTGAGTATGTCTTTTTGGTCCATTTCTCTCCACTCTGGTCTTGCGCGTACATCACTGATGCTTGCTCATGTAGATTATCGTCCTCGATACGGCTTACGAAGCGCTGGTTCAGCAGCCATAGACTCTCGAATCATTTCGATGAAGCCCTCATCGAGTGGTTCGTGCTGCAGGCTTTCCTTCATCCATACCCGTGGACGACGCCCTCCTCTGCTGTGATGGGATTCTTGCGTACCCTACTGCTATTGGCCCGGTGGGATTGGCGGGATGAGCCATTGATCATTGATCCTCAAGAAGCACTGTCTAGCTCCCAACGCATCGGCATCACGACCCGGCTTGACGCATGGAGGAAGATCGACCCGAACATGAACCGGACTACTCTGTTTGTTGCAACGTCACACGATGTGACCGGAATTGGTAGGTCCTCTCGTTTCTTCTTTCTGCCCCTATCTCTCGTGTTACTGACTCCTCTCGTTACAGCATATACGCAAGGTATTTCCAAGGTCGTGGCAACTCGCATGACATCCCTTGCCAGGGCTGCTTGCAAGGCAGTGAAGGAGAAAGACCTCGAGCTTGATATCAAGTCGCTGTTCCTGTCGCCGTTGCGTGACTATGATGTGGTCATACATCTGGCACCAAAAGTCATAAAATCTGTTCAGCAGGATGACGGGACAAAGCAGTCGCTCTTCAAAAATCTCAGCGGACAGGGTAGGAAAGAGGCGCCCCCGCTACTCGAGGAGCCGGTGGAGCTTTTGTTGAAACGCCTCAATGCAATCTATCCGAGTCCGCTGCTGTTCTTCAACGGTGGTGCAGAAGACAACATCATTGCCGCACTGTGGAATCCGCAGCTCCACAGTCGAACGTTTACAGTTAACATGCCCTGCTCGTTCAAGCCTGTCGATCAGGACGGAGACATGTTCGAGCTCAACAGGGATGCCGTCCTTGCCGAGATCGCGAGGGTCGGCGGAGACCTCGTCGAGAAGATCGATGTAAAGGGTGGTGATTGATTGATAGGGGGCCGCTGCAAGGGGGCGGCTCGGGCACTCTGTCTGTATTCAATGATACCAAATTGTCGGGAACCCTATATCGGTGCGGAATGAGGATAGATTGCCTAGTTGCTTTCTTGTTCTGGCTATGGGTCAGGGGACGAATCCCAGTACTAAATACAGTGTAATACTAAAAGACTGGCCCAGCCTTAGAGCATCTGACAAAGCTCCTTCATCCAGCTGCTTCCATTCACCCCTTTAACCACCAAGGCCACCACAATTCTCACACGCCCTCATGGCTGAGGGTGGTCTCTGGTTCATATGGTCTCCTCCCACTCGAAAAGGAAGGTGGTACGCCGTGGCAGAATTGTTCTGCGTGCGTGAGTTCGTTCAACTACCTGACTGCCCAGATGGCTCTGACAGGTCTCTCCAACTGGCTCGATAGCCCCGTTGAACACAATAAAACTTTCGTTCGAACAGTAATACCATGACTGAACGAGGCAGGCGGTGAGCTCGTCACCCCTGGCAGTATCCGTGGTGCCAATTCCTCTGTGGTGTGGCTACCAGCCAACTGATGACTCCAGAGAGCCCTGAAAAGCTCAAAAACGCGATAAACCTGGGATCTGGCAGCGATACCATCCCTCCAATAGGAAAGCGGTGTATCCGTACTGCTGCGGCAGAATCCCTGGTGGTGTGGCCAACAGCCCTGTTGACTGCAACACCTCCAACAGCCCTGAGAGGCTCCAATCGCTCCAATTGAGCTGAAACGTTCAAATCTGCAATAAGAACAACTCGAACGAGCGATACCATCACTCAACAAGGTAGGCGGTGAGCCCGTGCCGTGGCAGAATCCATCTGCGTGCTGCTCAACCACCCAACTGCCAACTGCCCAGATGGGCTCCCAATCCTCCAACAGGCTCGATAGCCTTGCGAGGCTCCTTTTAGGCTCTGAATGACGTGCTGCCAACACCGTGAGGGTGTTCTGACCCTGCGAACGCCGTATTCGTGGTGTTCGCTTCCTTCGTGATGCCGTCGTCGATCGACGGGCTTCGTGGCCGCGGCTCTGTGCCGTGCCATGCCTCCGTGGAGGACTTCCGCGCCTCTGAAACTTCGTGTTCAGGGCTCCATCTCTCAGACTGAGAACCTTGGCTGCTTCTGATGCCCGTATGAGGGCCATCCATTCGGTGAAGCGCCCTCATCCTCGGATGTGCGTGCGTGCCTCCGTGGAGGTCTTCTCTTCTGCGTGCCTCTGCCGCGGTGGCTAGAGGGCTTTTCTTCATTCGGGGGACTCCTTACATAGGAAAATGCTGTCAAAGCTGATGATGTGTTGACATACGAAACGGGGTGCCGTTGAGGCTCGGGTGCTTCTTCTGGCGAAGCTCTCATTCGTGACATACAAAAAGGGGATGCCGTGGAGGCTCTGGTCTTCTTCCTCCGTGGCTTCCGTCTGCCATATCTTCTAGTGCCTCCGCCGTTACGAGAAGACTTCTGGTGCTTCCTCCGCTGAAGAGGTCGCTTCTTCGTGCTCGCTTACTCGTGAGAATCTCTCACAGCTGCTCGCTGCCATAGTTATGGCCCTGGCTCGATGCCTGCTACCTCGTGGATAGAAGCCTCTGCTTCTTCCCGATATTTGTGTTCCTCCGTATCAGCTTCGTCGATACGGCTTCGCGCCCTTTCTGCCATGGTGCGTTGGCAGCCAAGTCTGGCGATCGACCTTCTGCAGTGGTGATCCCATCCCTCGTGCCATTCAGTCGATGATCTCGGAAGGTGCATGTTTCTATCTTCAGCGGCTAGAAGACTTCGTTCGGTGTTCGCCGTGGTGTGACTGCCACGCGCGATACGCTGCTCCCTTCGATCGGAAGACATGTGCCTTGTGCCTCGCTTGAGAGGGCTAGGGCTCTGTTCGGGGGCTCACACGTGCCGGGGTGTATGACTGGCATCCACGCGCTTTTCTCTCGCAAGGAAGACTTGATTCGGGGTGCCGCGCGCGGTGATATGCGCTGCGATCTTCTGAAGGAGTACTCGGTGACTGATCCTTCGTGAAAATCCTCGTAAAAATCTCGGTTTCTCCCTTATAATAATAACGTATTTAACCTTATTATAACTATTATAAGCAGTATATTTCTTTTACTTATTTGAATAAGAAAAAAAAATTCTTTTTTTTAATACAAGCTATTTTCAAATCTAATATAATAACATTTCGTTATCGTATTTACAACCTTTTAAACCTTTGAATAGCTTTATTTTCATTTAAAGGTTTAATATATTTTTAATCGCTTTCGTCTAGTTTTTTAAGGTTATTTACCTTCGTCGTATAATATACGACTTTAAAGCTTAGTTACCTTCATCATCGCTTTGATTAATCTTCGTTATACTTTATAACTTTTAAAGCTTTCGCGTTTTAAAGGTAATATATTTAAGCCTTGATTTTTATTAATAAACCTTTATAAGATTTTAAAATGGTTATAAGCTTTAAAAGTATAAGCGGTCGTTATAAACGTTGTTATTATCTTTAAATATGTTTAATAAGGTTAATTTACAGGTAAACATATTAGTCTTTTAACATCCTTTTAACAGGTATTACATTTAAAGTATGATATTTAAGATGTAATATTTAACACGCCTTTTTATTTAAAAAGTATATTTCTCTCGTTCCTCGCCCTCATTCGCGAATGATCAGGCTGCTTGAGGAAGGCTCCCTCTCTCTCCGGGGAAGGGGAAGATGACTGCCACGCGTTGCAGATGACTGCTGCGAATGCCGCGGACTTCGGATGCGGTATTTGTGACGGCCTGCACGGACCTTCCCAATAAGGGAAGGATCTGACCAGAGGATCCCCTTAAAGGGGCAACCTCCCGCTGTACCTACCTCTCTCTCTCTCTTCCTTTCCTCTCTAGTCTTGATATTCTCGTCAATAGAGTAATAGCTGCTTGCTGCAGGCCATGTCCCAGCTCCCCAGTACGCTCGCCGTGACAGTATTCGTGATGGCTAATATTCGTCAAGATGACCTCTGACGCGCTCCTGGAGCCGTCTTTGCTGCTGTCACGCGACGCAGATGACTGCTGCGAATGCCGTGATTTTCGGGGATGTGATGAGGCAAAAGGAGTACTTATCTGCCAGATAATATAACGCGCTCTGCGAGCCGTCTGTTCCCCTGGCAACGCCCTCAGGCTCGCCGTGCCACGCGCCGTCGTAGATCGAGCTTGCGCCGTGGTCTTCTCGGTGATTGACGCGCTCTATCGGAGCCGTCTTCTGTTCTGCCGGCGACGCCCTCAGGCTCGCCGTGCCCCGTGCCGTCGTTCCGACTGCTGCGAGGCGCCGTTGTGGACTTGAAGGGACTGCCGCGCGTTGTAGATGATCGCTACGAGCGCCGCGGCCTTCGGATGTGATCGAGAGGGTTCGATCGACACGTTGCCACGCGCGCTGTGACTTGCGCCGCGGGCTTTGGGGATGTGAGGCTCTCGCGAAGGGGAACACTCACTCGGTCTGCTGGCGCCCTAGAGACGAGATCTGAAGCCGTCTCTCCTTCGCTGGCGCCTCACGAAGCCGAAGGCGGCGTGATGCTCGGTGCTCCCAGCTTCAGGCACCGCCGTGATGGCGACGGCCGTCAGCCGGGCTATCCGACGATCTCTAGGCTGTGACTAGGTTAACTTCAGGCCGTATGAGGAGATGCTACCATATCAGGAATCCTGTATCGGTGCGGAATGGGGGTAGATTCCTTAGTTGCTTCATTTACCCTTTTGACCACCAAAGCCACCACAATTCTCACATTTCGTATATAATATTAAATAGTATTGAGAGCATTATCCGTGAAGCGATAAGTGCAGTATGAGCGTGACAGCGTTGTTGTTTTTAGGAAAAGGCCTATGGACTGTTTGTTGGTGGTAGAATACACTTAGATGTCCTGTGGGTCCCTGTACGACCCGACAGCGTGGCTGATCCCCACATACCGCTTACATATACAGATGGATACTGCTCACAAGTATTATGTAATTATCCGGCGACAGCGATATTTGTAATTTTATTTTTAATATTTATTTTTAGATATTTAATTTGAAAATTTGAAAATTTGAAGATTTGAAATTAAAAAAAAAAAAATCTTTTGGTTTTTTAAAATTTGTGTAAGCAGTCGGGTGGCTCACAGGTGTGCTGTAGCACGCTTCCAGGGGTGACAAGGCTGACAAGGCTGACAGCAGCACTGAAAGGAAGGAACAGCCTGGAAGCGGGCTTTGAGCCTTAGTGTATCTGGGACAAGGGATCTTTACCCTCCGGATCAAAGGCTGGGCATTGCTTTGAAGTTGGTATGTGTATTTAGTACCTGAACAGGTCCCAAGACCCAAGGGTAGATCTGCACCCAGAATGTAAGCAACATGATGACCTGAACCACTGAACCGATCTTTTCCATAATTTGTGAGATTCTAGAAGGGTCACAAGCCTTGGGGGTGTGAGCGGTCGCTGCAAATGTTGTTGTCATTCTTAAGTATGCTCGGCAGGGCTAATCTACAGCTAAATACCATACTGCACCATGCCAGGGTGTATCCACTGTTCCCTTGACAGCCCCCTAGTGGGTACTGCACCTGAGGGCACCATATCTGGGATCCAACATCTGACAAAAATTTTAAATTTTTAAAAAAAATATTTTCTGAAAAAAAAATTTAATTTTAATTTAAAAAAAAAATTTTATCTTAAAAAAAAATTTTTTTGGAGATATAAATTTTTTTGGAAATTCTGAGATTTTTTTTGGAGAGTTTTATTTAAATCTTCTTTAAAAAAGTTTAAAATTATTAAAATTTTTGTTTAAATTTTTAAACAAAAAACCCCCCAAAAAAAAATCCAAAAAAATCCAAAAAAATCCAAAGAAATTTTGTGGGGATTTTTTCTAAACCCTTTTTGGTGAATTACAATTTTTGTGGAATTTCAGGAAACTCTTTTAGAAACAAATTTTTTTTTTAAAACCTTTTTTTTTTTTTTCCTTTTTTTTTTAGCAACCTTATATACACCCTCAGTTGAGTACTAGTTACATATATAACCAGGGTAGCACTTAACATGATTCTTGATATAACGGTTGTAACGGTGACGATCCCACACAACCTGGGTTAAGATCTCAACCGGTAGCCAACCGATAGTCAACCGTACGTGCACCATTGGCTGCCGATCCTGCCCCTGCCCCTAATGTAGTACCTAGTCCTGTTACCTCAGCCCACGAGTGACAAGCCGATAGAGCAGTCTGGCACTGTCAAGCGCGAGATGCATTACGATGGACGCTCTTCACGACGAAAGCTCACGAGCTGGATTAGAGATTACGTGATTTGTGCCTGTTTATTTTACTATATAATGCTAATTCCGGCCTGACTATACCACTCAAAGACATGAACAGGTCCTCGACTGTCACGACGGCCTTGTCAGGTACAATCCTGCCCAGCTCTTCTCGTGAACAGTGCGGCTTGCTGATGTCCAAGTACATGTTGCTGATTCGATCGCAATGCTGGACGACGTCGGCTCGTAGCCGGTTCAGCTTATAGACGAAGCGGCATACGTTCTCGGCCTCGGAAATGTCGGCGGATTGGTTCGCTGGGTTGCCTCGGTAGTTGCTTGCGGGGGGGTATATGGGTCCGGCTTTGACTGGTGGTTGAACCTTAACTGGAGGAGGGACCCTCGCTGGAAAAGGTAGGGGGACCTTGACCAGGGGAGGAACCTTGACCGGGGAAGGGGGAGAGCTGGATTTCGGCAAGATGTGTTGGTTGCCCTGGTTCGAACACCCTGGCGCTGGGGTTGAGGACGTGGGTGTTGACGATGTCAGCTCGTAGTCGACTGCGTGCGTCCCGATGTGACCACCAGGATCGAGGGAGCCGCGGGTCGGGTGTGGCCCACGGAGGTCGGTGAGCGGAGGTGAGTAGTCGTGGGCACAGTGATCACCGTGGGGGTGCGGGCATCCTCTGACACCAGGGTGGGAACCGAGTACACACCACTCAAATTGGCGGGCATGTTCTCCGGCATGGCCCCAGTCCTGTAGAACGTGGTCAGCGTACAGTAGAATAAGAATGTGGCATAATATACAGTATCGCCTTCAACTCTTCCAGCTCTTCTCGCGTGCTGTGCGGCTTGGCGACGTCAAGGTAGACGGCCATGATGTGCTCCCGATGCCAACGGAGGTCGTTGCGGAGTAACGCCATCTGCGCCCGGTGCAAACCCTAGGATGGTCGATTCGGCTGCCGATTGGGTTGCCTGATAGATTCTCCAGCTGTTGCGGTAATCCGGCTCATCGATAAAGGTCTCTGCGTATACCCGAACCATCCGTTCATTGTCGATATACAGGTGGTAGCTGTCTTCGGTCCAGAGGCGCAGGATGAGGAAATCTGCGCAGTTGCGCGGGTGCCAAGCGGCGAGACCCATTGGCTTCATCCAGTACCAGTGGTACCCATGGGCGTTGACGATTCGTTTGTGATCCTTGTGCCATTGGTGTCTGAAGAAATCAGCGAGCATGTTCAGTTCCCAACGAGCATGTGCTGTTGGGCGGTGCGGCGGTGCGGCGGTGCTCGGGTCTGGGTAAGCGACAGCGGCCACATGCTGGGACCATGTAGTAGTCATGGTTGCTCACAGCCGGACCAGACCCTTCAATCGCAGCCATCTGCGCCCGGTGCAAACCCTAGTTGCGCGGGTGCCAAGCGGCCAGACCACAAGTCAAGATGCAGCAGTGCCCTGGTGCAGATGGAAGGCAACAGTACCCTGGTACAAGTTGTCGAGTTATCCTGATGATGGAAGTTAGAATGCAGGGCAGGAAGGAAGGTTGTGCACAAGTACCTTGTGTCGAGATGCAGCAGTACTCTGGTGCAGGTTGTCGAGTTGTAGATGCGGCCTGGTGATCACCCAGTCGAAGACTTGCAGGTGAGAGCAGCAGGAGATCTTGATCAGCTCCGCGAACCCGTTCCGAACCTGCGCAACGGGCAGGGTACCGAGGAACGTGAAGTCGAGGAACGTGTGCAGGGGGCATGGTAGGCTCCACGGCGACCTTGATGCTGACACTTGCGTCGATGAGACCGATGACAGTCGTGGGGACTCGGATGAAGTTAGTGTTGCGGGATCCGGAGTGATCCATGGTTGTGCAGTATTGGGCGAGTATCTGGGTAGGTCAGTATCTGGGTAGATGAGTGTACGATTTTTGGATGAGTATCCAGGTGGGTGGGTGGGTGGGTGGGTGGACATACGGGTCTGGGTGAGTGAGTATTGGGTAGGTGGATGGCGGTAGGCGGCGCATGCAAATCTATTGCACCGTCAGCAGGTTCACATGTAGAGACAGTAATCGAGGGTGATCTTACCCGGCATCATCTGTGCTAAGCGTGGGCCTGGACGATTCGGCCGTGATCTTTGTGATACTGATGCAGAATGAAGGCGATCACCATGTTGGACTCCCAGCCGAGGATGTGCAGTTTGGGGTCCTTGTGTTCAGAGGCCGGGAGTCCACAGGGGTTCAGCTCGTCGCGCTGCTGGCAGTAGGTCTCGTTGGATGGGAACAGACGAAAAGGTGGGAATTGAAGTTGTATTGGGGATGGAATGATGGGGATGATGAGCAGAACGATGTTGTGAGGAGTTGGGAGGGAATGGAACGAGGAGGGAATGGAAACGAGGAGGGAATGAGAACGAGGAGGGAACGGAAACGAGGAGGGACTGAGGTCAGGTTGCAAAAGCAGGTGCCTCCTCACCCCATCAGGCAAGAGACACACTCTGCCCCTCAAGGTTGCCTGCTTCCTGTTTCAATGCCGGCGCTCCTTCCCACGAGCATCTGAAAATCCGAATCTCAGTGAGTAACTTACAAGCACCTGCCTGAAATACAGGGCGTGCCTGTGCTCTTCCTGAACACAGGCGGAAAGCACATGGCCTGATGTGCTCATCGAACGCAGTGACTGCCGCGTCTCGTCTACGAACGGCCAGACTTACCTGCTGATCTTTGACATCCGGGGCAGCACCTCCCACACGGTCGACCTGCTCCTGCTGTGTTCGCATGGCATCCCACTCGAAACCATCCGTGCTTGCCATTGGAATACAGGCTGACAGTTGTTCTCCAGAGACACACCTTCTCGAGTGTATGGCATCCGTCCATTCTGTCCTTCCTTTCCTGCAAGCAAGGCACACTGCTGAGGTAGGTCCAGGGCGTAGTAGCCAATTCTTACCGGCAATCCTGGTACCCGTCCTCAGACGTCACGATGCTCGATTATTGATATCATCAACGCTTCCCAGCTCAGACCATTGAAGAACGGAAGGCATGGGTGGACCTTTACAGATGACGTACCTAGGTAGTCAGAGCCCTTTCCCTCGATGCTGACCTGGCACTGCGAACACACATGTACGGTGGTAGGTTCGAATCCTGCCAGCGCTTGCCTTTGCATGCCATAGCTACTGTTTGTTCCGCCGTTGGCTCCCTCCTTCTGTAGTAAACGCAGCACGCCCGGCGATGGCATGTGAACAGAATGTGCCAAGTTGATCCGCTGCGAGAAGCCAAGAGCAAGATGCGATTTGCTCAGAGCGCAACATACTGAGAATGCTCGTTCATTTTTCCATATAGCGTGACCATCTTTATGCGAGGATGTGTTCACGATGTAAACTCCAATGTTCGCGGTGAAAACGCCAATGCTGTGTGAATCATGATGCGCCGACAAGGATAGCCACCCCTCAATCCTCGGGGAAAAGCTCCGTCAAGTTGCTTACAAAAATACCTTTCTCGCCATCCCAGCGTTTGAAGAATTTGCCAGCCATGGGGATCAGGTCTCTGATCATGGTTGGTAATACATCTACTCCGCCGCGGAGTTGGACGGCCTCGATGCTCCCTTCGGCAATGATGTGATGATCAGAACCATCCGTCCCGATCCTACAACAGGTCAGCAAAAGTCGTGTGCATCGCAATATGTAAATATCACTCACATGCAACGATAGAAGGGCTCACTATAGCCTCCCCATTGATCACGAAGCGGGGCCCCTTGCTCCCAATTTGTGATGCCTCCGGCCCCATCCACCGTCCAGCCCAGGATCAAACCGTGATAGTCATATCGCTTGTGCTTGAAGACCTGACCAACGCGAAACTTGACATCAATACCCTCAGCGAGCTCGCTGCGCCGTCGGGGGGCCCTGGTCGACACGTCGACCCGACGAATGTCCCTAATCTGGTCCCGAACTCTTTTCGAGGGTAGCTCCCAGTTATTCTGACGTCGTGATGGAGCGGCGAAAGCATCGTACATGGGGCAGACGTATTTCTCAATAAGCCAGGAATCCTCGGGGAAATACTCGTAGAAATATACGAGCAGGTCGCGAACATCCTGCTGCCAATCCCATCGCACATCCTCATTTTCAGGCAGCACGGGCACCATCATGATGCTGGCCCAAATCATGCTATACAGCGCTGGCTGTAAGTTGCGGGCCCAGTCACCTCGATTAAGTTCAATCATGGGTATCAGCTGAGAAAGGGGCCGCCCGCCGGTCCTGAAGCTGGTGAAGGACGCCCGGATATTCTGGGCTGTCCTCATCACGATCAAGTCTGTGGCTGTGGGACGCATCAGATTGTCATGGCCAGTGTGAACGCCGAGTCGGAAAAGGAAGTTCTGGATATAATCGATTGGGACCTCTTCGTCGGATCCGTAAGGGTCGAGAAACATGGTCTCCTGCTGCTGCGCATCCTCCTGCGATCGCACCGAGCCATCCAAGGATATTCCTGGAGGGGCGAGGACGATAGCATGGACGTGATTGGGTAGGGCTGACGGGTAGGCTTCAATCCCAACTCGCGACGCAATCGACGAATAGATGGCTGCTGATATGATGGGTAGGGATGGATGGCGGTCATCGCGAAGGGCTCTGCCGATAAGACAGTTGCGCAAGTAACGATATGTTTCTTCGCTCGGATCATTGAGGCCAGTCATATTGTTGGCATGCAGCCATCGTGCCAAAGTGGTAGCCTTCTGCCGCGTTGTCATCTGGTCGACGTCCGAGTAGGCAGTGCGAAATCGCGATGCCATGTCATCTAGTAACTGAGATATCTGCCATATGGTCCACGTCAGTCATACCGTAGCCGCCAAGCATAGTATGCCTCAAAGACGTACCTCATCCAGATCACCCTCATTGTCGTGAAGCATGAACATGTCAAAGGCGCCAAGTGCCCGCTCAAGCCGCATGCCACAGTTGAGTTTCTCGCCATTTGGGGTGTTCTCGTCGATGCGACGGGCGGCATGATCCTGGTATTTGGCCCATTCTTCGATAGCGAGGCTCCGGTGTATGCTGTCGAGTACGGTGCACGAATAGTACCTCCTGGCCAAGACGTCGTCGGCAGATTCGTCGATACGGCACTGGGACAGAAGGTAGTCCTTGGCATCGTAGCCGTATCTGCATATCTTCTCGGTCTTCTCGAGGCGAGCGATGTGCGAGGCGACAATACCGTCAACCAGACCAGCTATGTGGCGATTGCGCGCCAGTCGCAGAAGGTAGAGGCGCTTCCAGTGGACATGGTGGAGTTCGGCGTGTACTTTGTCGTCGAAGCGGTGTTCGGCCTGCCAATACCTGAAGCTGGATCGGCAATAGTACTTCCACAGCAGAGGCTCCTGGGCGATGCTGTTGAAGCGACGGGACAGGAACGCGACAGTCTCGAGGGTCTCTTCGGGGGAGAGATAGTGCAGTATGTGGTGGAGCAGCTCGTCGGGGAGGAGATCGAAGAAGGACATGGCGACGGTGCAACCTCGAGGGATGGCCCAAGTATCGATTCTCGAGACACGGCAGGTCGACGCTTGTAAGGTATTTGTACGTCGTGATGCACGAGCGGATGGAACGGTAATGCGCATTAGACGGGCAGGGTCTGATACGCTGATTCCCGACCGGTACGTCAGGGGAGGTTCTAATGGCTTAAGGTGGCCCCCGCCATACGGTCACATACTCCGTATCCGTACGTGCATCATTCCCGTCATCCAGTCGCATCATTCCCCGGGTCGCGCCACAGCGGTCGGTCAGACAGCAGCCCTAGCCACATCATCCAGCTTTAGTCGGGTCAATACAGCAGCAGCCACAGCCAGATCCAACCCCAGCTCAAGCTCCAAATCGGATGAAGACGGCCCCACATCTATTCAAGCGGGACCGGTTGCTGGCTCCAGTTTGCCAGTAAAGTAAACACACGAAACGCGTCTTCCACGAGAATCACGCTGGCGCCAGTGCAGCGTAGCGTAGCGCATCGCATCGCTTTCTTTACTGCCCAACACCACAGCTATCCAGCCTCTGCTTCTATCTTCTGCGCATTCAATGCCACATGTGCCCATGTACTGCACACGCTCACACTGTCGATGGTCACAGCTGCTCCTCCATTATCCAACTGCATGCTGGCAATCTACAACCTTAAAGCCGGCTACCTAACCTAGCTCCCACTACATGCACGCCCGACCGCCGTCACGATGGACACGCCCCGAACGAACCTTGGTGATGCCACCTACCTCGGTCGACAGCCTCCCGACTTCGATATGACCCAGGAGCCCTCCTTCCAGTCCCCCTCCAAAGACAACAATCTCCTCCAACAGATGCGCACCGGCCGTGGCGTCAACCTCAGGACCCCCCGCGCGAGTCGCGCGCCCTTGGGAAACAAGCAGAACCTCCCGGCTGGCATTGGCGGTGCCGAGTTCACTCCCATGCTCAAGTCTGCCACGCGGAACAGCGCGCGTCGCCGATCCGGCAAGGAGAACACAAACGGCCTGACCACCCCGGCCCTGGGCAAGATCGACGAAGACACAGATGTAGTCCCCGTCGAGTCATCCCTGTTTGGCCCCTCGCGCGGCGCGTCCTACGTCGAGTCTACACCTCGTCCCGAGCCTGCCAGCGACAGCGAGGCATCTACACCCGTGGTGCTCTTGCCACGACGCGCCGGCAACAAGGGCCCCTTGCAGGACGGGAATCAACTTTCGCTTCGAGAGCAAGAAAACGTTATCGATAGAATCGAGAAGGAAAACTTTGGTCTGAAGCTCAAGATCCACTTCCTCGAGGAGGCCTTGCGGAAAGCCGGGCCGGGCTTTAGTGAGGCCGCCTTGAAGGAGAATACCGATCTTAAGGTCGACAAGGTCACGATGCAGAGGGAGCTGTCCAAGTACAAGAAGCACCTGGCATCGGCAGAGAAGGACCTGGAGACATATCAGCAGCAGATACTGAATGTTCAAGAGAAGGCCAAGAAGAAATATGCCGATGAGAGCCAGAAGGCCGAAAACGAGGCCCTCCGCCGGAGTCTGGAGGACAAGGATGCCGAGATTGAAGAACTACAGCGACAACTGCAACGCCAAACCGACGATGGCGGCAAAGTGGAGCAACTACAAGACGACATCGCCGACTTGGAGGCTGATCTGCGCGGAAAAGATCGCGAGATAAACGAGCGCGAAGACGAGGTAGACGAACTGAAGACGAAACTGGACGAAGCCGAGGAGCAATGGAAAGTCGCCCAGGAGAAAATCGCCGAGCTTGAGGGACAAGGCCAACCAAGCGAAGATTTAGGCAAGCTAGAGGAATTACGAGACAGGATTGGGGACCTGGAAGTAGACTTACGAGAAAAGGGTTTGGAAATCAACGAGCGCGATGAGGAGTTAAATGAGTTGGAGGAGAAACTCAACCAAACCGAAGAAAAATTGAAGTCGACTCAACAAAGGGTTACCGAACTCGAGAAGAACGCGGATGCAAGCGACGTGTTGGCGGAAGCAAAGGATACCATCGAAGATCTCGAGGCCAGTGTCCGGCGTTTCGAGCAACAACTTGATGATTTGAAAGATCAAGTTCAACAAGCAACGTCCGACAAGGAACGAGCCGAACACGATTACGAGGAGCTTCAAGACGAGTTGTCAAACAAATCTGTGGCGACCAAGGGGCTGTCGCGGCAAATCGATGATTTGAAAGATCAAGTTCAACAAGCAAAGTCCGACAAGGATAGGGCCGAGCGCGATCTCGAGGAGCTACAAGACGAGTTATCGAATAAATCGGTGGTCACCAAGGGGCTTTCACGGCAAGTCGAGGAGAAGGTGAGGCGGCTCCAAACCGAGCTGAGTCGCTCACAGGAGAGATACGCAGCTCTTGAGCGGGAGGCCGCAGAGAAGGACCAGTTCATGACGGAGGTGAAGAACAGGGCTCAGCAACTCCTCCAACAACGTGAGTCGTGGAACAGCGAACGGCAGACTCTACACACCAAGCTCGAGGCTGCGCAGAAAGACCTGGGTATGCGCACTGACGAGAAGAATATATTGCAACTTCGTCATGATGCCCTGGGAGACGAATCGGCCTCGTTGCAGCGGGACATTGGGCGGTTGCAGAAGCAGGTCAGAGAGCTCGAGGACAGCCTGGTCCGAGAACAAGCACATGCGCTGCAAATCGAGCGCAGCACCAACCAGGACCGCCAAGCTGAGATCGACCGTCTCAACGACGATGTTGCCGATCTTCAGGATGAACTGGACCGCCTCCGCCAAGAAGCGTCAGGAGGTCAATCTGCATCCGCATCTTTGGAACGAGAGGTGGCGCGCCTACAGAAACGCGTCAACGAGCTAGATAGAGACCTGGAACAAGAAAAGGCCCAGGGGCGGCAATCTGAACGTGATGCCGAGCACGAGCACAAGTTGGAGATCGAACTCCTGAACGACAGCATTGCGGACCTCCAAGATGAAGTCGAAAGGCTTCGACGAGAAGCGTCGAGTGGTCAGTCATCTTCGGCATCTCTAGAGCGTGAGATATCTCGGCTACAGAAACGCACCAAGGAGCTTGAAACCAGCCTAGAGCACGAAAAGACAAATGCCCGTGTACGCCAAGATAGCTCGGGAGATGAGACGTCTTCTCTCCAGCGAGAAATCACTCGTCTGCGATCCCAAGTCAGCGATCTCGAGCTGAGCCTGGATCAGGAGAAGAGTCATGCTGTCCAGATTGAACGAAACATCCGTTCCCAGCTTAAGTCCGAGATCGAGCGCCTCAACGATGACATTTCCAACCTGCAGGCGGACGTCCGCGATAAAGACAACGTTTACGACAACGATAGCGAGAAATGGGAGGCTGAGAAACGAGACTTGGAATCACAACGAGACCGACTCGAAGAACGAGCTACCGGCCTTCAACGCACCATTGATCGGCTGCGCGACGCGGAGGGCACCCTTTCCAGCAAGGAAATGAAGCTGCAAGATGCATTGAACAGTGAGATTGAACGGCACAGGAGCGAGGAAACTGCACTCGGTCGCCAAATTGATGAGCTGCGACACGATCTTGACGCGCGCCAGTCTTTGCTGACGACGCTGCGCAATGAGATCTCTGCAGTTCGGGATGATCTTCGGCAAAGTCAACTCGACTACCAGGCCCGGGCCGAGAAGGTTGAGGCATTAGAAGACGAAGTGGAAGTCCTCCAAGCGACTTTGGATGAAGAGTCAGAAGACGCCAGTCAAAAGCTCAGGGAGGCCGACCAGATGTGCCAAGATCTGAGGCGGCAACTCGAGCTGGCAAAGCGCGACCAGACACAGCGATCAGATCGCCTGGGGCAGTTGGAGAAGGCCGATCGTGTCGTCGAAGATCTCAGACAACAATTAGAAGATACGAGGCAGCGGCTTCACGATAGCGAACGCCAGTGCGAACATCTCAAGCGACAAGCAGACCGAGCCATCCGTCATGAGTCGAAACAGGCTGACGACAAATTGGCGCAGGTCAACCGCGCATCGGAGGAGCTCAAACGACAACTATCACGCGCGCAGAAGGAATCCAAAAAGGCAAACAGGGTATGCGACGAGCTACGAAGCGAACTGGAGCTAGCAAAGCAGGACCTTGACTATGCGAGCCCATTGTGCAAAGAACTCGGCCACAAACTCGAACGCGCACGCAGCGAACGGGCTGCATACCGGGCGTCGGCGCAGAAGCTGCAAGCCGACTGCGAAAGGCTGAAGGAGGGAGCACAAGAGGCCCTGGCCTGGATCCAGGCCAAGAACTCGGAGCCAACAACCTCCTCCCTCGTGCCCACTACCATCAGACCAGGGGCAAAGGCCAGCCTCCGATACGGCGACGTGGTCATGGACGTCGTGGACCAGCGGGATCACGAGGCGGTCATCCGCGCAGCCGATGCGGCCGAACGACGGCACGACAAGGAGATCCGCGGCCTGGCGCTCCAGATGGGCTGGATGCAGGCACGGTGGGAGCGCGAGAGCAAGCTGCGGCAGGACGGCGCGTTCGCCAAGAAGTTCCTCGCGCTGCAGCTGGAGATTGCTGATGCCTGGTATGTCTATGCCCCCCCCCCCCCCCCTATCCCTATACCCCTTTCCCATTCCACCGTTTCACTCTCGTGTTATCGTTCATTGCCGAACTAAAACTAACCCTCCCGGCAGCAACAAGGCAGACCTTCGCATGCTGGCCCGCATCCACAAGGACCTGGGCATCAAGTCCCCCGACGCGCTCCTCGACAGGTCGGCTCGCAAGCAGCAGAAGTCGTCGCGCCAGCAGCGCCCTTCCAACCTCAAGGCCTTTGTCGGGCTCGTGCGAGCGGTGGCGCGCATGCGCATCGCGGCCCGCCAGTGGGGCGAGCACGAGAAGACGAGGCGGAGGCTCGAGGAAGCCTGGGAAGCGAAGCGGAATTGATGATCAAAGCCTTTTCAATTACATCACTGCCCTGGTGTTTTGAGGGCTTTTCTCAAGTATGCACGTTGGGTTGAGTCATGGTACAGGGAGTTCACTGCGTGTTTCTGTCTTGTGTGAGGGAGGGTTGCCTGTCCATTACTACCTTACTGGTCGGAGTTTGAATGAATGCATTGTATGTAGGGCATAGGATACTCACATATGTTTAGTTTGGCCAGAAAGCGAAGGGCTGCCTGCGTGCGCTGCGGCGTGGCATGTTATACCTCGTCAATATCATCGTTCTGTGTTAATGTCATTGTTACCAAATCGCATACAGTTGAATTGCTACCACTCGTAAGACTCCAAATAAAACCAATATGAATGGTATAAGCACTCAGGAGAGCATCAAAAATGGTGTATGGGATCAAAACTGCTTATTCTGGAGTGATTATTCCATTGACAAGAATATCTATACCAGCCTTGTCCCGCCACGCCCGCTCTGAGTCCTTTATGTATCTACCAATCACCTCGCACGCCATACCAGCAAATTGTACTTCCAAGCACGGAGCTCCTGTTTACTCTATGGCTTGGGCACGTGGAGGCTCTTACTGCACATCAGAGAGCCGTGGATAAGGAACATGATAACAATGGGGTGGAATTCCAGCGGTGTGCCGGCGAACCAGACGCCCAGCGGCACATCGTCGAGGATCCAGCCCTGGCCAACCCAGTAGGCCATGAGCGCGTCGACGCCGAGCGTGGTCGGGATGGGCGTGCCTTCGAAGTAACTCGCCTTGCCGCTGGCGTCCTTGGGGATGTTGGCCGCCGTGACGTTGAAGCGTGCCAGCCGCGTCAGTCCGCACAGCACGAACACGGTCAGCAGGACGTGGTCGGCCGGCGTGCGCAGCCCGATGCAGAAGGCGACGCAGGCGGGGGCCAGACCGAAGGATATCTGCGGAAAAAAGAGGATTGTCAGGCCATGGTATTCTATGCATGGGGATGGGGATGTGGGATTGGGCAGGGCATCATCACGTACCAGGTCAGCCAGTGAGTCCAGCTCCTGTCCCATCATGCTGCTCTTCTTGCGCCAGCGCGCGACGCGGCCGTCCATGAAGTCGAAGAACAAGCCGAAGGGCAGGAACGCGAGGGCGAGCCACAGGTTGCTCTTGTCGGCGGGGTCTCCGAGGCAGTATCGTAGCGAGGAGAAGATAGACATGATGCCGCAGAAGCCTAGAAGGAGGGAGCACGCGAAGTCAGTCGTTTGTTGTCATGACCAGAGAGCGGGTGGGGAAAGAATCCATTGTACCGTTCATCTCGGTGATGTAGTCGGCCATGTGCATGGCCTTGAGCAGCGAGAAGTGGCCCTCGTTCGCGACGAGAAGGTCCTTCTGCTTGTCGTGCGCGGGCTCTTTCGTAATGGCAGCGCCATTGTTGACGGCGGCGCTGGTTCGCTTGGACATGGTCGTTGGTTTCTGCGTGTTTGTGATGGCGTATAGAATGTGGTTGACAAAACAATGAAAAGGTACGGTGAAGCTGTCTTCAGTGTTGTTTTGTATGCGATGTGCGGTCAGGTAGTTAGAGAGAACTTAGAAGAACGCGGCGGTGCAAGGGTACCTTACCAATTGTTGTAGGTATACCCAAGAGGGAAAGGCCGCTCGAAAATCAGGGCAGCCCACCGATGAAGTCATTTGCGACCTGGACAATGAAAGCGCCGCCGCGCGGGAGCGGTGACCGCCCCGGGTTTTACAAGGGGGGAGTCACCGTCATAAAAACAACAATTTACATAAGCAGCTGGCATAAGCGATCATTCCGGGCGTATCCATTTGGACTGGAAGAAGCAGCCGGATGGTGATTATTTACAGTATTTATTCAACCTCTTGCCTCCGAGTCTACACTCACATACAATATGTACACATAGAAGCATGCCAGATTCTTCATGAACCACAGCTCACTCCCAAGAGAGAGCGTCTGCCATTCACCCGGTCCAGTTCTACTGACTAGGTAGCTACCTACCTATGCACGGTAGGCTCTCCCAGTCAATGCCAGCTTCGTTCGTCCACCACTAACACCAACGGACAAACGACCTGGCTATCCACTTCTAGGTCGACAAAATTACTTCAACATGGGCAAGTCTCATCAACCCCAACTTGCCCTTTGCGGGATATCTTCTGGCCGCCAAGGTCGTGCCACCCTCGCCAATCGAGGCCCTTCTTCGCCTCCTCCAGCCTATCATCGTATTCCAGGTATAGAATTATGACGGACGATTGGTCCGCTTCGTGTGCTTGCAAAACCCAGGCGTCCAGTCCTGTATGGTCTTTGCTGTCTTCCAACGCCTGCAAGAGAGGGCAACAAATGCTAGATGCGTCGAAAGAATCTTGTCTGGATGCCGCCTGTCCAGATCAAATGCCGAAAGGAGAGACGAAACCATGATGCCGAAACAAACCGAAAATGCAAATGCAAATGTGGGAATCTGTCCATCCTTCTGACTGAAGGTTTGCCGCCCAGAATGCGTCATCAATCCACCATCGGGTCCAGGAGGTCCAATAGGACCAAGAGAGCCTCTTCATGGGCAGCAAGCGCTCGCCACGTTTACCGAAATTATGTGCCGAAAGCATTGTCTACCGTGTGATGATGAGAGAGAAACCGTCTACCCAGGCAGCACTGGATCCAGTCACGCCGCAGACCCGGAAGCCGGGGGGTGGAAGGAGGGTATGGCTAGACATGTCGTTAGCCGCCTTAGGTGCGAGTGGCAGGGAAGGATTGTGAACTTACGGAGAGCCACCGTTCACGTTGCCGTAGACGGGAGATTTTCTTCCCAGACTCGTCCAGACTTGGATGGCGTCAATCCAGAAACCTGATCGCACATAGAAACCAGTAATGTTTTCGCCCCGTGGAATGTCTACCAAAGTTAGTCTGCGCTTCGACACAAGAGGCTAGAGTAGAAAACCTACCCATCTTGAAAGTGTCACCGCCAGGTTTGCCTCCTCTCTTCCCAAAGAGTTGACTGTCCCCATTATCGTAGACGAACTCCATGCCATCCAGAGCGAACCCGTGGTAGAATACGATACGGGAGAGCACTCGGTCCTTCCCCTTCTCCGTCGAACTGGTGAAGATAAGCTCCTCTGCCTTGCTGCCTTCCATCTGTGAGAAACCGAGCTTGTTGCCTCGGAACGCCGGATTTCCGAAAAAAGACAGCTTCAACCGGGCAGTCTTGAGGAGTTGCTCGAAATCCGGAATGTCCAGGTTACCGCCGCCGTGTGACTTGATGCACACCTTCGTCAACTTGGAGCGGCGCTTGTTCTCGGGAAGTTTTTCTCGCAGCTGTTGTTCGGTCAAGGTAATGTTGCGCTGAGAGCAGCCATTCTCCAACTTGTACTCGATCCACGTGTGGCAGACATCATCGCCTTCTGTATACAGTTCAATGAACGAGACACCCGTGGCGGCCGTCACCTGAACCTGCCCGTTGTCGACCGGCCAAGCCTGGACGCTGTCGTCTGGGTTGGAGACCGGGTCGTTGGGCAGTCTGAAGCATGGATGACTGCGGAAGCGCAGACAGTCGAGCCGGTGCCAGGTACATTCATCGGCCTGCATGACCAGTCCGCCTTTCGACTTGGTCCTGGTGCTGTAGGCCTCCCTAGCGACGAATGAACGATTCAACTTGACATAGTCCCTCATCATGACGCCGCTCTCCTGGTGAGGGCACCCGAAGAGATGGCCAGTCTCGTGGAGATGGGCGCCAATGCCGACGTTGGCCGCCTCCCAGGAGCTTCCGGATTCATTGCAGTCGTTGGCAACAAAGTTGGTGTCAGTCGGCGTGCAGTCGGTGAACGCCGGGACCACCTCCTCGAAAGTCATCGGGTAGCTTTGTAGAGCGTGGGAACCGCAGATGGCCAGCTGCAGGTCGCCGGCACTTCCTCCGAGCGCTGCATGGCCGGTGATCGTCTTTGACGTCGTGTCCCAGTGCGAGTCTAGGATCAGGACTGAGACATATTGCTTTTGGCCTGGGAGTGGCTTAAAATAGCTCTTGACCGCCTCGGCAGCAATGTCAAATAGCTCCCCTTTCTTCTTTCCATCGTGGTTTTGCTGCGCTCGTTCGAGGTCGCGGATCTCGGCCACCGTCTTGTCGGACCGAATGATATGAATCCGCGCTTCCGATCGCATCGTGCCCATCTCCCTATCTCGTTGGTTGCATGAACCATTCATCCATTCTTCCTCGAAACGGAATGTTCGTCGCCCAAACCGGTTTCTGCGCATCTCCTCGGCAGTGAATGCTTGCCAAAGATAGGTCGCCATGCGAAACTTGCGAATAGCTGTCTCGAGCCCATTGCCTTCCTTCTCGATCCGAGCGGGCACAGCATCGAACGTACCCGGTGAGTCCTTGGCGAGCAAGATCGCCAACTGCAGGGGCGGGGAGCTAATCGGGGGGATCATGTGGACCACTATGTGAGTCGCATGAATCGGGTTCGGGGAGTCGCTGTTAGCAAGTTTGGGGCTCGTGAAATCAAAGCGCAGTTTGTTTGCGCCAGGCATCAGGTACACCAGCGCCTTGAACTGCGAGTCGCAGACCGGCCAGCAAGTGGGTGGGAAGCCATCATCGAGTCGCGACACGGTCACATTTCCGTCGAGCGAGTGTTGCAACCCCTCCCCAATGGTACCAGACACAAGAAGGGCTTTCTGATGGACCTATGCGACAGTCAGCGTCTGCCGCGGGATGTAACATATTTCTGGCGGTAGGGTCGTGGCCACGGGACAGGAGACCAGCCGGTCGTGGCGTCGATTGCATAAAGTAGAGTGAAATCAGCATACCCAAGAGCCATCGATCAGGTTCGTCAACCGCGGTGCGTACTGCGATACGGGCAGCGTCGACTTGCCATTCAGGCTAGGCGATCCGAGACCTGTCATGCCCGACACACTATATCGGTTGCTGTTTGCGTAGGATTGCAGCGGAGGTCTCGTGGGGAGCGACGCGGTCGACTGCGACGACAGGTCCTTGAGGTTGTTGATCGCAGGATCGGACTGCGTGGTTATCGAGGGGGGCGTAATGGATCCGGTTGTGGGTGTCGTGTTCTGGCTCTGGCGGTCCTCGGTGCTAGAGGCGTCGGTAGTAGATCGATCGTCGTTCCGGAAACTTGCTCGCGACCGCCGTCGCAGCTGCTTAAAGTTCGTTAGGAAGGAGGGCTTCGCCATGGCGCCTCAACGTCAGCAGAAGCCGACCGATGGCTGGCGATGGCGCGAGATGGTGATTGGATATCAATTGACGAAGGGAACGTCGTGTAGCGAAGCCTCTGAGTGTTTCTCGAGTGGGTATGCGAATGTATGTCTGAGATGGAGATTGGAGATGCTGATTCAGGGCAGCAGATCCACGTCCAGCTTAGAGAGACCCTGTTTTGGAAAAGCTCGGCAGAAAACAGAAACAGCATATGCCACAGGAGACCAGACGAACGTGGCTGGTATCCTGCTCAAGAATTAAAACGAGCGGCTTGACGGAGCAGTCAAACAAACACCTTGAGGCAAACAAGGGACTCGAGGGGAAGAAGTTGGAGGGATTGGCTGCGCGTGGCTTGCTACTGCGGCTGCTCGTAAAGACGTAAAGAGATAGAGAATGGCCAGTGGATCGTGAGTCTGATAGAGCGCTTGGTTTATTTTAGTAACATTGCCTGGGTGCAATGGGCCGATACCACCGGGAGGCTCGAAGAGGACTTGAAGGAGTCGGCGTCCCTGGACATCTGTCGACCGTGACCAAGACGTTGTAGACTTTTAGGTAGTCGACAGACTTGCCGAGCCGCGTGTTGGTTGGCTCCTGTTTGGTTCCGGTCTATTCCTGGCTGGTTCCTGGCTGGGCCTGTTTGGTGTTGTTGTGGCGAGATGGGTCAACGGAGCCGTCGTTCAGGTAAGCGTGTAACTGCGGACAGGCAATGTGGCCTGCCAGGCGGGATGGAGTGGGAGTCTGGGAGTCGAGACAGGATTGCGGTCGACGGGTCGCGATGACGTCCTTTTCTGCGGCCGGGCATGCAAATGTGAATGATTTGGCTCCTGGAATTGCAAATGCCAAATAGGAGGCCAGAGCTGGCAGGGGTCTACGGAGATACAACCCGTTGGGATGTCGGGAAGTGGGATACGAGGGCCTTGCGTCTTGGACTTGACCGGGGGACGGGGCAGGGGACAGTGGGCACACGGGGGGCAGAGACGGCGTGCCAGCCAGAAGGAAGAAACGGCTCTGGAGTCTGCTTTGCACTCGGTTGTAGACGCGGATGGCACAAATCCATCAAAACAAAACAATGGAAGCATGGGAAGTACAAGCAGGAGTGAGGACAACATTGAAGCAAGTGAGACTGACTAGCTGACTGCGCACAGCTAAACGCCGCATCCACAGTCCAGCACAGGATGTGTGCAGAAGGTATGAAGGGGAATAGTATTTGTAATACTGTAAATGCATGCGCGCACTGTGATGGCAACTGAAAACCAGCACTGAGATGCAAGAGACTGCAAACAACAGGAAGTCTTCAGCGCAGAGGCAGTGACTCGCGGCCCATTCACGCCATTGTACTTGATCAGCATTGAATAGTAGCGAACATCAAAGCCAGGGGTTCAAGGTTCGCAACTTGATTTGGGCTGGCTCCGAAGTGAGATCATCAATATGCCAGTCTCGGCGCCGGTCGAAGCCTGAGAAGACAGAGATTCACATTTGTATGTCTGTCTGTCTGTCTCGAACAACAGCTCTGCGCATAGACACCTCTTGGTGAGTAAAAGAAAAGTCCCTTATTAAACGTTGCGCCGTTTTGGTCGTTGGTCGTTGGTCGTTGGTGCTTGACAAGTGACGCTACCCGATGTTGCCGATTCACATGCGGGCAGCCGCTGGTCACAACATGCCAATCATGAAAGGATGCACAGATCTGCCGTCGATCATGCAGCAAGGTGGGATGCGGTAGTGAAGCCATTCGAATCAAGCGGCGAGCGCTGCAGCTGCGCGGGCGGGCGAAAGTGTTCCTTCACTTGAAACAACATTTTCCCCGCTGGCTGGCCGGCGTTGTTCAAATGGATGTGGCGGATGTGGATGACCGACCGACGGGAGATTTGAGGTGTCGGCGATGCAGATTGGAGATTGGAGATTGGAGATCGCAGTAGTGGGGCTTCGCTAGCCGGAGACACCATCTACCTACTACTTAAGTACATAGTACATAGAAGGATGGGCAGGTTTGCACATTTCATTGCCCGCAGAACTCCAAGTTGCAAGTATGTAGGATTCAGGAAGCAATAGTCAGGATCAGGATGGGCAAGTCTGATACCTTGTGTACCTTGTGGGATACCTTATGGGATTGTCAGGTCCTTCGGCACAAACAACTACATGTATCAAATGCCCAGGGGTCCGTGAGGAACAGGAGGCTTGGCAGCCATTCCTTTGATAACGAGCTCGAGCCTTCTTCGAGCCTCTCTGTTAATGATCCCTTATCTTGAACTTGATATTGATAGTTTGATTGAGATCCATTTCCTAAAAGCAAGTGTAGCTATCTATCGAGCAAGTTCAATTACCTCTCCCAGCAGCTATCAAATATCGAAAAGGGCCGTGATGAACCTGAATCTCAGTAATAGGGGGCCTCGTAACGTCTACCAAAACAGCCGGCCACGTCAAGAGATGGAAGGCATAGACCATCACCAGGCAGATTAAACCGATGCCACAGCCTCGATCTCCTCAACACATACGAACTCCGTGATGTGCCTACTCCGCAAGAGCTATACGAGGTGCCATATAAGGAATCCCAACACCTGTCCATCACCGGTGTCATGACAATCAAGACGGAAAGGTACATTATGATCGAGGTGCAGCCATGTCTGCTGTCGGATCCAGGTCACGCACCCAGCTTGGGGGGCAACCTTACTTCACGAAACTTTGTCGAACGTTCACCCGCACTTGAAGCTTCCTGAACGGCTACCCCTCGTGGAGGTCAGTCAGTCTTGAAACCTTGACAGTCAGTCTTTACGTGAGCTTCTGCATTGTGCGGAAGGCAGTCCATTTGTAAGTCACACATGTATTGGCCCAGAGTAGATGCATCTTGGCAGGCAACGTCTCGAACAAGCAAGCTTTCCACTACCTAATAAGCTATCGTACTGCACGGAGTAAAGAGCTTACAGTAGATTGCAGGCGTGCACGTTCCAACGTGTGTAGCCTCGCTTCGTCTGACCAGGGGTTTAATAAATCATTTGCGATCTCTTGTCAGATTCGGATCATGTCGTGACCGGAAAGACGAGTTATCCATGGCAATCGTGCACCACGATACATCAAACGATGCCCCCGTCCAATGTCTCAAGGTAAACAGGAACAAAGTTTCAAGTCACCCAAACTCCGGGACATATGCAGATAGACAGACACATCGAAGCTGGTTTCACTTCGTCTCTCCAAAAGCAAACCGCTCATGAGACGAGGTGAACTTGACGATACCTAAGTTGCCGACAGGAAGTCCAACCATTCGCGGCAAGGCAAGCGGTTTGTGTCTTCCCATGCTGTACAGTGTAGGCATCGATACTCCAAGCTCCCGACAAGCAATCTCTGCAAGAGGTAGACAGCTCCGAAATAGACCACTCGGGACTTCCATAAGATCCACACCATCCTGTCGGACAAGACTGAAGTTCGTTCACTCTCACTCTACGGATTTGAATGAGGCGCTGAAAGTGACTGTCAAAGTGGCAAAGGTCAACTATAATAATTGGAGGGCAATCCGCACGAAGATAGCACTTCACCAATGAATGAGCGAATGATAGCTGCGCTGGGAAAAGGAAGTTCAACCTTGTTGGCTCGGGGCGTAAAGTTGGCCTATAAGAAGCCAACTCGATGACAAGCAGACCGAATACAATCGCGGGAGCGCAGCACGAAGCAAAAGAACATCCCGTTCGGCGAAAGCAGATGAGCATCATGAGATTGGTTAGGTATCCGACAGATTGGTGTCCCTCTCCTTTGCAGATGGTGCTTTCTTTCGTTGCGACATGGCCCTATGAAACCCCAGTCCCTCACTGGGATCAGTGGGGTTGCCAGGCAGCGCAGGCAGCCCCAGAGCCCCAGCATGGACCTCAGAGACACCAGCATGTCGGGCTGGGCCTGGACGGGGCTGCTGCGAGCACTTCCAGGCCTGCCAGGGAGCTGCTGATAGCTGAGCTCGGGCGTGTCGGGCTTAACCACCAACCTACTAGGTATGCACCATTTCCTCACGCCGGCCGGTTTCCAGAGGAATGAGAGTCAACCCTGACCAGCGCTAGCGACCAACGAACATCTCCTCCCACCACGTTCACTGCCCAACAACACCACCACCAGTCCCTCCTTACTGACGTTGACATTGGCAACTTTTTTACACACACTTTCGTTCATTTGTCTTTTGGGACTCGGTGGGCGTCGTAGGCCAGTTGCCAGTTCAGGAAGAATCAGACCAGTCACGGATCCGCCTGCACACAAATCCCCCTCGTTTACAGCAGCAAGCGCCGGGCTCCCGAACCGACCCAATCACTCCGGGCCTCCACAATCCTTGCCTGATAACCACTCGAGAGGAGCTGGAGACCTCAGACGACATTCAGGAGAAAGAGGAGACGGGTCAAGATACTCTGCTGGCCAAGCAACCGACCATGTCGTCACCGCTGAAGAAACAGCCCGAGGCTGTTGCAGACAAAGTTCTCAAGCGGGTCGAAGTGAGCAAGGTACGATAGCAAAATCTGTTCGATGAGATGCAAGTAGGAAACGTCGGGACTAAAACAACCACTCTCGACTTGCAGATTGCACGAAGACTCCAGGGTCGTCTGGCCCTCGCACACCTCAAGACCAAACATGGCTGGGAAGATCTGACCCTCGACACGCTGGAGCCCAAGGTCGAGGAGGAGCGGAGGAGGCGCATCTGTGATGGCGATGCCTTTTCCGACTCGTCCTCCAGCACCTCGGAGCTCCCATACCCCTCGAGGGCCCTGATGAGCTCGCCGCTCAAGGCTCCGCTGTTTTCCGACGCAATTGGTTCCAGCAACGGCAGCACCGGGCATCGCAAACGCACCTACACGCCCTCGTTCGACATGACCATGTCCAGCCCGCCCAAGCGGCTCCGGTCGTCACCCACGGCGCACAAATCCTTCAACGCTTCCCACAGCTCCTGGAGAGGGCATCGCCAGCTGATACAATCTTCTCCCATCAAGCCCCGGAGGCAGCAACATTTCACCACTTCGAACGGACCCGAAGTCTCCTTCTTCCAGGGAACACGCCGCCCCTCGGTGGACCTGACATCCCCCAACTTTGCTGCACAGTCGGACGATGATGACGATCTGCTACCTGCGCATTCCTTCCAGGTCGACCACAATCGGGCATCCCCTCCTAGTACACCACCTATGCGGAGCAGAGGGGGAATCAACGGCCGGAATCACGACAAGGGCCAGGCGAAGACGTACAAGGCGGGCGAGGAGGGCGCAGACCTGCTGCTCTACCTGGCGCACTCTCCGTCCCCTGCAAAGCCGTCATCCAACAGAACGCTCATGGAGCCTCCGTCGACGCCGCCACCGCGGAAGGACCTCGCCCTGCCGTCGTCGATGATGACCACGCCTGGAGGGGGTGGCATGTTCCCCACCACACCGGGCCAAGCATTCGACTTTGCAGACTTTGTGAACATCACGCCCAGTCCGGCGCAGAGGCCTTGGAAGACGCCGTTGTCGATCTCGGCAAGAACACCTACGGCGAAGACGCCCACGACGGGGGCACGGCGGCGTCTGACATTTGACGAGCCCATGCCACATGGTCTGGCGTAAGACTATACACTACGAATTTTACACACCGACCTGTCTTGGACATGACAGTCATCGAGCTTCTTCTATGTCTCTTGCGTTCCCCTTGCCCCTTTTCAGTGTGCATGCATGTTAATGCACACATGACTGACCAATACCCACCGGCACGTCGCCGTCGTCACCCTATCTGCTATTTGGTGTTTTCAGCGTCCTGTTCAGCTTGCTTGCTGTGGTGGTACATGGTGGATGGATATGCAACACAACCACGTTTTGGGTCAGCGACACAGGAAGCACAGGACACGCATGGAGTTGATTGGTCACGGAGTTGTTTTGGTCTTGTTTTGCAACAATTGTCGTATGTCGCTTCGACATGCACAGGCCGGGGCCCCTTTTGAGCACTAGCAGTTTGTGCATTAAGACAACACAAGGTCGTCACCTCCCTTCATGTTTGCTTGCCTGGTTGAGGTGCGACATCACGAGGAAAGGAGCTGTGATGCTGTGATGGATGGAGGAATGAAGGTGGTGGCGGGGTGGTAGGGTGGTAGGGTGGGCCACTGTACGCGTCTCAAGGTTTTCCTGTCGTGCAACGCGTCGCGTCTTTTTCGTGTTGCCAATTAAGCCGGTAGCCAATCAGGTATCCCGATCTCACTGCTAGTCTGCTACTGATTCAATGTAGGTGGTAATTGATGTTATTGGTCTGTTCTTTTCTTGATACATGTACCCTACTACCACTACCCCTCCTTGCTGCAGCGCTATTTCCGCTCATGCAGGGATTCGTAACTTGGTGATGTCACCCATCGGTTTCGCTATTGGCCGCTTCCAGTCGTGGCTGTCTGCAGGTGGGTTGTCTCCCGACTCTTGTCAACAAATGAATCAACAACTGTGATCCGGCTTGAGGTCGTGATGAACTCGACCATTGTTAGCCTCGGTTCTACGTACTTGGGTGTGCAAGTTTTCTTGCGAGTTAGGTAATTAGAACGAGGATAGAAATAAATAAGAGAAAATATAATAACACTTGCGAATTTTCTGGTGGAGCCGGTGATCCGGCAACCGTTGGATAGTATCCCACAGCCCGAGGCCTGCGTCAGACACGGGGACGAGAGTCTCGGCACACGGGCACCAAAGGTTTTGACTGCTCGAGACTGACGAGTCAGCAACAACGTGAATGCCAATGTTTGTACATCAATTGGGATAGCGTAGACTCTGAATTAAATGGCAGACTTCCGGGATCCGGCTTGGGTGTGAGAGGTATGAGGGGATATCGGAAGACATAACATGTTGAAGCGGTTCGAGGATCTCTGCATCTAGGTATTACTAAAGGACTCGAGGTTGCGCTTGAGTCGGGATTGGATGTCCTGTTTCCATGGGAGAGGACGAGGGCGCTGTATACCTGACTTTAGGTAGCTTCAGTAAGAGTTGGAGACGGGAGGCTCTGAGTATGAATATAAACGACTTGGAAGAGCCATTTCCACATCCAGCTGGTTTAGTCATGTCTCTCAGAGGATCGATATAACCGTTGACTTCAGACTAGATAACTTAACCAAGGTAGGTGGCATAATCATAATAGCTTATTAGTAACTCAGATGACGGTCAAATACCAGTGCCCTGGGAACGGACCGTTGAATACCATCTCTCTGCGAAAGCTTGTCGAGCCATCTTGGAGAATAAGCTTCCATAGCTTCTAGAGAACGACGTCTGGCCCTACAAGTGCGGTCACAAGATAAGCAGTCAAACATATATATAACGTTGACTTATTTCATTCAATCGCACTCCAAAACGAATGTTCCGTCACCGGGGCCTCTCCTATCACGGACAAGGACACCGGGGCGTACGAAGCGTGCCGAGTGCCAACTACCAACTACTTCCTGCCATTTCCGATCTCATACCATATCACGGAGGCATCCTCCGCTGGGGTTCCATAATGTCCATCGTACATCTCATCGTGTATCGTGTTCCTTGCATCCCATCTCATGCCTCCAACCACAGTCCAACGACTGACTGAGTCCACTCGACTCGACTCGACGAAACTAGACAATAAAAATAGGGCATTGCCTTTCCGTCTCTTCCTTCCGATTCCCCTTCATCCTCTGATGAATTCCCAACCCCCTCCCCCCTCATTTTTCCTCCCCGCTACGCCCATCCTGGCAGGTATCATAAGCGAGTGTGACGCCAGGTATAGGTATCTTCCACGTAACCCCCTCCCCCCCGCAAAGGCAATGTTTTCCTCGGAACGGAAAAACGCCAGAGAACGCCGGGCTGCCTCCTTTTCGGTATATGCCACTCAAAAGCACCAAGGCAAGAAAACGAAAGAAAGCAAAACGCTTCATGCGTCATGGTCTAGATCAGACCCCCCTACGACGCGTCCAGGCTTCACAGCGCCTTACCCACGCTCCCCTGGCTGCCACCGATCTTCGTCCGGCCCAGCGCACTATCCGGCGTAGGCGTCTCGCGCCGCGCCGCCGCGGGACCGACATCCGGCCCGGGATCGCTCCAGTCGCCCAGACTCATGACGCCACTCGAGTACTTGGACGTGAAACTCTCAGTACGAACGTGTGCCATCCGAGGCGTGTTCGGAATTCCGCGCTTACTACTAACGCGGCTGCTCCGGCTCCCGCCCGACATGCCGACGGTTCGGGGGTCTTTGCTGGAGAGCAGCTCGGGCCGGTCGAGGTCGAAGGGGTCGGAGCGGAACTTGTTGCGCCGCGTCTCGAACGACCCCATGCTCGTCCCGGACTCGCGGTACATGCTGTCCCCACGGGGACCGCTGGGAGGCCGACCAGCGCCACCAACGGGATCGCTGACGCTGTGACCGCGCGACCGGCGGACGTTCTGGACATAGGTCGTCGGCCCCGTAGATCTCGCCGCTGACGGGACCGCGACGGCATTGGAGTCCGAGAACGGGTTGCTGGGCGCCATTTTCGCCGAGTCGCGGCCCACGGCGTTGGCGTCGGAAAAGGGATTCAGAGTGTCGAAGTTGAGGTTCAGGCCGCCAAGGAAGTGCTCGTTGCTGCCCACCGAGGCGGATCGTCGCGGGTTGCCGCCGTTGGCGCCGTTCATGCTGCTGTCGCGTTCCTTGGCGCGCTCACGTTCCTTCTCGTCCATGCTCAGCAGCGTGAGGAAGTCCGGTTGTGAGCCCCGCGTCGGCTTTTTTCCCTCCTTCATGCTCCGCGTGACGGCGAACGGGTCGTTGTCGGTGCGGTTGCTCTTGGGCTCGCCGCCGCGCAGTCGCCAGTTGAACTTGGCGTCCTCCGTCAGCCGTCCCCACCAGTCCGCGAGGCGGTCCTTGGCCGTCAACGGAGCAGCCCCGGCTCTCGAGCTGGATCGGCTGTCGGGCGTGTCGGGCGGTCCGAATTGCGAGTTGCCCCGGTTGAGGTTCACGCTGGGGTTCGGACTGTGGGAGACGAGTCGGCTGACCCGGCCGCGGATCCGCTTGTAGTTGTATCCCACGACCGCTCTGAATTTCTCCGGGAATGGGGTCGGCCCTAGGGACGTCCGGTTGATGATGTAGGGGCCCTTCTCATCGCCTCGGCCTCCGCCGAACGTGGGTTCCGCAGAGAGTGGTGTCAGCAAGGTGCTCCTCCGCTTCTTCATCATCCGCTTCCTCCAGAACCATATCAGGACCCCTATTAGTGCGATCGCCGCCAATCCTCCAATCACACCTCCGGCTATGGCGGCCGTCTTCCCGGTGCTGGTGGCATTGCCGGTCGCTGCTTCACCTGTACTTGGCAGCACTGCCCCCGTTGTTTCGGACTCGAGTGAGCCTGTGTCTATGCTTGTCACTGGTGCCAAGTCTGTAGTCGTGGGATCTGATGTGGTGGTACCAGTCGTTCCAAATGGTTGAGTTGTTCCAGTCGGCTCAGTTGGCTCAGTCTCCTCGGTTGTTGTACTTGATGTATTTGATTGCACATCCGACGCTGTTGTCGATGCTAATTTGTCATTAGTCTCCGTGCCTGAGTCCAGCGCCTGAGTATCTGACTGACTGGTAAGAGCTGTGAAGGTGGGGGGAGTGACATCTTCCACAGGACTAGTGCCAATAGATGTTGGAGTTGTTGCTACAGGAGCGTTAATTATGACAGGGACTGCTTGTGTTTCTGTAGAGCCAGGCTCGACAGTTGTGCTTGATATCACGCTCCGGGAAGATGTGGAGCTTGTCGTACTTGGTACAGTCTCTGGTGAAGCACCTTGAGTGCTTGTGACAGAAGCATCTATCGTCGGCGGCGGCGGTGGCGGCGGATCAGCTGGAGCTGGAAACTGAGTCGGCCCCTCGGCAGCAGCTGTCGTTGGTGTTTCTATTGATGTTGAGATCGATGTCGATGTCGATGTCGATGTAGAAGTTGAAGTTGTTGATGTCGAAGTTGACGACGTCGTCGAGGTTGATGCTGCCGCCGGTGTCGTCTGTCCACCTCCGCCTCCTACGTTCAGTGCTATCGGCACTGCCGTGCATTTTTTGCCATTGATTGTCGTTGTCGAGAACCCGGTCGTCGACATGGTCGCGAAGAATATCCAAAGTATGCGATTCCAGCCGCAGATGTTATGGAGAGGGTCGCTTCAAGCAAACATAATACCAGCAAAAAGGGTAAATACAAGAAAGAAACGGCCGTTCCGGCCTCGCCTTTGGCCACGAAGAGAGCATGAATCAAGGTCAGTTGGGAGATAGACAAGAAGGCTCTCTTTTTCCCTAGGAAAAATAGAGAAGGGGAAACCGCTTAATGCGCGACACACTGGATGATGGATGGAGTGAGGCGCAGCTTAACATGAGGTGTGGAAGAGAAGAAACACAGAGAGGAGGGAGATCTGGACGATGGCTGTCTCGAGACAGCATGGGCCGGGCCATGATCAAGCGGTCCATTCATGGCGACTAGACCAAGAAGAGGCAGACAAGGATGGCAAATAGTCGCACGGGCATCCGTTTCTGTCGCAGGCCCGCAGCATCGAAGTGTTTGACGCGTACCGAGACGGCGATGGTATTGGTCGGCCACAACTCAGAGGAATGGAAGTCCGGAAGATTGCCAGAGAAGCAGGGGTGACGTCGGCAGGGAGGCTCGGATGGTGGAGCGGAGGGTTGCATCGCCATGCTTTAATCGAGGCAGGCCCCTGTCCAAGACCTGTCCTGCGACACACCTGAAGCACACATGGCCCCTCAGCCGCATCATCCCGGCCCTTCGCGGCAACCACTTTCGACCTCGTCCTCGTCCCCCGCGACGATATGTGACGGAGCACTTGGCTGTCTACCGGTATTCCTGGGGTGGTGTTCATGTCTGACTAATAAGGAGATATAAACGAAAACACACGTGACACGGTCGACCGATATGACTACAAGTGCAGAAGCGCGAACGAGCATGTCGCTACTGTTTCTCTGTCTCGACATGTACGAGCCGCTCATGGCAGAGTACTGACGAGTATGTATTGAGTCCTTGCTCGACCAACGTTTAGCCGCCTGCAGCGACCGCCGCGCTGCGTCGCCAGCTGCACAAGAGACCTGCAGTGCTAGAGGGGAATACAACGCCTGCCAGTTGCGCTGACGTTGTGTACCTCGAATTTCGCATAGCGTTGAAGATGCTACAAGATAGACACACACATGTCGATAGCTCGAACGGTATCCCGAACAAATGAGATATGTCGGGAATCGTAGTACGTGCGGAATAGGGGTAGATTCCCTTCTTGCTTGTCTTATTTAGGGTTAATGGGCCTGATTTAGTCCTAAATATACACTTAACCCACAAAAACAGGCCCATCTTTAGAGCATCTTAATAAAGCTCCTCCATCTCCCTGCTTCCAGCTGGTCCCTTTGACCTGACGTGACCACCAGGGCCACCAGTCCTCCCAAAATATAAGCAAAGGCCTTCCCCTGTCCACCAGGTACTCCCGAGCCCGACTCATTTTATACACCATGCCTCCTAAACTCTCTCTCGTCCGAGCTCGCGGTACTAGACCTTTCGTCCTCTTCGTCCATTCCACCAAGAGGCGAATCGTGCACTTCCTGCGTGATGACGGTAGTCTTCTGGATTCCCGAGAGGCCTTCGGGGTGCCGTCTCTGCTGGCTCAGCTCATCATCGCTGCCGAGCTCGATATGTGTCGTGTGATGGCCACGATACGGCTTGTTTGCACCGCGCGAGATCGAGGCCAGGAAGCTGTTGCTGTTGTCGGTACCGACCTTGGTGGTGGTGGTAACCTTGGCACTGGTGGTGGTCTTGCCCCGGGTTGAAGATTTCTGCCCAATGCCGGACGACAATCTGTGGCTTTCGTGGTTGGACGCTCGAACGACCTTCTTGATGAGGTCGGCCATGTTCAGCTCGATGTGGAGTTTGATTGCGTATGCTAGAGCTTGGAATTGCAGGTACCTAAGGGGTTGAGCGCTCGCTCATCGTGCATCGAGAGGGCCGCTCAGGGGCACTTACACTAGGGCATTGGGCATTGACATCATTCCAATCAAGGTAATCTACTGCTGTCAGCTGGCTGTTTTTCGGTAGAAGGAGGCTTCGGGGGTGGGGAGTGAAGGGCACGCAGACTTACATCTAATGAAATTGACAAGCTGACCAAAATTACGTTGACTCGAAACAGTGGAGTGTATTTCGTCAGGCCGTTCTTGATCAACCGGTGCCGAACAAGATGAATGAAGTATATGTTCAAAGAGGCGTCCACTGCCAGGAATATGCCTTTCTCGATCCTATCCCATATATTGTTGATATGTATCCAGGTCGGGTTGATTTGCAGGCGCGCGGGTATCCAGATAATAAAGACGCTGATATTAATTAGGGCCATGATTAGGAACACGCCCCATTTCAGCTGTGTGACTTTCCGACGGACCATCATCAGGAGTGACACTCGGTTGATGATGATCTGCACAATCAGTTGTGACTGGAACACCCAAAGCACCACTGTTCTGTGTTCAGCTTCCGCGTATACAGCAACAGCGTTGCAGTGTAAGCTCACAGTTAAAGAACCATAGCCAGAAACTACATTGCCAGGTCAGCAGTGGACACGTCGTGAGCTCAGAAGGTGGGATGACAGTACCTCGCCGGTATCAAACCCCAAAGATACAGCCAGGCCAGCAGAGCATATATGTTGTTGGTCGCCCAATGCCCCCATATCATGGCAATATACGCCGTGGTTCGATGCCCGCGTTTCCAGGCATGATACGTTTGGCGATATGCCTTGGCGCAGGTGAAGGCCGATACTGCGAGATGGAATCCCCTGCGGCATGCAACATCAGCAAACACTGTATTTTCCAAAGCATAGTCCCAGCAGACACGGGGCAGGTTTTAATAAGGAGCATCATGAACAAGAACATGTGGTGTGGCATGAAGGAAGATGCCCCGGGGTCTGACTTACCAAAACACACTCGCCGTGTTCATAATCCCCCGAGTTACCTCTTGCTCCACAAACCATGGTGGTACCAAGAAGCCACCCATTGCAACATGAAGTGCTGCTGCAAGTGGTTTCCCTGAGACAGCAAAGAACAGAAGAGTAAAGCCACACGAGCGACGACGGTTCAGTGGCAACACCTTATATGAGTAAATAGAAATGGACTGGCAGCCATCGGTGCAGATCACACCCGATATAAAGTGTTTCCCCAGTGTCCATCGGCAATACCTCCCATTGGATTCCCCAAATTCGAGGGTCGGCGCTTGTCTAGTACGCGGAGTAGCGATGATTCAGGATGGAGGCCGGATAAGGGGCCGTGAGGGGCCCCGGAACAAAACGCCCCTAGATGAGACTAGCAATCATTGATAGCCAGGCCATCTGAGTTCGAGGCATGGCCCTAAAACGCGAGAGTCGATGGTCTCTGGAATATATGAGGGACTAGGTCGTAATAGACCGTTAGTCTACAGAGTGCGCTACCAAGTTACTAGTCACCTCCCAAGACGCGTGAGCTGTCAACCTTGGCGAGATGCATCCATTACCGTATTCCAGGGGTAATTCAGAGCATGGATATTTCTCCTGTGGTCGAAGAGTTTTGGCATAGAACATCAAATCTGCTCTCATCGGAGTAGGGAGTATTTCTTTTTCGGCCTAAGGCTAAGATGTCTGGCAGTGTCAGGTTATGCGAGTCGAAATAAGTGGCATATGATGACATGACTTGACGGACGTTCTTTCGGTGCCGCTAGATGAGGATACCCCAGATATTTGCAATGGATGGTCAAGTCTGATATGGCGAACTATAATAAGCAGTGCTCCGCGTTTACGTTAGGGCTGGTCTCCTGCAGTCGGGGCCGAACAGAGCACGCGATAAGGAACCCGGCTGGACGGACTCGTTCTACAAGGCGTTACACGCCGCCTGCTTTTGATGGCTCCACCTAGGAGATGGCAGCCCATTGCGGTAGCAGCTTGTTACCAAGCGATGGCTCTAGATCTTCGCAGTGGCATGCGTCTTTATTTAGAGTTCATGCTCTGGAGACGGCGTCTCTTGGAAAGGCACCAACCCCAGTCAGGGGCATATCTAGTACCATGGACGACTGTACGTCAACGCTGGGAATAGGCTTGGCCGTTGCGCCCTGACACGTTCAAGGCTGGGTTCGTACTGACTGTTGAGGAGTCAGAGAAAGAAGTCGATATTTTCAACTCCACTATGATTCCTAAACCTGTGGGGTAGCTCTTCCTCCCCTGGGGTAGCTCTACCCCGTCTCGCACCCTCTCCTCTCCTTATTACCACTTTCTAATACTCTTCTGGTCTGCGCTCCTCTTTTTAACGCCAACGAAGTACCTATAGAGTGTACTATCGAACTTTATAGCTTTATCATGAAACCCCTATTATGCCACCACCGTTGACATGGGGTACGAACATCTGCGCCTTCGGATATCTTCTTTGAGGCTATTATCTGATCCCCGAGAGGTCTGAAATCAAGACCAACATAGCTTTGCTCATTCCCTTCCTCGTGTAAGTCATCAGGACTGAGTGCCTGTCTTTCTTGATAGCACGCAGATGCTTGAACAGCGAGGACCTCGGGTAATGACCATTCTGGCCACGTTTAGTACCCATCAAGCGGAACCAGATAAAAGGCTTGATGAGCCGTTGTCCGCCTTCACGAAGCTTGCTTCTGGCTTGCTCAAAAGGCTATGGACATTAGCAGGCATCAAGAGAACTGATTCGATGCCATTGCGATGCTCGGCTCGTAATTCTTACTTGATCCGGACAGCGTTCCGTGGGCCTCGGATTGGACTCCAGAAGAACTAAGGGCAAACATGAGTCAATCCGTTCCAACGAGTGGAAGGAATAGCCTGCTTGGTTCGTTGTCCGGATGAGAGTCGATACTCTAGCTCAGAGGGTCACACCCCTTCTCGAGGATGCTCTAGTACCCCATCGGCAAGAGTTGACATGTCATGGGGCCGGATCTTGGGCCTTCCCGAGACCCATGGCGACCAGGAGGGGGGGGAGGGGGGTTTGCCGCTGTAATACCAATGAGTGCAGAAGCTTGAACGGCCGATCTGCAGAACATCAAACCGGACGGATCAGCTTTGTTCTAGCGAAGGCTGGTCTCGGCACGGCCTTCCGGATGTGATGACGGGGTAACATGCGGACATGACGGGGTTTCTGGAAGCACCTGAGCTGCTGAGATGTCAACTTGTCAAGGCGCCGATGCGATGGATACCCCACAAGAACTTAACCTTAGAAGAATGGGAAATGACGCACGGACCAGGCATCTCATGCGACCCCATGCCAAGTTGCCAACACCTGTACCCGTGGACCCAGGACGACGCTAGGGAACGCCCGCTTTCCATCCATCCTCCCGGGACGTCCCCGCCTCCTTTCTATCCTTAGTCATATTGTTACTACTGTAGTCTAGCAGTGACACCATCACACCGTGTTTCTGTGCTATTCACTGGTTCCCTTTCGGGACGGCATCTCAGCCTCGAATCTGTCCAACAAGGTCGATTATACTATATTCTAACATATCAACAGCTGATGGAGACTTATCAAGCCTGACCAACCAATCAGACATAGCTATTGTGACAGCGACATTTGGAGTCGGTTCATGTTACCCCTCGCTGCACCTCCGCACCAACAACAACCAACACGACGCATTTTTGGATACAAACAAAACGCCTCACTCGATAATAATATTGACTTCGCTTTCAACTCGAGCGGATGCTCGTGGATGCTCCTCCTAGCAACACATCCAAGCTCTCACCATGTTCGGCGGACTGGCCAACTTGGGTAAGTCGGGCATCTATCTTTCTCTTCCTCACTGAATCAGACATGTCTCGTTAGTCACTTTAGTCACTATGCCTTCAAGGGCCTGTAACAAAAGAGTCCCAAACACTACGCTAGTGGTGGTGTGAGAACATGGTCGACAACTCCCTTGCCTGTTTCGGTGCTCTTCCTCCAGCATGCCCAGACCAAACCTCATGTCACACTGCTTCACCATTAGACCCGGTTGACTTGGTCCCCCTTGCTATGCCACCATTCGGGATTAGCATGGTCAAGTCTGGCCAGAGTCGTCAGTTGTCATTATGAATACTGTCTCATACTGATCTTCTAGTTCAACCGCCGGTTATCGGTCCACCGCCAAAGAATGTGCCCCCTCCCACCCCTCTCAGGTTACCACAGTGCAATCCGCAACTGTCACCTCCCTCTGAGACGTCTTCGCACGGGACAGCAGGACATACAGACAGAACGTCTGAACCATCTATAGTTCGCTTCCTTCAGTCGCTCCACCGCCCAGCCGACGTCAACGAGTCCCACTTCAACGCAGTCGGTGTCCATGTTCACTCCGACGCGCCGCCTGAGGATGTCATCCCGGATCCGTCCTACCTACCATCGGCGTCAGACTGGGATGGTATCGACCAGGACGAGGCTAGAAAGAGAGACCAATCCTTCAGGCGCCCATTATCCAATGGAAGTCTGTCACCCGAGGGCCGCATCTACTTGGAACGGCGAAAGGAGCTCTCCATACCAAACCAAGCTGCCTTCCGTACCGTCCGCCGGATAAAACCAGAGCCGGGGAAGCAACCGCCGCGTTTAGGAAGTTGCTTCGAGTTCTTCAAGCAGATGGAGTTGATGTGTTCATTCTGGGATGACACCTCGTTGCCGCCGTTGCCAGAGGACGACGGTGATGATGACCAGGGTAATGAGGCGGTTCCTCCTCTCCCATCACGTACGCATCCTATAGATGGTAGCCTTGATCAAGTTGGTCATTCTGTCATTGCCGCCGCCGCCGAGTCTAATACCCGTTCCGAGCCCGAATCGGAGTCGAAGGTGGATTCTCCGGAGCGGGTTACGTATCGGACTGCACCCGGGTCCCAGATGCCACCCGAGTATCGCCACGCTATGGTCGCTGCCTTTGTCAAGCTCGTGACTTATGATTTTGGCTGTACCGTGGCGCCGCCGCGAGTCGAGCCCAGGCTACATTTGACTGGATCACCCCCAAGCAAGGAGACGTCGACGTCCAAATCCAAGCCGGCCCCTTCACAATCTCAAAGGTCATCCTACTTCCCGTCCGGCTGCGTCTTCCTCTTCCGCACCCCCAAAACCCGTGACGCCGCTCGTAGCGGCATCCTCGAGGGTCCGGTGGCGGCAGTATCAGCCCGCAACACGACCAGCTTCTCCACGCCCGTCGACTCAAACGTCGACTTCGGCCGTGAGCTGATCGCCGCCCTGGTCACTGCGCAACACCGCGCCCGCGAGAACAAGGCGGAAAAGCGAATCGGCGAGGGCAAGTGGTGGACGACGGCGAAGCGCTGGGGCGGCGGCGAAGGCGGTCCCATCGGCCGCGAGGTCGAGGGCGATACCGTCGTCGGCGACAAGGACGCAGCCACGAGCCCGACCGATACCGCGCCCTCCGAGGGCATTGCGGCCGCCGCCGGCCAGGCAGCATCCACCGAGAAGCCGTCCGCGCAGACAAAGCCAAAGGCACTCGCCGTGCGGGGGCCGCCCCTGACCAAGAAGCCGCGCAAGAACCTCAGCATGTACGACAACTACCGCATGATCCGGCCGCCGTCGTCCAACTGGGACAAGAAGGTGCGGTACGAGGCCATCGGCCGCACGCACGGCGCGGGGTACGACGACGTGTTTGTGCTCAGCAGCCTCTTCCACCACCTGTGCGTGCTGCGGGTGCGCGTCCCGCACCGGCTGCTGCAGGTCTTGGACGGCGGGTCGGACAAAGAAGGAGAAGAAGGAGAGGGAGAGGGTCATGAGCCTGACGAGCGGTGCTGGGGCAGGCTCGAGATGTGGCGCAGTCGGTGGTTCGACCTCTTTGTTGTCGAGGAGAGACTCGAGGCTTTGCGTCTGCTGTGGGGCATGATGGCTTGGGCGATGCGGAAGGGCGAGGATCAGGGGGAGGATCAGGGGGAGGATGTGGCTATGAAGAATGCCTGAAGCCAGTTTATGGTTTCCGCCTACCTCCCTTTCACTGTTCTTGGACGATGGTTGGCATGGGCACTTGCGGACCGTGGAGGACGGCAGGATCTGTTTCTCAAGACCGCACGGGTTGTCGTTCACTGGACTTGGCTACTCCCTCGTGGGGTGCGCCTGTGTTGGTGCTCTTATTATATAGGTAGCTGTTGGATGATGATGACGATGATGAGTGTTTGAATGCCAGATTCAGGATTTCCAACAGCTAGTTCCCTTCCAATTTTCTGATGTGTCTACGTCTACCAACTGCCCGCTTTGCCAGAACACAACGCTCGTGCTTTCTAAGGACTCATCCCCTTGGTATGAAATGGACTGCACCTCATGGGTCGATTCTAGTACGTTTTAGAAGTAGCTACAGTGAGATGGGTAGGGCAGTAAGTAATGTTTGGGCTAGAAATAGAAGTGTTGACTGCAAGGAGGGCCTTGGAGGTTCTCCCAACATAGGACAATCTAGGCCACAACTATGTGCAGATTGTATTGAGGCACAGAACGAAGAAACACGGGTCATAAGCAAGGGTATTATGAGATCTGCTATTATGAACCGCTCTGTCTTATATAAAAGGCACAAAGTCTGCCAAAGCACGTGGGCTGTCTTGGAAGGCTACGTAACTTACTTATTCATCAACAAATATGTACACGAGTCTCTGCCGTGTGATTGCGGGCCTCCGCCCATCTCTTTCTGCGCGTGTTTCCTCCCACTGGTAGACCCAACACTGAGACGAACCACCCGAACAGTCTGAACCCTCGCTGTGGCTGGTTTGAGACATCAAGCAGAACCAAGATTCGCTGTGGTACAGAAACACCTCGTAGGTACCGCAAAATACTGTCTAAGCACTCAGTTGAAATCTCCGGGCCTGCGAGTCAGGCTTCAGCAAACGCAGCTGTTACTCTTTATAAGAGGCCTTTCTGCCGGCGCCGGACAGATTCCCGCGAGATCGGGTTGTGAGGGAACAGTGACGATTTGGTGGAGCAAAACAGGTTCAACGGTCTAGACCCGGGTTCGTTGAGGAGCCGAGACAGGGGCGTGGCGGAGATGCCTATAGGCTGAACTTCCAACAGCCTCATCTGTCAAGCTGAAAAGGACCGGCGGTGTGATGGGCTGGCGGCCTCGCCTTGCCTCTAGCCTCAGGTGAGCTGATACCTGATTGTGGCCGATGCAACGCCTCTGACGGGTAGTATCGCGAGAAACGTGGTTATGGGGTGGCTGAGGGTGCCGTCACTGAGACATGCCGTGCCGTGCCGCTCCGCTCCTGGGAGTCGCGATGGCATGGGAAGCTAATGCAGATATAACATGGGGTTTACAGCTGAGTACCACAACCACGGGCTAGTCGGCAGAATCTTCCCTGCATAACATGCAAGCCCGTGGCTATGCTATACCCAGGTGTCTAGTAGTGTCTAGGAAGACGCATATGGCGCCTGTACGTCGACGAGGAGGATCGTCTGATGCTGTACTCACGATCTGCCCAGCCCATTTGGCAAATCTGAATAGTTAAACCCAGGAGACGCCGAATCAAACGTTGATCCGGGCACAGGGCTGTGAACTAGCCCGCTCGGCCGACTGTCACCACGCGTGTTATAAGCGACTTGATGGTCTAAAGGGAATACCGATTGGGCACATACATGTTCGCAGGCAACGTGGAGAAGCCCAAAATTGCTGCGAGCAGCTTTCCTGAATGCGTTGGCGGGACACTGCCACGGGAGTCCTGTCGGTGCAGCGTAGGATTGAAACTCGACGCAGAACGCAGATAAGATGGAATCATGGAATCAAGGTCCCCGGCAGGGATTCGCCTAATTGGTAAGCTGCGCCGGATATTGATGTGATCATTACAGGGCTGGCATGGAAAATGTGTGCTTGTTGAACTACGACAAGCAGATAGAGAGGCAGAGAGAGGTTGATAATTGGTAGAGTGAGGTCAGCACGGACTCGGGTATGCCGTCGCCATGCCGGAAAGGGGAGGCTGCAGATGGTAAACCATTGTTCCCGCATGGCTGCAGCTCGGAGACCTATCATGATGGCTAAGAAAGAACAGCCAATGCGACCTTGAAGCGGACAGTTCGTCTGAATTTGAGTAGGTGTGGGTTCGTGATGTGTGGTATCGACCTTAAAAGTACTATGCAGAACTTAGAAGGGTCAGTCCCAAAGCGGTCTGAGCGGTCTGCCACGTGGAGAGAACCCCGGAGACCTGACGAGGTGCAACGGCGGACTTGCCGGTGTATTGAAGCGAACATGGCTGGTTAGAGCGAGCATCAGTCAACAAAGCCACGATGACAAACTCAGAGTATGGTGATATGCGTCCGTGGCTGTGGTGGTGGTCATACAAGGCGCTGATTCGCTCTCTTGGGATATTTGACAGGTTGGCATTTGCAACGGTAACGACGCAGACATGTCGGCTTCCGGATCGCGAAATAGGGTGTCTTGTCAGGAGCTGTGTAGCCAGAGAGAAGTTCCTTGTCGCGAGCTGAGTGTTATCAATGTTGATTTCAGAGGCGTGATTGGCCGACTCCTGAGATAACCAATAACCAAGTGGATTAGCAAGAGATGAGTGACGATGCAAAGCGAAAGCAGTGGCACTGAATCAAAATCCTTGATGAGTTGAACTGTGGTGATGTGCGACTATCACGACTTGGATACTTCATGTTGGTAGGACTGAGAAGTGAGGAGAAAGATGACTGTCTGATGGAGGTGGACCTTCAGATGTGTGTGGGTGACGGGTATGCAAGCTCTTTGCAGGCCATCTCGCCCTATCACGGTTAGCCCAAGCCTGAAATTACCGACCTGCCCCACCACCTGCATCTTCTCGCCCAGATACAGAAACTCAGCTTACCCAATACGGCTGGACCCTCATCTATAGAATTTAGTCATTCACCTTGCCGATACCCGTGACCGCGGCCAGGGCAGGTCTCTCAGGGCCTCTCTCATCGATAATCTCTCACTCCGTCGCTAAAGGTGTTGACATACATACATCCCGGCCTCGCGCGTCGCCTCCGCCTCCCCTCCCGCCCACGACAGCTGGCTGAGTTCGCGCGACATCAACCTCTTCATCGACATACGTCCACGTCCCGCCTTTGCTCTCTGCGCCCCCCTGCACCGTAAGTCCCTACCGGCTGTCCCTGACCGCCCAGCTGGGTGCCCTAGCGTCTTCTAAGTTCTCGTCGTGCTATAGGCTATGCTTGGCATAGCTGAGTCTGCTTTTACTTACATGTGCTTTTATACCTACTATTGAGCTGCAACTACATTACCTTTATAATAACTCTACCTGTGACCTAGGAACATCACTACGCGACACCGTTAGAAGCGACACAGCCTCTCTACCTACGTATAAGAACCTACGCTTTGTCCAACTCTTTCAACACCACCCCCACCATCGCCTCTTAGAAGTCTGTTCCCCCGCTGCCGTCCGAAAGTCGCGGCTACACCAACAGCATTCCTCTCGCCAGCATACCTACAGATCGGATATGTCAGGTTACGGCTATCCGGGAGGCTACGGTCCGCCACAGCCTCAGTACCAGGGCAACAACTACTACCAACCGTATGCTCGGCCCGCCATCTTCATGCGTCATGGGTTATAGCATGGCATGCCTAACTGAAGTCTTTGTAGTCCTCCTCAAGGGTACAACAACGGCTACCCGCCGCCGCAAGCAGGGCATCCGCCTCCTCAGTCCTACGCCTACAATCAACAACCTCCGCAACAGCCCTACTACAACCAGGTAACAACCTACTGCCCGTCACCCCGTCTCGAACACATCGAGCCCCGCTTACCGTAGATCGGTTATCAGGGTCCGCCCCCGCAACAGCACGCCGGCTATAACCAACCACCGGGCCAGTACGGCAGACCTGGTAAGACATCGACCACCCCTTCACCTTGACCGGGGAGTCGGGGACTGATACTCGGACACCAGGGGTGCCCACCGCGAACTCGAATGCCTACAACCATGGCAACTATAACGCGCCTCCCCCACCACCCACCACTCCGCAACACTTTGGCCACGGCGCCCCTACGGGCTACGCCTTTCAATATAGCAATTGTACCGGCCGGAGGAAAGCTCTGCTCGTTGGCATAAACTACTTTGGTCAACGGGGACAGCTCCGCGGTTGTATCAACGATGTTAGGAACATGTCAGGCTACCTCGTCGAGAATTTCGGCTACAAGCGGGAGGACATGGTCATACTCACCGATGACCAGCAGAACCCCATGAGCCAGCCTACGAAACAGAACCTCCTACGTGCCATGCACTGGCTTGTCAAGGACGCGAGGCCGAACGACTCGCTCTTTTTCCACTACTCCGGTGCGTCGATGCCTGTCACGATACCATCACGGTGAAGCTACGGGGTGGGTTCTAACAATTTGCTCAGGTCACGGTGGTCAAACGAAAGACCTGGACGGTGACGAGGATGATGGCTACGACGAAGTTATCTATCCCGTAGACTTCCGTCAGGTCGGTCACATAACCGATGATGAAATGCACCGAATCATGGTTCGGCCTCTGCCATCCGGGGTCCGGTTGACCGCCATCTTCGACTCGTGCCATTCTGGTACCGCACTGGATCTGCCCTACATCTACTCCACCCAGGGTATCCTCAAGGAGCCCAATCTTGCCAAAGAGGCTGGTCAAGGTCTGCTCGGCGTTATATCATCATACAGCCAAGGCGACCTTGGTGGTGTTGCGACCAACATCATGGGCTTCTTCAAGAAGGCAACCGGTGGCGAAGACGCTCACAACAGAGCTATGGCAACCAGGACTTCAGCAGCAGATGTCATTATGCTTTCCGGAAGCAAAGATGATCAGACTTCGTTCGTATACCCTTCCACTTTGGCATTTTTCAATGGCGTCCATATTCTGAGTCATGCGCCGTTCGCCCCTTTCTATTCGACACAAGTGTAGAATGGAAACGGCCGTCTGTCTGTTGTATTTTAATGTACCAAAGGGGACATGTTGCAGGCGTCTTACGAGGGTGTTGGTTTTACCTGTACATACGGAGCGTATTTGCTTTGTACGCCCTGGTCAAAGAACAGCGAAGCAGGCTGTGACTTTGCACCCTAGGGCAACGAGTTACGTTGGGTCATACCCGAGCTTGACTTTCCCTTCCTTGGCTGATCAACCTGTCTCTCGCCTGAGTCCATCTTTGCTAACCAATTCAAAGTGCCGACGCAACTATTGCGGCCCAGGCTACTGGTGCCATGTCATGGGCCTTCATCACGGCCTTGAAGAAGAAGCCGCAACAAAGTTACGTGCAACTTCTCAACAGCATTCGAGATGAGCTGTCCAAACGGTATACCCAGAAACCACAGTTGTCTTGCAGCCATCCTTTAAGTACGTATTATGTGTCTCCTGCAAGACCTCGTATCCCTACTGATTCGTTGAGTCTAGATACGAACCTGCTGTTCGTAATGTAAACGTATCGAGACGCTCAATCAGCGTTAGCTTGATGCTTTATGTGTACACTGGGAGTCTGACTTATAGCGGGTGAGGGGGTGTTTATCTCCGGACCGGTATGCATCAGGGCTTCTAGGGGTAATGCTTCTCTTCAGGATCACAAAAGGCAGGATATATATGCACCTTGGGGGTATCTAATTTTGCTTGCGGTGAAACTGATATCTGTTCTGTCTGGTGTGAAGGCGTCTTTTAATTGGTGATATTCCGCTTTATGCCCGAAGTAGGTGGAACAAGTGGCAACAATGTGAAAGGAGAATGACAAGCAAGGTATGGGTATTGCTTGTCATGACGTGGCTCATGAGACGCGGACATTGTTCGTGACATATCTCGTCAACTCGTCAAGTGCCGTGGCGAGGCAACACCTGCTGACATAAGTGTTGGCTGTGTACTGCGATCGACTTTAACGTACATGTTCAGGTCAACGATATCTCTGCTTGATGTGTATTCAACACCCTGTGAGACCGTTCCCTACATCTGGTTCCATAGTCATGTCTCCGAGACACCAAAGGCTCTCAAGACTGCTTTGGCTGAGCAAGTTGATAGCCACCATTCATTGATTGACCTTTGGGAGGGTGAGTCTTCTCGAGTATTCCTAAGGCTGGGTACGCAACATCAAGGAGGAAGTAAAATCAACTTCGAGGGGACCATCTCGTTCATCCCCTTATCCTCCAGCTTGCCTCTAAAACCAGCCTCAGCTTCCCTCTGGAGCCCTGCTTTGACAAGACTCATGAACTCTATACCATGATGGGCTTGTATCACCGTCTCAAGAAAGCGTGGGCAGAAGTGACATCAGAATAGGATTGGTTGTCATGAGTCTCCGATAGTCGAGGCTCAGTTTAAGAAGCTCAGTTCCATACGTGAAGCTTTATACACTCTTTGAACCCTACCCGCTGTCTCAACTCACCCCAAGACCGGCAGCGTGTGACTTGACCAATAGCCATATGCTTTTATTTTGCTCGTCAGCCCAAAGTCAAGACAATGTCGTCTGCATTGACCCGACTCCCTGAACCGCATCTGGCAGTCGAGGCATTTGCGGTTGATTTTCACTACACTGCGGATTGTCATGTGCCTTTGCCACTGGAGACCAGTGGTCATCATGCCCGTCATATGGAGTCTGGTCGTGTCGAAATGGCACCGGGTAGGTTTACAGAAGGATGTAGGCAACGTCTCCTTTCCTTGGGTCTGTTCTCAGTAGATATGAACGACAGAGATACGAACACGAGCCACGACCACCACCACTGTCAACAATACTCCTCGTCTGCATACTCAGTTAAGAAACCTCAACGTGGAACAACCCAGTCGAGACCCCTCTCACTTGCCACACTTCCCACCCTCCCGCCTGTACTGATATCAGCCCACCACCGAGCAACAAAACACCCCCGACACCCCCATCAACTATCACGGGATCATGACCGTCCACGTACACGCACCCGCAGACGCACCCCCATATCCATGACTGGACCTCCCAGCCGCCTCCTAGTACACTCCACCGGCGGCACTCCTCATCTTCCTTCCCCCCCGGACATAAACTAAGGGGGTTCACTGCGTCAGTGGACCGGCGTGATAATAACCACTCGGTTTGGTCAGCTTGGTGGGGTTTACTATTAGAGCTGGTCGATTTGGGGATTGTTATGTTAGATGTGTTGGATTTGAAGCAGTTCAAGTGGATGCCCCCCCGAGTTCCCCAGCAACCAAAACCCGCAGGCCATATATACCGTAATATGAGCCCGAACTCTCACCGACGCCCTGTACAAGCGTCAACCCTTAAGGCCCACTGGTACAGCGGTATGAGACAAAACTCGGGTTTTTCGTAGGTCTGCAGTTCGATTCCGGGGCGTGCTGGCATGCAAGTGGATAGGGCTTCGCTCGGGACAAGGCACGATGCTTAATAGGGTCGGATCGTGGACTAAGCTTTTTGCAACATTGTATACTTTTCTTCTTCTTTTTACATGACTAGGTAAGTAAAGGCAGGAGGCCTTGGATAGCCCACAGATGCCTGGATTGTTCGCATCGCCCTTGCGACTCGAAGATAACTGTGACTTCGTCCCATTTATACTGGTCAGGTAAGCATATGACTGGCTGGACGTTTCTTCATCTCGGCTTGGTCTGACTTTGGTGATGTAGCAGTGGTGTTTCTGGGCATTTCCTCCTTTATCACCCCTTTCTGCGGGGGCTCGAGGTCAGTAAAGCATGGAACGTAGTGGGAAAGCATTCATAGATCGCAAACGCGTCCCAGGTCGCTCGAATAGAGTAACTATTGAAAACCGATACTGATCTATCAAGCAAGAGTCGAAGCTGAGTACATCCCACCCCGCCATCACCTACGAGCAATCCCCAGCTCCCGGATAATAATATCCGCCGTCTTCTCCCCAACCGTCCAAGCCGTATTGTTAGTATTCGCCGACGCATTCCCTGGCGCGATACTCAAGTCCACCACCTTCAACCCCTGCACGCCATAGACATTGAGCCTCCCATCCACCACGCACATACCGTCCCCCCTCCCCGCGGCGCCATCCTGCACGTGCCCAGCCCGTGCCAGCACGTCACGATCTTCTGCCGAATCCAAGCCGCGATGGCCGCGTCGTCCTTAGTCGAGTACTGGATCCGATCACCGGATCCGTGCGGGACGGCCCTGCGCGATGACGGCACGGGAGTCCGGGGCGAAGTCGGGCTTGTGGCTGGGTATTTCGCCTTGGTATATCTTCATTCGGCGCGCTACTTCGCGCTGTTTCTTGTACGCCCAGATGTGTGTCTTCATGTCGATCTCTTGGGGATCCGATAGGAACCCGGTCTTGAAGTCGAGAGGGCCTTCGAGAGTAGGGCCCGTTATATGCTTTTTAGTTACAACTGTAAGTAAGTATGTCTTGAACTTTAGCTATAGTGGAAATCGGTGCATAGGAGATGGCTTTGTGACTTACGACATGTCCTCTCGAATAGGGGTATGCATTGTAGAGACCCAGACCGAAGTAAGAGGTGTCTTTGGGAAACTGGTTCGGGTCCCCAAGGAGTCTGTTGAACAGCCATGTTAGTGGAATAAGCGAGCGTGACCAGTGTACCGCCATGACTTACCCCATGGACAGGTTCCCCAAGGACAGAGGCTTTTCAGCGACATCTCTAAAGTCTCTGTCCCATACCGTCCGAAAGTCGTGGCCGAGAGCGTCGACTTCTTTCTCGGTCGGCCGGATCTTGAACGAGGCATCGAAACCGTTCCATCCGAGGATCTTGTCCCGACTCATCAGGAGCTTCCCAATGCTTGCGGGCGGGTCTGCAGAAGCAAAAGCAGCGTCGTTGGTCTCCTCCTTGGGAATGCTCGACTTGTAGTGATAAGAAACCACTTGATGGTCCTGGTACCCGTCGCCTACGCCTGGGACATCTGCTACCACAGGAACTCCAGCGTCTCGCAGGCCCTGAGGGTCACCAACACCCGATCGTTCGAGGATTCCTGGGGTACCGAGAGCTCCACACGATAGGACAACTAGTTTCCTGGCCTTGACTTCACGTGCGGCGCGCTGTGCCATGTCCTTATGGAAGGCAGGGTTGGGTCTGTACTCAACTCCAGTAGCTCGCTTGGTTTTCTCATCGAAGAGAACCTTGATCACTTGCGATTCAACGAGCACATGGAGGTTCTCGTGTCGGCCGTCTTGGAGCCTTGGGTGCAAGTACGTACGGGCGACGTCTTGTCGGATGCCGTCGACCGATGCGTACTTCAAGCAGTGCGACGCGCCGTTATTCGAGTGGAGGTCTTGCAAGTCTCGCATCTCAGGGTAGCCAACCTGAGCCATGGCGGATTTGAAGTCCCTTTCGGCTTCCACTTGGCGGAATGGGCCACTGGAGATCTGGATGGGACCTTCTAGGCCATGGTGCTCTTTCTTTCCATCGCCATGGTAAGTCTCAACCTGATCGGCGGATGATTGATCAGCTTGCTTGCTCACAGAAAACGAGTGGGCTCGAATGAGTATGTTTCTGCTTACCTTGTTCATGAATGGCAGCAAGTCATGAGCTGACCAGCCTTCCATGTCCCAAGCATCGTAGTCGATAGCCTGAGGTCGAGTGTACATGGAAAAATTGATAGAACTCCCGCCCCCAAGGATCCCACCACACGCAACGGGTATGCCTCGCCCAGCAAGCTGAGCTTCCTCCTTCCCGAGATAGTATATGGCCGATCCGGTCTGAGGATGCAGAAGGGGGCGCCACATTAGCGGATGGGCAACCAGTGGGTTCTCCTGGTTATTGGGTCCATCTTCAATCAACAGCACGGAGAGTGTAGGATCAGCATCGACGAGCCTGGACGCCAGGACACATCCAGCAGTTCCTCCTAGATTCAGCGAAAGCGAATCGGTCAGTTCGAGATGGGAAACTCATGCGTCGAACGCGTTCATGTGGCTCTCACCTCCGGCGATAATAACGTCAACCTCTTGGATATCCTCTGGCAACGTCGTGTAAAGCCCCATCGCTCTCGCACTCTCGAAAATTGCTAGATGAATGGAAGTAGCGTGTCCTGGCGAGCGTACATTGTAGATGATCAACGAATGTTGTGCGAAACTCTATGATGGAGCACAATACACAAGAACCAACATCGGCCGTGCTGCAGGGGGCGTCAGCGACCACTCACGTTGGAGATGTGCCTCCCCATGCATCAGTGTTGGCCAACTCGGTACCAACCAACATGTGGCATAGTCGTTCCACGGCCGTCCCGTGGAGGGATAATTCAACTTGCAGAGAACACACCGGCTGTCGACGGTCTCGTCGGTTGACCATAGCACTATGCACAATTAGTGAATTCGGATGTAGTTAAGTCACGATTACATGGGATCTGGTTCACCCAGAGACTAAGCTGCGAGGAAGCAACCTTCGGAAGACCGATCCGCGCTAAATGTTGAAGCCCGACTCATTCATCAGGCATGTCAGAGGCTCTAAAAGCTCTCGAATTATATGTCTTGCTACACGGGCTGTCAGTCACCATCCACGGCGCAATCACCAAGTCAATGTGTGCCTTTGAATGCTTCATTTCGTTTCATTTCTTCTAGATGGGGCTTATCTGCCGGTCTATACAAGTAATCTCTAACCGGACGATGAAGCACCCATCATCTACTGTACCACCTGCGAGAGTATAAAGTCTTAGCATCAGACCCCCTAACCGCGCAAAATCACTTCGAGTCGACTCAACTCACCTTTTCTCTCATGGTCCCCATCCATTGACCAAAGCTCATTCCCTGGTCCGCACGGTCCTCCACCAGCAACGTCTGCGCCCACAGCTTCAAGCTCGGCTCACCGTCCTCCCGCACCACGTACAGGTGAGGTACAATAATGCTGCCAACACCACGTGAGAGGTGATCTCTGCTCTTCTGAACCACCGCTCGTACCCGCTCGTTGAAGTCGTTGTCCAGCTCTGGAATACTGCCCTTGCCCACCCGCAGTTGCGTGCGATCTGCCACGCCAAACACATCCGTGAGCAGTTGGGGAATCGCGTCTCGGCCGATCCACAGGAACTGTGTCTGGCCGTCATCGATCAAGTACAGACCGTACGAGACAAATCGTTCTGAAGACAGGTTCAATGGCGGCGGTAGCACAATCTGACTTGTCTCTGGGTCGGGAACTCCAGCGTTGTCAGGCATGTCGTGCAGTGAGTACAGTCGGGGATAGATGTACTGCATTAAGAGTGGAAGAGGTAATGTGGAAAGCTGGCACAGAGCCGCTGACCTCAGATCCGAGGGGATCTGTGCTGACCTCCGGAGACCCACGTTCTTGATCAAACCCAGGAAAAGCACAGGGAGGCCACGCAGGTTGGCGGGGAACTGGAGACCCCCGCCACCCATGCTTCCACCACCAAGCTCCTTCTTGAAAGTTTGGAGGAGCTCGGTAAGCTTGCTCTGAAGGGCGTCACGGGCGGCATCTAGACCGCTACCCAGAGCTCTCTCGACCGCCTTGTGGCTGAAGTACGTCGTGACAGCACACTGGTCTGCTGAGGCATACACATCCGCAAGGTTTGTCGTCGTCGGCAGGGCCAGAGTCATGACCCGAATACGCCGCTCGCCGTTGCACGTTGTGTACAAAACGCCAGCCTGAAGACAGACAAAGTTCTTCTGCAAGCTCTCGTCGATGGCCACCTCGACAACATAGCATTGATCGCGGGGAAAAGCTGGGAAAGCACAAAGATCTGAAGACCTGTTAAAGAAATTGCCGTAGAACGTGCTCATCCGCAGACCAGTGGTAGCACGGACCCGGAGAACAGCTTCCAGACCGATCTCGGAAGACAAGAAATCGCTGAATTCCGAAGCAAACTTCATGGCGTCCTCAGCCCGGCCAGCGTTCCAACCAGGATAGAACCAAGTCTGACCACCCGTGTACCGAGGCAAGTTGCTAAGAGAAGCCACATCCTGGTATTGCGAGGAGAAGAGGAACATATCGATCGAGACCTGGTTTTTTGAGCATTCCACGGCGAATGATTTGTAGAAACTGTTGGCGGTTTGGAGGAGACCGCTTTCCTTGGATGTGCCCAACAATTTCTTGTCTTCTCGCATCTCTAGCTTTCCAGTGCCCATGTTCGGCAGCGAGGCGCTGAGAACCACGATCTTTCCACCAAGGGGTGAGATGAGTTTGTGGCCAGCTCTCAGAGCTGACCCCATGCATGAGCCGTTGTTCTGGTTGTTCTGGAACATCTCGGGAAGCTTGACCAGGAAGTTCTCGATGCTACCGCGACAATCCGCCAAAGGAACCAGTAGCTCTTGGGGCACAGGCAAGAACGGCTCCTCGAGGTCGCTCACGACCAACATGTTCGTCTCTCCATTCTCTTCGTCGTCCTTGGGGATGGCAAAGTAGTGCAAGCTGGAGTCGACGGCGATGAATCCTATGCGAGTTCGTCGATCGGCATTCGGTATGCGGTTAAGACTGTCCAAAATGGTTCGTGCGCTCGTAGCGAGCAGACCCGTCGACACAGCAGCGTAGCTCACATCGAACAGGAAGAGATAGACAAGCGGCTGCGGAGGGCGGACCATATATTCCTGCGGAGCAACGAATTCGACGACAGAGTGGTTCAGTTCATATCTGTCCCATCGGTTGACGCTCTTCTGGGCGGCGGCATCCCAGTCAAAGGCTTGCGGCACATCGTTTGTCAGGTTGCACATGTTGCACCTCCACCTATGGCCTTGGTCGAGAAAAACGACATAGGGGTTGATGTAGGTTCTACATCTCCGGCATCTGGCAATGACCTGATCCTGAACGACCGGCACGTTGTCGTCGATATCGTGCAGAGCAGCATACGGCTGGATGACAAGGGCGAAGGGTAGCTTGGACTTCTTCAACAAGGAATGGGTGGTAGGAACTGCGTTTAAAGTGGATCGGATATACTTGGGCGGGCAGTTGGCGTCAGGGGACTGGGTGACACTGGCCTATCTCGCGTGTCAGCGTACAGAGTAGCAACGCATAGCAATCGCCGTAGGACTTACATTAGGTGGTAGTACGCAGGGCGGAGGCGGCAGGTCAAGTTCGGAGACGTTGAACGGCTGGTTTAGGAGGTCGGTCGGGTAGAGCTGGTTTAGGGCGAGGCGGGCTTGCTGCTGACCGGGTTGCTGAACACCGGGTTGTGCCGGGGCTGCGCCAGGACCTCCCATACTCAATCCAGCCATGTTCTGCGTTATGCCGCCCATGCCCATAGCCGGAGGCTGCTGCCCAGGTCCAGGCTGATAGTAAGCGTCAGGAGATTGGTAGCCACCTACTCCTGGTTGAGCAGGAGTGCCCGGCTGCTGAGCATCGTACGGCGCCGGAGCAGGAGAGCCGTAGGCTGCCGGCTGTTGGAATCCTTGTCCCGGATAGCCTCCGTATCCTTGAGCAGGCTGAGCTGCACCGGCAGTAACTCCTCCGGCGGGAAAGGGGGGCATGTTCGAACCCGCAGGACTAACATTTGCGCCGCTTCCAATATCGAAGGCCTGGGCGGCATAACCCCTCTTCTTCTTTTTGCCAGCATCGGTGCCGGGATATGCAGCTGCTTGGGGCGAGGGTTCCGCCTGGGGCTCGAAGCCAGCAGCAGGTTGATCAGAGTATGGCGCCTCCTGTCCGTACTGTTGTGGCGGGTACTGGCCGTGGCCGTAGCCGTCGTTGGGAGCAGCCATACTGGGTCGATTGGTTACAGAGGGAGGTTCGTGCCGTGGTAGTCGACTTGTCTCGGCGGCTTGCTGCGGAATTTAAGTGCAGCTGGGTGTCGTTGGTTGTGGCCACGACTAATAACAACGTGACAATGAGGATGGTTACGGACGAGGCCACGTTTATGGGGACAGGTAAGCGGTGACAGCCAAAGCTAACCAATGCCACAGGTCGCTAAAAGGTAAACGAGAGGACAGGCAGGCGTTTCTTCATACAGTCGTCATTTTGAGGGGAGGCTGGTTCAATATGCTCTTGATGTTTTGTCGTTCGAGGACAACTTGCCAAATGACGACGCTGCAAGGTGGTGGTGAATCGGACATCCAAATGTTGGCTCTGACGGGTCGCATTGGCATTTGGCCTTTGGCCTTTGATTCCCAGGGCTGATCAGTGAGTGGGCTGCGAGGTGCGAAGGTGGTCAAAGCTCCCACACTACAGACCCGACATGGCAGAGGAGCTGAGGAGCTATGATGAAGTCATGTGACCACGCTATCCCGTAATTCTTCGCCTGCTCTGCCCCTCTATGCAGCTGGCGACGCTCCCCCTTTCGATGCATGTACATAACTTATGCACCTAGCAGCCGCGGGGGATCCTCCCAGTTCCTTCAATTTAGCAGGCTCACAAGACCCCCTGACCCCTAAAGTAATGGCCCTCGTCGTTGGGAGAGTCGCTTCAACTCTGACTATCTACCTGAAGTAGGTACGTGGATACCTACATTCGCAGGTTTGAATAATCTTTCCAAGCGAGGGAGAATTGCATTGTTCTGTGTGTTGGGTGTGTGTCTGAAGGAGTCGACAAAGAAAGTTCGATGCGCGCTCCCTTAGAAGTTAGAACACTCTCTGCCCCTGCAACACGGCGCAGGAAGAGGTAACCAACATTGACCCCTCGACATTGCGAAACCCAATCCAACCTTCACCCTTTCAAGTACCAGAATCGCACCACATCGCAACCATGGTCTGGGGAGGCAAGACACCCAAAGTCGAGGCAAAGCCCTCCACTCTCAGGTACGCACCGCACTGCACTCCAGGCCTCTCTCTGTCGCAAGCAAGAGCCCGGAGGACCAGACGCAACGCAACTAACGCGCGGTCACCCCTACGCAGCCAAGTACTCCCCCTCCTGATCCTCCTCGTCTTCCTCGCCGGCGCCGCCGTCGTCGGCTACCATATCTACGTCAGCGCGACCAAGATCCGACAGAACGCCTCGCAGAGCATGGCCAAGAAGAACGTCGTCTTCACCAAGGACGGCATGCGCGTCGGCGTCAAGCACGTCGAGAACGAGCGCTACGTCGACGCCACCCAGAGTTGGTTCGTCAAGGCCTGGAATATGAGCAGCAGCGGCAAGGCGGACGCTGCCAAGAAGAAATAAGGGGGCCTGTTTGATGTGTGGGAGGGAGGGTAGGGTAGGACTGGGCTGGGATAGGGTTGCGCAGGCTTGCGGCGCATCGTTTACAGGCACTATACTTGGACATTGCTTTGGGTCGGGACAGATGTCCTACATCATACCGGGGGCAAGACGATGCGACCTGGTCAACTACAGACTCCCTGTTAATTAGCGCAGGCGTTATACGAATTGAGGCATATGACGATACCGAGCACTGAACGGGACGGGATGGCGGTGGCCTTGGAAGGTTATGTGGCTGGCTACCTCTGGCCGCTGCTGCACGATTCCCAATGAATGACTATTCATACTGCAGCGCTGAGACGTTTTCTACATCTTGGCTTCCGAGTTTATCTATCCCCTTGAGATCGTGATATGACCAAGGTCTGAGCTTCGTCTCCACGTCTCCGCGATGCCAATTTCCTCACCCCTTTGCGACCTTAGGTCGTGTATCTTACTTACCATTAATGTATGTCTCTATACATTACGGCTGTATGTCTACGCCGAGATTGAGTAACGGTAAGAAGCTCGGCGCCTGATCTGATTCGCTCTGGAAAAAAAGATCATACCTTGGTCACATCACGATCTCAAGGGGATACGATGTCTCCTCTATCTCTGCTTAGGCGTCAGGTTGACGTGACATGACCAAGATGAGTTCTGATGTGCCACGTCTAGCATCAATGAAGCTGATTCCGTACTGTGATGGAGATCAAACCCGGCCTTCAGAACATTGGTTCTTGAACCACGTCGCCTTATAAGTGCCTTTCTCGAACAGACCTGGAACCTGAAGGCAAGCTACGCTGTCAATATACTGGATCTTAAGCATCCAGAAGTCCCGAGCAGACCATCACAGGAGTAGAAAGTTTCCAAAGGGTATGTAATTGAACAAGATGTAACTCAATGGTATCCCTAAAGCTAGATAAAACCAGCATATGCATGCATGCACCCGTCCGCCTCGAATCGAACCCTAAATCCTTCGAGACACACATGTCTTGTTTCGTACGAGGACATCTGTCATACTTTGGCACGCCCATAATGGATACCCCGGCCGTCATGCTGTTTCCCGCAGCACAAGAGCCGACTGGGTATTGCGCTCTAGTAAAATCCCCGTCGCCAGCCAGTCCCATAACTCCGAGTCTCAGAGGTAGAACCAAACCTTTCAATACATCTCAACACCGGTCTGATTCCGGCCACGTGAAAGAAATCTGGTTTGATCATGTCAAAGCTCTTCATTCCGATTGGCGTGGATCGAAACCCCTATTCAGGTCCCCCCTTCTGATGAACGAAGGCCGTGGCGTATCATACCGTGAGCCACTTCTGAGCAGCCCATTGCGAGTCCTTGTCACCGCTAGCAGCCTTAGCAAGGAGATCGGCCTTCTGCTTCTCGAAGTGCTCCTTCTGCATAGCCTCTCTCTGCTGCAGAGGATTCATCGCGTAGCCCGCTGTCGGCGGGGCGGATCTCGCCGTCGACAGTAGTTTTTCGAAGTTGTGCGCCGCGCCGTACGGCGAGGCCATGAGTCCGTCGCGGCGGATCAGCATCGACGGGATGCGGACTTGCAGCTGTGGAATAGTCAGGATCTTGCCCTGGACTATAAGTAATTGGGGGATAGAGAGTGCATACCTGACTCAAGATATGTGCGTACTTGACGCCCATTGCATTCCCGATGTGCCTCAATCTCCCTATCACCCAGGCGCGTTGTGCGTCGGTAGTATAATCTTGACCGTTGACACATGTCAAGGGCCAGGTGAGCAAGTAACCAGCCAGACCCTTTGTGGTGTCTTCTTCTCCGCATGCGAAGCCCCCGAGGTTGGCCCTCTGGATGATGTGCTTCTTGTTCAGGTGCCAGCCGAGGTGATACGGCACCGAAGCGAGGATGTCCGTGATCGTGTCCACGCAGGTTCGCGCCGCCGTCGCATATTCGGGCGTCGTCCGGTAGTCGACCGGCGAGCAGACCCAAGCGGCACACCGCACAATCAAGGAGGCGAGGATTAGGCGAAGTGCCCTCGTCGAATTCCAAATGCTCGCGATCCAGAAGTCCTTGTACATGTCTACCCGGCCAGGAAAGACCTCGGCGTTCGAGTAGTCGCCATTCGGAACGTTGTCCTCCCACGCCACTGTCTGGAAATGCCAGTCCTCTGGGACATTCTTCATCCAGCTGACCACCTCCTGATCTACCGTCTGTGCCTTTCGGATCATGTCGAGCATGATCTCGACATTGTCCGGTGTCCTCGTCATGAAGCCCATCAGCCTTGTGATTTCAGCACGCAACTCCCCCGTCTTGATCATGAGCCGCTGGGACTGTGCAGCTGTTCGGTCCTTGACAGCATCGGTAATCCACCATTCGGCTCCCATAATGGGAGCCTTTCCTGTCGTAAGACTGTGGATAGTCTATCCAGAGTCAGTCATGTACACACCAATAGGCGGGCCGAGCAACAAACCATCTGTGTCCGGACAGCGATGAACAGCTGTAAACCAGTCTTGGTCCTCAGTTGTTTTCTCCCTCGAGCCTTGACCAGCTGGATTGCACCTTCGGTATGCGAGCCCCAGTTCAACATACCAATCTGCTTGGCCGTGATACTCTTTGCGTGAATTAGCATCGCTTCGTCCCGTAGAGCTAAGGGGCGTCAGGCGTACCTCAAACAATCCTAACATCAAGACCGCAGCTAGCGTAGAGTCGGACTTCTGTGCCTCGATGTCCCGGAGCGCCATGTTGGTTCCGCTGAGCGCACGGTTATATTCTTCCAATGCGTTATCCGCAAGTTTACTTCCTGGACCTGCCCGGTTGCCCATGAAAGCCATCGAGCACGCATTGAAAGCATGTTGTAGATGGCTCCGGGGACCATCTTGCTTCAAAAGGGGGATGACGAAGTCCAAGAACCCGGCCGTGGCTCCCTCTTGGGGTGGTATCAGAATGAAGTTGGAGACGAAGTGACAACTGGCGCGGTGTTCCACAGGCACGTTTAATGAGCGCGCTACGGTCCGCTCTAGTGGTGACTTGATGCTGTCTTGGAAGACAGGAGACACGAGCTGGCCTGGAGAGTCGTCGACGGACGGATCTGGCCTCCCCGTCTTTTGTGCCAGCGCCTTTTGGTTTGCCCTCTGGGCTCTCCGCTCCGTGGCTTTGGTCTCGTTGCGAAAGACCAAATCAAACTCGTCCTTGTACCCAGGACACTGCCTCCGCGATTTGGCACATTGGTTGCAGGTAGGCTTCGTCTCATCACACTACACATGACGGAACCACCAGTCAGTTTCCAGTCACGACGGACAGATGACCAGCCTCGTTGGTGACCTACCTTGATTCTGCGCGTCCTGCACATCTGACACCCCCTAGAGGGTTTCCCACAGTAGACCATCTTGTATTGTTCGGAACGACGACTGAGAGGTTGACAGACTCCAGGCTACCTGAACAAATAGGTTCGAGAGCTATCGCTGGTCTGTCCGGATACCTCGGAAACATTCAAGAGGTAATATGAAGTCGAGTACAGACAATGGGGAAACAGACCGCCTCGTTCGTTGCGCAACAGCTGAAAACCCCAACGTCAAGGGCTCGTGACAACCCTGTCGAGGTCCCAGGCTGAGCACCGTACCAAGGCAACTGGATACTACGAGTAGGCTACAGGTGTACCAAGGCCGAAGGCGCATAGGCACAGTAGTGACTGCAGGCGATCTTGGTCACCCTGGTAGAAGGGCGTATGTCGTGATTGGCGGTTTGCAAAGTGTGTCAGGTCTCCCCACCTCCGAATCGTCCAATGCTCTCAGATGTTCCTACTGTTATTAGAGGTGGTGATCGCCGAGAGTTTCCAAGCATGAAGACAAGCAGGTATAGTACGTCGCACCAGGTCTTCCAAAGGGGATTGGGATATGCTGAGGAAAGGGGGGCACTCAGTTCCTGCCTTGGTCTTTTGCAAAGGTACAGTAGAGGCCGGTACGATGATTGGGCGCCCCGTGTGCAAGTAGGTATCACTGGAGGCCGGGCTTCCGCATCTCCTGGGAAGCTGTCTGAGGAGTGTTTGCTGGGGGTGGCTCGGCTAGACACAGAATCTGCGACCTCAGAGACGAGTGAGGTCCAGGGTCTGGTGATGCAGGGTATTCCTAGTCGATGACTTATTAAAAGTGAGGGGTGATGGGCGTGTGGGATGCAGGAGGAGGGCAGAACCGCTTGGCTCATGCTCGCAATGGCTGTCAGACAGATGTGAAGCAGTCACGGTGACGGGCTGCCTTGTAATAAGTTGTCGTTGACGAGGGAGGAGAGTTGATATGTGACTAGTGACCAGTGACCAGTGACCCGCGAAGTGCCGACCATGCTGCCATATAATAGCGGCGCAGCAAGTATTCGCCGCGGTGGAGTGTAACGCTTTGACACATCCTAGTAGTTGCGACATGAGAGCGACGTCTAACTTGGACAGGCTCATGCCCCGTTCTGCCCGTCCGACTAGGGGGTCTGGACCGCTAGGAGTCTGGAGAATTCCGTCTTGTCGTGTCTTGAACACGCGGAGAACGTTCATCAAGCTAACTTCTTCTGGCTGTTGCGCTTGTCGGTGTCGGTCACTAATGCGGCCAGTGTTTAAGCACATACGCGATGTGACACTGGACTACACCGATGGCCGCCTCTTGGCGACTGTATAGTAGCGAAGCAGAGCGGCTTCTTCCGTTGCGGGAATTGTAAAGTGGCATACTAGAAACGGTTCAACTCGACTAACTATTATTAGTCTCCGGGACCCAGGACTTAGCGGCCGACAGATGAACCGGGAATAACTTATAACTTTATCACAGATCGTGGGAGCCTGGAGGAACTGGAGGATAGTCGCAGCTGTCACTCCACAGTTCTGGCCCTGTAGTATGTACAGTGGTGAAACAGCTGGCTTCGGGAGACTAGAGTTGGCTTGTGCTGACACTGGAGCCCTCGTTCTGGTATGCGCCAGGTGGTTAGGTTACCAGGCCAAACCCTGATAGAATTCAACAGCCGCTCGAGTCGACTCTCAACGGCCGCCACGTCGGTTATAGATCCCACTTGGATGGGAGATCTGACGTCCCTCGATGCGGCACGAAGATTAAATCTCCGCTCATCAGGAAGCAACATAAAGGGAAACATGGAAAAGGGTGCCAGGGGTCCCTGCTGCATGATTACAAGTTTACAACACCCACCTGTGACCTGACAGCCGAGTCAGTGAGCCCTGCTCTCTGACAGACTGACACAGGGGTCTGCTAGGATTTGCACCCTGGCCTGTCATTCCGGAACTGATGACTTGACCCGCGCCATCAGATCGTACCCATCGAACCCCCGATTTGGCAAGCCTTGAGAGCGAGATCTTGGAACATGTTACGATACCTGCCCATCGCTCGCTTATCGCTACTGTGAGCCAGGGCCCAGTAGAAGCAAATACCTGCCTCGACACTGGACAGTCGACACCCCAAAGCGGATGCGTTACCAGGATGGGAGGTGACGGGCCAGGGGTGAGACACCATTGATGACGGCGTCGAATACTAGAGGACGCTTCTGTGAGTGAGCCTGTCACCATTCCACAGTACGCTCAGCCCCTTCCGGAGAGATCAACAAGCCCCGAGCCATCACTCTTGATTCATGGACTTTCATTCAAGTCTAATAGAGAGACACCAGATACATCAAATTCTAGTCCCCGAGGGCTGCAACTTGACGTGTGCGCGAATCGTCGAGTTCATCTGGGCCTGACTGTCGTGTAGCTCCAGCTTCATCTCCCGCTCCCAGAGCGCGTCTGCCCACGTGTCACTTTCCCCTGTACGTGTTCATATCCATGGATCCCATCAACCTTCCAGGGGGTCGTGTTTTCGCATTTCGATCGGAGATCTTCAAATGTAACCATTGCAGCAGGCACCCGGGAAACCTGCCGGACTGGGCCTGGCACGACTTCATACCAGCCAAGACACAATGAGCCATGTATCATTCTGTCATGACTTCCAAGAAGAACGTCAAGGCCTCGGTGTGGGCAACCAATCTGATACACGCGTTTCCCTGTATGTCAGCTTGAAGCCACCATATCGACCATACATCGGAGCCCTAATTTGACAACGATCTCTCCTGCTGCAGGCAATCTACCGTGACATGCCGAGGCATGGAGGGCTAGATAATGAGCTCATATAGGTGCCAGATGGCTATGTGCAGGATGCCGTGTTACCGAGAACCTGAGAATCCCACCACCACGACACCGGTCCTCTGGTACCACAGCCGCGGCCCCCAGAAGGATCTATCATTGTCTCCTGTCTCGAAGGTGGTGGTGTTCATGGCGACGAGTGCGACTCCCAAAGGAGGCGTTCCCGAGACGTTTCTTGGTGACGGTTACGCCACCGGGCTTGATGAGATAGGTACTGAGATAACCAGTCGGGGAAGCTTTGTCGCTTTAGACGTACTGACACCTTCGACTTGAAAGAGGCCGAGGCACGCGTCTTCGGGACTAGTCCAAACCTATATCAGCACGCCACCTATAGGTATATCAGCACGTCTATGCACGTTGCGGCACTCCTACAACTTCGGGGCGTTACCATGTCTTGATCGGTGTCATATCGTCTGATATGAACGCAAATTCCCGAGACATGGTACTCCCGGCGGACCTGGAAATTAAAGAACGAGAACTGTACTGCAGTGATGGTGACAAACTTACGGTGAGACGAACTACAGGTTTGAGTCAGTCCAACGCTGAATGTACGACCAAGCGGCAGTGACAGCTTTCGTGGTACTATGTTCCTGTATTCGTGGAGGATCAATGTGCCCAACGAGATGCTGTTCGCCGCACTGCCACTCGAATGCCTCTCTGGGGGAGCACCAAGTTCACACGCAGGCCACATTGATCTTCCAAAACCCGGATATCTGTGAATAAGCCAGTATCACCGGTGTCACCGGTGGGTAGATTGTATTTATTGACACCGACCACTCCACCAAATGACAGATGTCCTCGAGGGACATGGTTCTCTTGGCCGTCTACATCTATAGCATAGGGGGGCCATGCGCTAGCCCACCTCGATCTGACCTTTACTTCACTTTGCAACCACTACAGTCTGGGTAAGTATCGCGCTTCTCACAGCTCATCTTTGGCTGCGAGGGAGGCAAGCCCGAGTCCTGACGGGCAGATGTTGGTACCCATCCGTTGGTTACCTGCTCAACTCACGCCGTAAGCCTGGAGCCACGGAATACTCGCCCGCCTCTGCCGAGCTCATGTCTATTCAGTCCAAAAACAGGAACACTGCGTAAAGGTGCTTAGCTGCTCCCATGACGCCCTAACACCAGGTACCATTACCAGTCTGGTTCAAACCCACCCCTCTAGCCATCAGAACCACATGCCACCCCTTGAGCAGTCAAGCTACCCCATTGATGGGAGAGACACAGTACCGTACAACACAGTACTTGAGCAGCTGTACCATTGCAGTCTGGAAGCAGCCACTGTTGGACAGCATGTGCACAACAGAACGGCGTTGTAGCCACAGAAAACCCGCGAAATTGTAGAAGCAGAAGTGTATAACGCCTACTGTATGTAGCTAAACGTGCCGCTGTGAGATCAGAGCAATGTGGTCGAAGTACAAGATCAGGGGTAGCTGCGGCATGGTCCCCGAAGCCGTACACCTTTGGCTCTTTGCTTCGTCGAGGGAATCAACAGCGGGCATCCCTCTGACATACTCAATACTTCATTGTCGGTGTCAATTCAGCTCGACTTGAGCGGGCAGGAATACTTTCACCTCGCTCAGATGATGTCTCGTTCCCTTCATTTTACGTATCGATTCGTTCTACTGAATCCTTGCAAGGACTTTCACATATGTTGATACAAATGAAAGTTCCAGTTGAACCGAAACGCAACTGGTCCACTCTAGAAACATTGGATTACCCTACCAAATAACGCCACGCTCATGCAATGCCCGCCAACGTTCACTTCATCTCCGCCCTCTCGAACGCGATGAGATCAAGCTGCCATGCTATGTCCAAAATATCTCCATCCATGCAATCCATCCTAATACCGAAGCACCTTTTGGTTGTTTTCTTGAGCCACCACATTCATAGTCGAAAATGAGCAGAATTTGTCCTTGATGGCTACAACTTCGTATGTACCCTCGAGGCTCGCAGTGACAGTCTTGCTGTGTTCGTAGCTGATGTCATGCCGGGTCTCGAGCACCTGTGTCTTCTGGCCCTTCCTCGCGTTGGTACTGCGGGTGTATGTGAACTCGAAGGGTGCCGTACCCCAGAACTCGAAGAGAATCTCGACTTCGCTCCCTTCGTGGATATCGACCTGCAAAATACGACCTTTACTGATTTTGACGCTGGGCATGGGATGGATTGTACTGGAGAGGTTGACAGCGGCGCGACAATCGCTTGCCTTGTCGCTTATCCCTGTGATTGCGAAGTCTCCAGGGGACTCGGCTACGCGGCGGAAATTGGTTGTCGGAGATTTGGCCTTCATCTGCTTTCCTGCAAATTCATAATGAACCTCAAAAGGCGGCGTGCCCGAGAGGGTGTAGGCCAAGCGCTCACCCACGCAGAAGTCGGTCCGTTGCTCGAGGGGGTAGATCGCTGGCGCATCATAGAGCTGGAAGTGCACCACCGGACCCCCAGTTTCTGCCTCTACTCGACATCCACGGTCATCACGGACTTTACGTATCCTGACCTGCTGACCACCTAGCTTCAAATACTGCCGAGGAATGACAATGTCGTAGGTATTGGTCTGGATATTGGGTATCCTGAAGACCTCTGGGAAGTTTCCGGTGTAGTGCTTGATCTCGAGCTCAAGGTAAAATGGAGCCTTGCCCTCCAACTTGATCGGGATCCGTTCTTCGGCTTGTTCCGACATGCAGGATTTGAATGTCTGGCCAGGCTTCACAAATGACGCAGAAGGCTTGGCGTTGACTGTCTGCTCTAGGGTCAGCAGTGATGACTGCTTCTTCTTGTCGTTGTTGTAGAGGTTGTCTGAGAGTGCCGAAAATGCGTAAGAGTACAGTCCTGCCTTCGACGTGTCCATCGGAATCGAGGATTTTCCCAAAGCAGCATCGAACTCTTCTTGATGTACGTAACCCGAGCCTTTCTTGGGCTTGTACTTGATTTCGTACTGAACGTGATAAGGAGGAGATCCTGAAATATGTTAGTATATTGATGAAATCCACCGAGTTCATAGGCTCACCTTGAAGAGCTACTTCAAATCCATCGGTGTCACCTTCGCAAACGTCCTTCTTGATATACTTGTGGTCTCTGTCTGTAGGCTGGATGGCATCTGTGGGTACTAACGACAGCTGCGGGCGCGGGAAGTATCCGACATCAAAGGTTTTGGCCTTTGGATCGATTGTGCCGGGACAAAGACTGTCCATCACGTCGACGATCTCGTAGGTTCCTTGAGCCTTTGCTTCAATGAAATCATTACCAGACCGAGCAACTCGAGTCTCGGTTTCGGCGCTTCCGTTGAGGTTGCGATAGAACACCCTCCACGGACCGTCACCTGATAATCGCAAGGGAAGATTGACAGGAGCCGCTTCCACGACTGTAGTCGACCTCTTGTTCTCCAACAAGCCAAAGGCGGCCCGTGGCTTTTGCCGCCGGACTGAGATCTTGACCTCTTCCTTGAGGGAAATTCGACAGCCGGTCCTATCTTGAATGCTCTTTAGAGCGAGAGTGTAATCTCCACCAGAAGATAACGGAGCTGTTTCGATCTTGAAAGTTCTGGTCGAGAGTTCGGTCTCTTTTGCAGCTTTGCGCTTTCCATCGTGAACCAACTCCCACTCGAGATTGAAAGGACCATCACCGTCCAGCACGACGTCAAGCTTGACTGGTTGGTCAAGACAGGCATTGACGGTTCCGCTGACATCAAGGAAGAATGCATCGGCAGGCGGCTTGACGTTTTGCTCCAGGAAGTAGTCATCCGTAGGGGGTAGAGCAACACTATAAATAGCGTCTTGAAGTTTCCTGAAACGATACTGGTAGCGACCGGCGTTCCTCGGTCGAAGGTCGAAGTGCTCCCTGAGCCCTTTAACCTCAATATTTTCTGACCGGATAAAGCGCTCAGTCTCACTGATAACATCGTACTGAACCAGGAAAGGCGGAGTGCCGACTAGATCGAGGTTCACAGCAAGACCAATAGGGTTGCCAGCACACTTGTCAGCGATTTCTTCAGCCTGGATCGTCAACTTGGGTTCTGGGGGATTGAGCAGCAGGCATGATGAAGGCTCGTCGATCTCTCCATCGCACGAGGCGCAGGATACCGACTTCAAAGTGTACAGGCCTGGTGCAGATATCGTTGGTTGGTCGTCAACGTTCTTAGCGGTGAACGAACCGGCTTCGACAACATCACCATGGTCGCCACTTTCGCTGAGAGTGTCAATGGGGGAAAAGTGCCAGGTTAAAGTGTGAGGTACGCTCTCTGGGGTTTGGCCGGGACGGCCGATCCTGACAGGGAGCGTCGTGCGCCGTCCTTTGGCCACTTTGAGGGGATGCCGGAGGTCACAGCCAACGATGGTGGCCCGCGGTCGTTCCCTTACGATGAAGTTTTGGAATAGGTTCTTCGGCCGCGATCTCATTTCGGCCTCCTCGGGCTGTGAGAAGGAAACCTTGTTGCCAAAGACATCGAGTACCTCATCAACGGAATATTGCCACTCTCCTGCATTCGTCATAGACTCGTTGAGGCTGACGACAACCTTTTGAGATCTGGCCCACGTGTAGTCCTCATTACCTGGAGAAATCAAACTCGTCGAAGGTTGCGAACCGAGTAAGGGGGATGAGAATCCCTCGGGCTGAAGGCTCTGGAAGTGGAAGCTGTGATCCTTTCCATTGATGCTTCGACTGTAAACAATCTTCAGAGGTGGCGTCCCGTCGACATCCAATGATAGGTCTGACAGGTCTCCGAGACACCTCGTGGAGGATTCCGCTGTTCGGACCTTTGCTTTCGGGCATGGGACAACGAAGGTAGGCGCGCTGATCCTCTGGACCTCCAGTTTATACTCGTCCAGAACCTTGTTTAGCCTGTAGGCGCCGGGTTTCTTGATCAATAGATCATACTTGTAACTACCCAAGGTTCCGTCTTCCAGGCTTGTTGCTGACTGCCTGCCGATCTCCTTGATCTCTCTTCGACCGAGCTTCACAATCTCCTCGGCATTCGTTTCAAGATGGAAACGGATAAGCTCGACTTCGACCGGTACGGTAGCGTTGAAGTATAGAGGTACACTGGCGATACTGTGGCCTTCTCCGCCAAGGCAGTAAGGGTGTCTGTCGGGATTGAGGAGAGCAGACCTACACAGCTTCAATTAGCGATTCGGTTCGTACCAATGTTAGAGAGGAGGTGAAATTACCCTTCGGGAAGAATATTGATGATCTGTTTGCCCATGATGAGGGAGGAGTTATGTAAGATATTGGAGACCTTGACATTGTGTTCGGATATGGCGATTTCCCTATTGTAGAAGATCCTCCAGAAGAATAACAGCCACGATATGCCGGGCATGGGAATGATGTTGAACATGGAAAGCCAGTTGAATATCACGTGCGCAACGTAGTAGTACATGACGGCCGAAGACGAGTACTCCATGCGAGGTATCCTCAGGGACGGAAGGGAGAATAGGTAGAGAAAGTCTAGGAACACCCATTTCGTGAAAAAGTAGGCAGACCCGCCGTTGTTATCTGCCTTAAACCAGTCGTAGAAGTGCCAGGCAAGCAAGCCTATGTAGATGGCGCAAGCATAGCGGCGTTGGCTCGGGCCGTCGATGACGGCAAGGGGTATAAGCGGCTGGCTCTCGGGCGTGGCGGCGGCGGTATTCACGGGAGCTTCAGGCAGCGAAGCCCTCGGCCTGGCATTTCGAGTCGGTGATGGAGTTTGACCTCGATGACCTGGGGCTGGGGTCTCGGGGTAGCCCCCAAACCGCATGCGCGGCGTCGCATTCATGGCATTCCGTGGTGCTGGCGACTGACCATGGGGATATTAGCGAGTCGTCAACGAGGGCAATCAGCTTTAGGTCGGATACGCTCGTCGATCAGATGTACACAGGCGAACCGAGGTATCGCGCGGCTCTGGCGACGGCTCTGACCGCTTGTTGTGAAGGGTGATCGGGTTCGGGTATCGAGTGAGAGCGCAAAGTAAACAGACTGCCAGTCGGGGCAGAGGCAAACTCAAAATTTGAGATCTGTAAATATTGGCAGCCAGCAACAGCAGCACCACGTCGCGGCGCGTCAAGCAAAAGAGGCATGCTCCACTCCCAAGGAGCCGCTAGGCTAGAACCATCCAGGGCCCAGACGGCTGCAGCTGGGCGGCAGGCGGAGCTCCCGTCCATGCAAATCCCGGACCACCGGTAGGTAGGAATCTTCAGCCACCCCCGCTATACCAAACATTGAACATTCAACAAAGCACACTCCAATGTGGCGTGCAGAGAGGCTTCAGCCTCAATTCAATGTGGGATTGAGCTCAAGCTCAAGCTCAAGCTCACCTGGCATGTTCAACTTCGTCAAATAAACGACCTGCATCGATGAACGCAACTTACCGTCCCCATTCTGACCTCACTGTTGAAACACATGAATTTCCAATGGCTTGAAATACTCTGGTTCCCTGCTTGACTATCGTGCGGCCGCGATTCAACTAACCTAGCCGGGCGCTCTCATGAGTGTGTCAACTAAGCACACCGCCATAATCTGTTCGTTTGGTTTATCAACGTCTACGAGCTGCTGTTCAAACCATAGAAGCGAGCTCTGGTCTGAGTCTGTAGGATAACTGGCTGCTATATGGTGCTGCAGGCTGCCTCGCCTTGATCTGAAACCAGACCTGTACTCTTAGCATGCGGTTTTAGAGAGGTATGTCAAGCTACAGCCTACATGCAGTGCTCAGCCGGGCTTTGTGCTCGTTGTGATGATTGATCAACTACAGAGCACATGTCTGAAAGAGGCCTGCCTATTCGCTTTGCCATGTCCTTCAATCACTGCTAAATACCGTCAAGAGAAATATGACTAACACAGACGACTAGTTTGAAACGTAGCAGGATGGATGTCATAATAACTACTTCACCATCCTCAGTTCTTCCATTGGTCTTGGTGCATTCCAGTACCTTGTCTGTATGTTAAGCTTCAGAAGGCGTTGCAACAACTTTATCTGCATGCTGGCCGATGAAGGAGAAGGCACTCATTGGTTGAAGCCCAAATTCAACCGCCGACACTGAGGAGATTTATACTGGCAACAATCAATTCTGCTACCGCCTCGTTCCCGCGCAACGCCGCCTTTGCCATTTGGCACTTTCACTGCCGTTTCTTGGACCTTGAACAGCCTTGTTGGGTCTCCTCTTCCTCATCCTTTCAACTCGACTTTAGAGAAAGTCCAGATTGAAGTCCAGGGACGGGGAACATTTATCGATAGCCGACCGCAGAATTGTACCACCTTCTGGTTCAATTCAAATACGCCGTCTGCACTCCTTCTCAGCTTCACTGCGACTTACATCCTCACGCCAACATCACACATAATCACCTATCAATACCTACCCGACTGCGGAACGCATCAATGACGAGCCTGGTAGCGAATGGGGACACGTCCCTTGTCTCTGATGATAGCCCCATCAACGGGACACGCCGATCAGGAAGGGCAAAGAAGGTGCCCCTCAAGTATGTCATTCCCGCAGAGACAACGAAGCCCAGCGAACCCAGCCAGCCCCCCATTAGGCAGAATCGACCTAAGCGAAAAGCCGCCCAAATTGCTGAGCAGAATATCGTCCCCGAGGACATTGGCCCCCTCCACGAAGAGTTGTTCTCCAGCATGGATTATGATGAACGGAAGAATTACCATGGCTGGGTCGAGCTCGAGTCTGAACCTGTAAGCCACCTCGGTCTTGGCTATCGGCCTGATCGAATAGAGATATTGCATGGTCACCAAGCTGACACCTTTCCAGGCCTTCTTCAATGCAATGCTCCAAGAGATGGGTGCGAAGAACCTCAAAGTTCAGGAACTCTTTGGACTAGATGACATGACGCTGTCAGAACTACCGTAAACAACACGCGACACCTACCGGAATCAACAGGATCGCTAATTCCATCTAGGCAGCCCGTACATGGCCTGATATTCCTCTACGAATGGACCAATGCAGACGAATCCAGCGATGCTCGTCAGGACTGCCCGGACAATCTCTGGTTTGGCAACCAGGTATGAACTATTCTCTGTGCATCTTATCATAAGCTCACTAATCACCCCACAGACTACTGCTAATGCTTGTGCTACTGTTGCATTAATAAATATCGTCATGAATGCAAGGAATGCCGGTCTTGGCCCTGAGCTGCAAAAGTTCAAGAACCTAACCATGTCGCTGCCTCCTCCCCATCGAGGACATGCGCTTGACAATAACGACTTTATCCGTGGAATCCATAACTCGGTAGCTCGGTATGTGCCCTGCCCGGCCTCTACTACTTAATATCATCTAATCCTTAGTAGCCGAGCAGACCTCATCAGCGAGGACCTGCTCCTGGAGAACAAATTCGAAGTCGCAGAGAAGAAGAGGAAGCTGACGGCACCAAAGAGGAAGGCGCTGCCAACATCCCGCAAAAAGGCCCAACGGGAGACGAGCTACCACTATATTGCATATGTACCCGTCGAAGGTCAAGTCTGGGAGCTTGACGGCTTCGAGGCCAAGCCCCTCTCTCTCGGTATGTCTCAGTGCCCCAACGCTGGCTGAAATTGTCTTCTATCAGCCGACTAAACCCCCTGTCCTGTAGGTCTTTATGAAGACTCGTGGCTCAGCACCGCTAGCCAGGCAATCCAAGCCCGTATGCTGCGCGACGATAGCGAGTTCATGTCTTACAACCTCCTGGCCATCTGCCAATCCCCTTTGACGACCATATCGGACAGCCTCGCGGCGAACCTAGCCTGCGCGCATGCCCTCGAAGGGCTTTTCAGCGGCGGTCTAAGTTGGAACGTTCCCAGTCCATGGAAGACTTTCCCCGACGACCGCCTGGCCAAGTTCAACCTCAGGCGCGATCAGATCACCGAGCGAGAGCTGCCTGCCACCTTCACCTCGAAATCGAGCCGGCCTGACTTCGATCTCGCAGCCGCGCGGAAGCTGGCTGAGGAGCTTCACGCAGATCAAGAGGCGCTTGAGGCGCAATACGTCGCGGAGCTTGCGACGGTACAAGAGGCCGTCGAGATGATCCGTGGGCGACAGCGGGACTACACGCCCGCCGTGCACCAGTGGGTGCGTCTCCTGGCAGAGAAGGGCGAGCTGCGGGAGTTCATCCAGCAGATCGACCGCGAGTCGTGAAGGACTCGGGTCAGATTCATCACTCATCAGAGTGAAATCGAACAGCGGTTCTGTAATGAGAATCATAGACCTACCAGATGCTGAGAATGCGGCCCATTTGGCCCTCACTGGGGGAGCAAGCCGGCATCAGGGTTTGGAGCCTGTATTTGTACCCAAAGCAAAGGCCACTTGCCTTGAACTTGGTATGTTGGGCCTTAGTGGCTGTACAATTAAGAAACTCATCACCCATTTTTAGCTTCATAATAACCGTTGAAGTTGATAAAGATGATATTAACTCTACTGGTGAGCGGGTGTACTTTCAGAGCCATCCGGTCAACCCCCTCAATGGATGGAGCACCAGAAGCCCCAACGGCACCCCGTTTTTTATGTCATCACATCACCAGCTTTGACAGCATTCTCCTATGTACGGAGTCCCCCAAACGAAGGAAAGCCCTCTAACCACCGCGGCAGAGGCACGGAAGAAGAGAAGCCCGCCAAGTCACAGGCGGCACACCGATAGAAGTCCTCCACGAAGGCACACACACCTAAGGATGAGGGCGCCACGACGAGCGAGAGTGATGGCTGTCATACAGCATCAGAAGCACGAAGGTCCTCAGTCTGAGAGATGGAGCCCTGATCACGAAGATTCAGGAGCCACGAAAGCCCTTCGACGATGAAGGCGCCGCGATGGAAGCCCTCCAAGGAGGCACGGCTCACGATAGAGCCAAGGCCACGGCACAAAAACTACGGCAACGAAGCCCATCGATCGACGACGGCATCACGAAGAAGAAATAACACCACGAATACGGCGTTCAGAGAGTCAGAGAGACCCTCACACGGCATGTCGTTCAGAGCCGTGTTGGAGCCTCGCCTGGCGATTGCAGCCTGTTGGAGGATTGGGAGCCACCTGCAGTCATCTGAGCAGTTTGGCAGTTGGTTGGTAAGCACCACGGAGGGCAGGGATTCTGCCAGGGTGACGAGCTTACCGCCTACCGCGTTGCGTGATGGTATCACTCGTTCGATTCTGATTTTTATCACGTTTTTGGATGAAGCAGAGCTCGATTGGAGCGATTGGAGTTATCTGCAGCCATCTAAGCAGTTGACAGTTGGCTGGTGGCTGGTGGCCACACCACAGAGGGACTGGCACCACACGGATTCTGCCAGGGGTAACGAGCTTACCGCCTGCCTCGTTTAGTGATGGTATTACTCGCGAGATGGGATTTTATTGTGTTCTTGGGCTTGACTGGAGCAGTCGGAGTTATCAGGCCTGTTAGAGCTATCTGGGCAGTTAGGCAGTTGGAATAAAACAAGCAAGCAAGTAGGGAATCTACCCCTATTCCGCACCGATACTGGATTCCTGACCTAGGTTGCTCGTGTTATCACCTCAAGCTCGTTAACTCAAACCATCTTTTCCTGTTGCACAATACCGGTCTTTGGCCATTGGCAGTTGGCGACTGGTGCCACCCTATCCACCTGCGTTGAGTTGGCAAAATCCAACTGCCTAGATAGGCTCTGTACATGAGAAAGTACTGCCGTTAAGCTTTCCTCCTCTTCTTCTTCTTCTTCTTCTTCTTCTTCTTCTTCTTCTTCTTCCTCTTCTTCTTCCTATGCCTCTGCCGCTTTTAACCTTGGCTAGAGGACTTCTCTCGTGATGACGTAAGAAAGGGGGATGCCGTGGAGGCTTTGGTGTTCTTCCTGCTGCTCCGTGGCTCCCATTTGCCAACTGATCGTCGTTCGTGATCTCTCGCTCGCCGGCGTGCGGAAATGGCCCTTGTGGAGGTCTTGACCATTGTACCGTGCCTCTCGTACTAGGAGGACTTTCAAACCGTGCCTTCATCGTGAAGGACTTGACCGTGGCCTCCAAAGGAGGGCTTGACCGTTTGCCGTGCCTCTATCGCATGCTATCGAGAGGACTTTAGAACCGTTGCTGTTGCTGGGCCCTGGCGTCACGCCCTCTGGCCGTGATGCGTCCGTCCCTCAAGCTTCAGTAGCGAAGTCTTCTGTCTTCTGCGTGCCTCCGTAGAGGACTTCTGATGCCTCTAGCCGTGCTGGCGAGGTTTTCTGCTTGATATTTTCCCCCTGCCGCAAGTCCGGCAGCTGGCAATTTGCACACTGATGCCATCCCATGATTCTTTCGTCAAAGGATGTGGGGGTTGGATGGATGCTTTCGTCGAGGTCTCATCCGTTCGTCTGGCTAGTCAGGCCGTGACGCCTTCATCGACTTGAAGGATTTGCTCTCTCTTTTGAGCGTGACTGAACCTCGTGCCAACAATGGTCGATACGCACGGGTTTGCCTCCAGCCCTGTTGGCGAGGTCTTGACGTGCCTCGCAGCTGATCAAGCAGCTGGTCGTAAGGACTTGGTTCAGTGTGCACATGCTGTGGTGTGACTGCCACGCGCGCTGGGATATGGGTTGTGCCACGCGCTGTAAATCGAACGTCGTGGACTTCTTCTGACTCATCCTTCGCGAATCCGATCCTTCCTCGCCTTCATTCGCAAATGACCAGGACTGCGGAGGAAGGCTCTCTTTGTTGACTGCCACGCGCTGGGCTCTGACTGATGTTGCACCGTGGACTTGGATGACGAGCCACGCGCTGTGACTTGCGTTGTGGACTCGAGAATGAGGTCTCCGAGATGACTGGGTGAATACTCGTCAGGATGACCTCTCTGACGCGCTCCTGGAGCCGTCTCTCTTCTCTTCTGGTGACCTCTCTGACGCCTGGATGGCCGTTTGCTGAGCCGGTTCTCGCTCTCCCTCTCTCTCACGAAGCCAAAGGCGACGCGATGACGGCCGGGGAGTACTCGTCTGCTTTGGCGCCTTGGATAATGCTCTCTGGAGTCATCTATCCCTTTGACGGTGGCCTCGTCGTATTGACGCGCTCTTGCTGGCGCCTGGATGCTGGGTTCGTACTTTTTCCAGCTGAATTTCGTCCGTTGGGTCCTTTTTGGTCTCAGCGCGGCGTGCCCTCAGGTCAACGCCCTAAGTTACTAGCTGAGCTCCAGAGCTGTCTGTTCTGCCCTCGTTATTCGTTCCTGAAATGAAGAGATGCTATCATGAGGGCAAAATGGGGATCGTAGTGACAGCGGTATGGACGAGATAGCGTTGTTGTCTTATGGACAGTCTATCTACTGTTCGTTGGCAGTTGCCCACAGCGCCGACACCCGTGCTGCCCACCACATACTGGCTACATACAAAGGTGGATTCTACTCACAACTTCTGTTCCAAGCACTAGTTGATGCTCAAGTACGAAGCAAGGCATCGGGCAAAGCATTTGCCTTGTTATGCTAGGTTGCGGCAGATTACTTACATGTTCTTTTGAGTTTTTAATATTAAGTCCTGGATACAAAGTGTTTTCTTGAGAGACGGTGTTGCTTGACTAGGAAACAGTTCAAGTTTGCTTGTCTAAGTTTGATGTGAAATGTGTAATGTGATGTAGGTTATTCGTTAGGTAGTGATAGATCATTGAATTGTTATACCCTCAAACTTTGTACTTGAGACTGTTCCACCTTCAAGAGACACCCCGCCATCTATTAGAAAGACACGGTGAATCAAGAAACCAGGGTCTAATATATAATTGACGGTAATTGACGGTAATTGACGGTAATTGAACGGACTTGATTTGTCGTGCGCGTGTAAGATTGTAGGCGAAGCTCTCTTAAAGCCACAGCAAGCAGTGGTATTGCATTCGCAGCTAAAATGGAAGTTGGGTTGGTAGCTGGGTTGGCAATTGAAACGGCAGTCGCATCGGTAGTTGAATGGCAGTCGCATTGGCGAGAGAAGAGGCGCGAGAGTACATATAACTTGGCCTTGACTTTGTCGATCTTTAGGAGTGACCTGTTCGCGGACGAGCTCCAAATACCAGTCGACCATCCTGTCGAAGTGAGACGAGCAAGTACATCCAGCTTCGTCTTGACTTTGTAGAACGCTTCGAAAGTGACCTAGTTGCGGACCAGCTTCATGTACTTTGGAGACCAAGTAAAGAAGCAGCTGAAGGACAGGAATGAGGACAAGAGGGAGTGGTGGTTGGCAGGTATAGTATCATAAATATACCAAGGAGACTGAATACACAGGCCCAAGCGGATGTTCCAAAGGTGATCTCTTGCGCCTGTTGGCATCACGGATGAGCTTCTATACGTTCAGGTATCCTAGCATCAGAAAGAGCAATGTTGATTGCTAGTCTAATATGATGTAAAAAGACAGACAGGAGACGAGATATCCAGCCAACCAACGTTTCCGAATCGGTTCGAATCCTGTATACATACGGAAAGTCCGCTTTTCCCACAGATGGCTCATGCATGTACCTGGTCCATCACACGTGTCTCCCCCCCAAGAGAACCAAGCTCTCTACTCAGTCCCAAAACTCGCAAAGGCCTATGCGTCTCCTCATCTCTTGCGCAAACGCTTGCTGTGCCAACTATTCAGCCGTCCCAACAACTCAACCTAGTAATAAAGTATCCTCTCTACGAGCCTCTCACCCTCGACCTCCGGCTCGTCGGTTGAGATGCTGCCTCGTAAAACGAGACCTTTCAGCATGGTAGAGAGTCGGGCCATCATCTTAGGGATCTCAAAAGATTTACGTTCCTACCGCATGATCTCTTGGTAAATGAGCTGCTTCAGTTGCTCTTTGCTGAGGTTGTCCTTGTGCTTGTCAAAGTCGAAGAACTCATCAGGAATCGGGGCTGCCGTGGGCTCATCCTCCGGGTCGTGGTATGGTTCGAGGTACGGATGCTTGAGAGCTTCCTCAACCGTAATGCGCTTAACAGGGTTGAAGGCAAGCAGCTTCTCAAGCAGGTCCAGAGCCAGGTCGGACGTCTTGGGGAAGAGGGTTCGGAATGGCACCTTCTTCTTGAACGGAAGAGATCGGATGTACTCCCGCGCACGACGAGACTTGATTCCATAGTAGTCCTCCATAGTAGGGGTTCCCAAAACATCCAGAATCAGAGTCAGTTGGTGGTGGTCTGCATCTTGTGTCAGCAAACGGAATACCGAGTTGGTATCAGGTGGTAGGTAGGGTCTAGTACTCACAGTCCTTTCCGGGGAACAATGGCTTCCCGCTAAGCATCTCAGCCAAGATACACCCGACGGACCACACATCAATCGCCTTGGTGTACTCCTTGAAAGTCAACATGATCTCAGGTGCCCGGTACCAACGAGTGGCAACGTATTCGGTCATGAAGCCAGAGTTGTCTTCCTGGGATGCGGCAGATCTTGCCAGACCGAAATCACAAACTTTGAGATCGCAGTTCGCGTTCAACAGGAGGTTGCTGGGCTTCAGGTCGCGGTGCAGGACGTTAGCCGAGTGCATGGCCTTCAGTCCTCTCAGGGTCTGGTAGATGAAGTACTGGCAATGGTCGTCGGACAAATCCTGCGTACGGATCACCCGATGCATATCAGTCTCCATCAGTTCCTGTGCAAAATCCCCGTCAGTTACTGGTCAAGTCATAGGTTCAAGGGTAGGCCATACCTGGATCAAGTAGACCTCGTTGAACGACTCGTAATTTCTTGGCTTTTGGATGTCCAGAATAGAGATGATGTTCTCGTGGTTGAAATATCGCAAGAGCTTCATTTCTCGCAGGGTTCGCAGACAGAACATAGAGTGATCGAAAGGTGTTATCTTTTTGATGGCTACCTTCTGGCCCGAGGGCTTGTGTATCGCCGAACTGGGCTTTGTCAGTGAGGTTCTGCAGGCGCTAGCATCTGATATCAAGACCTACCAGACGACACCATAGGCGCCTTCACCGACCACATCCTGAATGTCATACTGTTCGCTGACGTTGAACGAGATCTTGCGGGAACCCGCGGGGTTGGGAGGGTTTGACCGCGACATGATTGGACAATAGCTGCAACTGCAGCAGGACGAAGCTCGTTCGGAAAAGGACCGAAGTACTGCAGAGATCCAGCCTCAGCCCAGTACCATAAGAAGCCTCCCGATGCTTGAGACGAGTCGTTATGGCAAAGCGACTCGATGAGACTCTATATAGCTGGTTCCGGTTGGGTCCAGAATCGGAGCAGAAGCGTCGATTGCCAATGATAGCCCGATTGCCTTCGCAAGTGCAGCCACAATATTCGCGGCGCGAGGATTAAGGGTTCGGACGAAAGATCGGATCGCTGGACAGTGATAACCTCGTCTCGGTTATGATCAAGATGTTCCTAGGACTCGAAAGGAGTCTCGAGTATCTTCGGGCCGGCAAAAGGGTCAATCTCGCTTTGTTGCTGCGCCGTGAGGTGTTGGCAGTCGAGTCCTTTGTGCTCGTTGAACTCAGCTTAGTGCGCCAACTTGGGGTTTGTCCGAAGTCTGAGGAGAAATTGAAAGATTAGCCGGGACTGAGGTTCAAGAGACAAAGACAAAGTAGGAGAGGCTGCGAAGTATATGGCGGCGGGCGATCACACAGCTGCAGGTGGTATGGTATAACACGACAGGCAGAGCTGACAGATGGGGGATTTCCCAGTCCGTGCAGACGTCACACGACGCAGGTTCGCCCGGCTGGATGCGCTTCTGGGAACAGCTGATGTAATGGGTGACCAAAGCGTGTCGATAGCTTCCAGAAGCTGTCTCGGAGTACTGGAGGTCGAACGAGGCCGGGTCAAAGAGCCGGCGACTGAGACTTGTCGAGGTGGGATTTTGCCAGGCCCCTTGTTGTTACAGAACTTCAGACGCTTCGTCCGGTGTTTTCTGGCGCGGCAAGAGTAGAACTCGGGAACGGAAGCAGTCCGTGTCGTGACTCGTCGCAGAAGCTGGGTAGCGGGCGGGCTGGACCTGGATAGGCAGAGGGGATTGTGTTCCTGTATGATCGTCGTGAGGGGTAAATGGGAAATCATCAGCTCTCACCTGTGGTTGCGCACGTCGGTGGTGGCAGCAACAATTCGTAACTCGTCCGAAGTAGTGAGTGCCCCGCCTTTCAATTCGGATCGGTTAGATATTGGTAGGTCTGACGCGGGCTCGCTCGTAATGGTAGTTGGTCCTTCGATCGCTTCACGACCGGTGCTCGGGTGAATCTTGGAGGTGAAGGTGAAGCTGTCGACAGAGTGAAGCAAGGTGGGAAGGAGAAGAGCCCCGCGTGGTGGCTGCACCTCTGGTATGGAGACGCGGAACAACGAGAGTCGGCCGGTTGGGTTGGTCTGGCAGTCTGGTTGGCGGCACTTTTGGGTGTGTCTCAAAGAGCCTGAGAGGCCCGAAGCTTTCAGGCGCTGTTGTACTGCCAGTGGAGAGACCAGGCCAGGACTTGTGTGGACCGGTCACCGGTGGCAGGACCCCCACATCCCCAATGCGACAGATGCTCTTGAGCGATAAAGGTGAGACAACAAGGATTTGTCCAAGTCCAAGATTAAAGGCGATTCGAGGTGGATTTCTGAACCGGACATCTACAGTTGACTAACTGCAATTCTGTGAAATCATCACACTGGTGTCGGTGTCCCCCACGTGGTATCTAAAACCAGATACGATGTAGGACGAGACAGTCGACGGTCGCCAACTTGTCGTTGGTCACAAGTTGAAGCTCCCAGTGCAAGCTTGGATCGAAGGTTGACAGGCTTGACAAGGCGGGATTGACCTTGGTGTGAGGAAGATGGGAGACAAGGAGGGGGAGGGGTAACGTAAAGTTCAGGTACCCGGCCTCGACTTTGGCGGGGTCTTCCATCGAGGGTACCTGCATGCCGCCTGTCACTGTCAAGCAAACAGAAGTAGCTTTGTTAGCGCGGCCGGCTCTGGAGTCTGGAGTCTGACCTGACTGCATACTCCTCATGATTATCCCGCCCTGCTCCACCAACATCTTTTGTGCATGATGATTCGTCCGTACATGAATCCATGAAACCGTACCTGAGCAGCGAGAGAGGCCTCAAACCCAGAGGGTGATGTCTGCAGTCTGCTATCAACACCGGACACACAACACCAACCCAATCCTCCGCCCCCTCACATCCCGATCATCGGCCCCCTATCACAACCATCACGCCTTCTACATGGCCCCCTTACCGCCCATGGTAACACACCCTCAACAGCTGACACTAAACAGCTTCAATGGTTTCTGACAGATTGGCTCCCGCCAGCCAGCCACTCGAGCCAGCCGCGTCCAATGGGACGTCGGTCTAGGCGCCCATCCACGAAGTGGGCGCGTGTGTTTCAGTCACCTTGGCTGTCTGTTTCATGACTGGCTGAGCGCCAAATGTGACCACGCAGTCTGCATGCGCGCTAGAGTCTGTCAACTGTGAAAGCGACCAAGCCAATGCTTCTGGACCTGCTCACCCGTAACCTAGGCCCTGGCCCCTTGGGAGAGGCTAGTGGGTAGTTGCTATTCCGAAACCCGTAGCCCTCGCGGGAGCGATTCCGGTAGACAACGAAGGTTAGTCGTGTATGGGCGTTGACTAACTGCAATCATGGGCTGTCAGTTCTGGACTTATATCTACTATGTGGTACTTATGCTAGTCAACATATTCAAACCTTCCTAATGATCTTGAGGGCGGCCTCGTTCGGGTCTGCACTTCGTTTGAAGCTGGGACTCTGCTCAACGAGTTCCCAAGTCAGCAGGAAGTCCATTGTTTGCAGACTGACTTTGACCTCATCGCCGGCCCGAGCAACGACTTCAGCATCATAGTCGTTGATCGCCTCTGCCAGCGGCTTCTTCTCCTCTAGGTGAGCTTGCACTTGAGCGAGTAGCGATGTCACATCTGCAATGCAGTGGCTGAGGCCTTGACCGCGGACTGCACACCCATTAGCTCGCTATTGGCATCGCAGAAGCCCGGGTCTGTTCTTACAAGGCACCATAGGATGAGCAGCATCGCCAGCCAAAGTGACTCTGCCTTGCCAACTGTTTCGCTCGAAGGGATGCCAGTATGCGATCCTTTGTGTCTCGATAACGGCGTCATCCGGCAACCACTCGATGGCACTCTTCCACGGATCGACGAGCTTTGTTGCCCACTGTTTGAGCTCGGGCAGAACGTTCTTGCGGTCCGTAGGTGCAGGACCGCGCCAGTTCATGAACAGCTGGAACTTCCACGTCGACGGGTCATCTGGGTCAGGTATATCTTGGGCTACTGACAGTCAGCACCTATGCTATACCAGAATTCGTACGTGGCGGGGGCATAAGGGGCATGACTGACGCGAAACCCAGAACAAGCCACCTTCTGGATGCAACGCCATGTAGAACGTCGGATGCAGCTGTCGCAGGAATAGCGCTTGCTCCGGTTTCGTATACTGCACAGTCGCATTGGCTGATACTATGGAGGCAGGTGTAGCTGCTGCTTTCTCGTCCCCGAGCAGTAAATGCCGTATTTTCGAGTTTGCGCCATCGGCACCAACGGCGAGTGTGCCTACTACAGACGTGCCGTCTTCGAAGCTTGCAGTGACTGACTTTCCATCTTCGGAAGGCTTGAGCGAAGCAATCTTCTTATCGTACTAGCATCCATCTACACTCAGCATGGCTTCTAGTTCGAGACTGCCAGACCTGCCTAGGTGTACATCGATGCCTTGTGTACAGAATGCACGCATTCGTGCGCGATTGAAGCGCATGTGGTTCGGCTCGGGCATGGAATTCATCTTCTCGCCAGTGGTCCCGTCGTAGATGTTGAGGTGCTCAACGTCTGGGTTCTTGTAAAACGGGTCACATTGGGCTTCATGGATACGAGCCCACAGGTCGTCTGGAAGTATTCTCTTGAGCAGAGGTGTAGACCAATGGATGCTCAAGCCCCATTGTCGCGGGCGGTAGGCTTCAGCCGAGACTTCAGCTTCGAATATGGTATATCTGATGTTGGCCTAGACTCGGTGAGACTTGGGAGCGGAGAGAAGGGTTTGAGGCGTGCTGACCTTCTCCAAAGCCTGGGCAAGCAGCAATCCAGTAATGCCTGTGACTGTCAGTATACTTGTCTTCGCTTGAAAACGAGGTGAGAGACCTGTGCGTACCTGCGCCAATGATCAAGACGTGGAAGTCGTCCATCTTCCTGCAGAGCTGGTGACAGGCTGAGAACAAGACGGAGAGAAGGAGATAGATAACAAGAGTGATACTACATACCTGCCGATGCTGGTGATAGCGCGTGGCTATAGCTGCAGGGGACTTGATGAGGTACCACGGAGGAAGCTGCGCGGTCATTTGCCAACTCAACACGGGTGGATAAGATGGCACCAGTCGCAATGGCCAAAGTCCGGTATGGTGCAACAGGAAAAGATATATCCGAGCAACCTAGGTTGGTCTCGCCTGAGTAGAAGACCAACATAAAGGAGTGTCTGGGAGGGTATAGAGCACTCTTCGTATACATTGGTTTTCGTGTCAGCTATGCATCTACCAGATGGGTCATGGTCACGAAAGGAGAGTAAGACGGCACACTGATGGACAGTGCTGTCTAGCAGCTCGTCTCTGTTGGTTACATAAAGGACATAGCCATGCTTGTGGAAAAGGGATACATATAGGAGTGTTTTCCCCCTTTACCGGCCTAGCCACTTGAATAACCAACCCCTTTCCTAGAGAGCACTGGAACAACTGAATCATCCAATCAGGTCGGAAACCCCCTTTCAATTCCTTCCCAGGCTCACGTCCTTCGCGCGCCTAAGCTATGATATGAACGTTAGTGATGATTTACTACACTTTGCTATGCTATACTCTGCTGACTCGGAGTCGGGTATCTCTCTTCCTTCTTAGTCCAATCCATGCCTGCTGATACACCCCCTTCTCTACCCCTTGAGTTCAAGGGAAACCAGATGAGTGTAGAATCGGTGAGGGATGTGGCAGCCAAACATCACAAGTGCCTCCCTATACATTCCCTAGGAATCGATCCTGGTCAGTTTTCTCCCTTGTCGGAGTGGTGTGGTCCTCCCATCCATGCGTGCTGTCCCTGAACGCCGGTATCCGCGGCTTCTGCTATGGCCAGGAAATGCCACTTCGTTTCCAAATCGCTGAAAACAACGAGTGGAACGTCCTCCGAGGGCCCAAGCCGCAATTGCAGCCAACTCATTGCAGCTCAAGGCCTCCACAAGCTTCCCTGTTTGCTTCAAGGCCGAGAGGTGATCCTTCATGATTCACATGAAAGATATTCCCGGACTTGGACTCAAGTCGCACCTACAACCCAAAGCTCGACGCCCATTACATCGAACTTCTCACCCTCCTCGCTGAGGGGCTGGTTGAGGAAGGTGTCGCAAGTGGCGCTGTGGCCGCGACTGAGGGAATCGTTGAGCCACAGGCCGTACGTGCCACTGCCGCCGCCTACGGACAGGAACTTGGTCTCGGAAAACATGCAGTAGTCGTTGGCGCCCGTGTAGGCGAAGTTCTGGAAGCGGATGCTCTGCGCGCCCAGTACGGCCTGCGGCTGCGAGGGCGTGGGGGGCAGCTTGTTGGTTTTGGGGTCCGTGACTCCTGCCGATAGGTGGGTAGAGGCGGGCGAGGTCGGCGACGTCGGTGATGCTATCGTTGTCGTGCGGTAGTTCAGGTCGGTCGTGTCGGCCGAGGGAGGCGGAGGGAGCGGCGCGTGCAGGCTTGCGCGCCATAGGAAGCACTCGCCTGTGCCGTAGTATGAGGCCGCTGGGTGCGGTGCTTCTGTCAGGTATGCGCCGAAGGTCTATGTTCAAGAGGCATGGTTAGCTTTGATGATCTAGGTGTTCTATTAACCTCGCGCATAGCCTTGCTGGCTTGTACATGGACCAGCTTCGTAGGGTGTGTAAAATATAGCTACCGGCCTCAGATGGCGAGAGATGAGATAAGGACATGACTTACACCATCCTTGCCGTCGCGCACGACAAGTACGAAGCCCGCCCTCCGGCCGCGGTACTCCTCGCACAGCTGGTACAGCGTAGACAGGGAGCTGCCATTCTGGTACAGGCTGTACGTCAAGTGCCAATCCTCCATGATCTTTAAGCGCTCGGGCAGAAAAGTCCGGATCTCCTCTGCTATGCCGCGCGACAGCAGCCGCTCGTCGGCGTCGGTATCGGGACGGTACCCGCTGAGGGTCAGGGGCTCGAGCGAGGGCAGACCGCGCGGCGAGGCGGTTCTTCGCGGAGCCATGCTCGGTGGCGGCACGAAGGGGCCGTTGACGCCGTCGCCTGTTGTTGTCTCGGCGTTCAGGTGGTAGAGCTGCGACGTCGGGAGGGGAGGCGTGGGTGCTGAGGTTGGCAGGCTGTCGAGAGCTGATATCCTACGCCAGAACCCGAACACGGCGGACCCGATGCCGTAACTACCGGACTGTGAGGGCGTCTGGGATTGCGGTGGTGAGGGGCTCGAATGCAACTGAGAGGAGGGGGAGGCGTATCGAGAACGTGGTTGGGACTGCGACTGCGACTGCGATGGTGTCTGTGAGGTAGACAGGGGTGTGGACACGCCCGATGGAGGCGGCGAGTCTTCGAGGTCTATTAGGTTGACGGTATCGTGTCGGTTCATGATGTCCCACTGTCGGTCGGCAGCTCGTATCGGCGTGTCGAACTCGTGGTGGCTGGGCGAGCTGGAATGGGCGAGGCGTCTGGAGATCCGGATGCTGGACGCGGTGTCTGAATGTGACGTAGCCTGTCTTTGCCGTTGTCGTGATGGTGGGGTGACAGTGTGCTTTATGTAGCGGCCTTCAGTCGAGGGTGGAGGTATCAGTACTGGATCATTGAAGAATGCTGTTGATTTCGAGAAACATATGGTATGGTATGAATGAGTGTGGTTTTGCGGCTGGTTGCACAAATAGAGGAGGAGTTGGGTTCGGGGTGGTTTACGGGATACCTGTTAAGTTCGCCAGGCTTGGTGCAGCACTGACGTTTTCACATGTTCCGCCTCTTCCTCCTCTTCCATCCCTGACACTGGTAGACTCATTATCAGCAAACATCTTCACCCAGACCGCCTCGTTTCATCTTCATTCTATTCCTCATTAGTCTAACGCTTGCAACCCGATCTTCATGGTTTAGGTTTTGGGGAAGGCCTGTGTCTAGTACCTTGCATGACGCCGCAACTCTTGGAGCGGGATTGACGATATGGGTAGACATACAAGTATATTTCAGCTTGTGCAATGCAACACATACACATTGTACTTCCTATTCCAAACCCTTACTTCTAGCACATCAGAGGTCTGCCATCACGATTCTCTCTTCATTCGGGGCTATATTGGCTCCTTGAAACTGGTGATGCCTTCCCAAACCCCCTCGGGGCTAGGCTTCTCAGCGCAGACGTCCGGTTCGTAGTCAAATGTCCTCTTCAGATAGTCCCTCGTTGTTGGTCCAATTGTGGCAATGTAAGTTGTTCGCTTCCCAGGCAAACTTCTGGCCTTTCCCGTTCCTTCGTCCAACATGCCCAAGCCCCTGAGCATGCTGTCACACCCTGTCGGTGAGAACACGACGACCCACCGTGTCTGCCCATCTTCTGTCCTTTGTAACACGTCCTGGAAGTCTTGTGCGAACGACTCCATCACGCCCGTGCCATACACCACTGTTTCCGTCACCCTTATCCGTCTGTCGCTCGGCAGCGCGTCGTCCAGAAGTGTTTTGGGTATGATGTCTCGTCTCTGCTCTCCCACTGGGAATAGCAGCGGTGGTTTTGTCTGCCGCTCCTTATACCACTCGCCATAGTGCTCGAACATGTAGTGCGCGAGAGCTTCACCGTTTCCTGTATGCTCGCCAAAGATCTGGAGTGGAGGAGTTTGGGGGATGGCTTTCAGTGCCCGGGTCGTGGCAGGACCGACGCTGTAAATGGGTATATCCTGTAAATGCGGCCATTGGCTGTTACCTGTCGCTCGAAGTCAGACGGTAGCCAGAGATGGAAGTGCTCAATACTCCCAAACCTTTGCCCTCGTCGACCAATTTGGCGAACGCCTCGACGGCTCTTTGCGACGTGAAGATGAGGCCACCATATGCGCTGCTTGAGCCACTATTTATCTTCTTATCCTGTATCAGACTCCTGACACTCTGCATTCCATCCTCTTCGAATTGGTGTTGCAGCACTGGCACGAATGTGGGATCGAAATGGAAGCCTTCCCGCCGCGGGGTAGAAAAGAGCTCCTCGTAAGCATCGGTAGGCGTCGACTTGGTCTTGAGGAGCAGGATAGGGATCTTGCGCGTATTCGAAGCCATTGATACTATATGTCGTGTGTTTGCCCTTGGAAGTGCCAATAATCAACAAGACATGAACATTAAAGTACCGATCTCTGTCGCGACTCCAACGTGTTCCTGGCGGTGATGTCAGAACGCCGATGATCGCCAAGACCGGCTGGGCTGCAGGTGTCCAGCTTTATCGATAAACGCTATTTTTAGAGTCTTCCGGATGGCGGCGGGCGGCGGCGGGCAGGCAGGGGCCGCCCTACCGCATCTTCGCCAAGTGCATTACAAATCGTTAGGTCCATGGTCTGTCAGTCTGCGGCGTCAACATTCAAACCTGTCGCAACAGAACTGGAGAAATGAGCTGACACCCGCGCCAGCCCGTCTCCACGCTGCACGGGATTTTTGCATTCTAGCCAACACATCATGGCCGCCGACATCAGAGAACCACAACCGGGCAGTGGGCAGCCTCCACGGAAGCTGCCTCCGGGCGTGGTATTGGATAAGGATGGGAAGCCGTAAGATCCAACCAGCTCCATGCTCCCTCGTTTCTCTCATTGACTGAGTCGACTGACACGGCCCTCGCATGCGCAGTTGTCGAGCATGTAGCTCCAAGGCCTCATTCATGTCACTGGCACACAAGCAGGCGAAGCCATCCTCCAAGGCGAGCGCCGGGGCAGCGACAGCCGCAGCTACAGCCGCCGCCGCGACGGCATCTCTCCAACCTGCCAACGACTGTCCAGCCGACGTAGAGACGCTCGGTCGGAGCACCTGGACGCTACTACACTCCATCGCCGCGACATACCCGAAAGCCCCGAGCCACACCCAGCAGTCGAATCTCAAGAGCTTCATGGGCCTGTTCTCCAGGCTGTACCCCTGCTGGGTGTGCGCCGAGGACTTCGAGTCCTACATGGAGAAGGAGAAGATCCGAGTCGGCAGCCGAGACGAGTTTGGCAAATGGTTGTGCGAGGCGCATAATGCTGTCAACACGAAACTGGGCAAGGACACCTTTGACTGCTCCAAGTGGGAGGAGAGGTGGCGGACAGGATGGAAAGACGGTCGATGCAACTGACCGAGTATAGCCTCGTATAGCCTGGTTCCGATTGCGGCTGCGGGAAAGCTGGCTACGCAAGTCGCTGACATGCATACGCATGCACCAATAGAGGCCGAGGATGCCAACACTGTACAACACAACAGACTGTATAGTACCTGGTATGATAGAGGAGCAAGGGCTTAACATGGCGTTAGGTTAGACGAAGACGCAGCGACACCTCTGACTTCTAGATCTACAGATTTGTAGGATTTCGCAATGGAAAGATCTCAACTCAGGGTCACGGATGTTACGGGTGTCTCCTGCGCAAGTGAGTTGGCAAGACTATAGTATGCCGCCCTTCCGGCACTGCCAGCTGTCGAAACTAGCACTGGACTACGTATCAAAACGATGGAAACAAGGAAAGACTAGGTCGAATGCTCTGCTAGAGTCGGGCCTACTATCATTAACAAGAGTACAGTACAGTACTTTTGACGTCTGCAGTTCAATGTTGGTAGAGGGGGTCGGGTCCTTACACCGACATTGCATCATCACATGTACTCACGTTAAGCAGCAGCACTCCACTTGTCGAACCACCATCGGAATATCGTGCAATGCGACAACGGAAGTAAACCGTCGTATGCTTTTAACCCGTACCTATCAATCTCAAGCCTTGATATATAGTTAGTTGTCCTCTTCGTATGACTTGTGTCTTCTCTGCGCCTCAGCTCCTCACCTCAAGTCTACACCTATATTTGCGCATACATACTCAATCGTTATCCCAATCCCATACCCGACTGATCCACCATGTCGGACCTCAGGACGAGCAACCTGAAAAAGCCCGTTGATGTGGCCGAGTACCTCTTTGCAAGACTACACCAGATCGGCATCCGTTCCATCCACGGACTGCCAGGAGACTACAACCTGATCTCCCTCGACTACCTCCCCAAGGCCGGACTCAAGTGGGTTGGCAACTGCAATGAACTCAACGCAGGTAGGTCGAGTCTACTCCGGAACGCAATGGATGTTCACTGACACATACAACAGCCTATGCCGCAGACGGCTACGCGAGAGTCAAGGGCATCGGAGCCATCATGACCACCTTTGGCGTGGGTGAGCTCTCGGCTATCAACGGCCTGGCGGGTGCCTACAGTGAGATGGTCCCCATCGTGCACATCGTGGGATGTCCCTCGACGATATCACAACGCAACGGCATGCTGCTGCACCACACGCTGGGCAACGGCGACTTCAACGTCTTCGCCAACATGAGCGCCAACATCTCGTGTGCCGTGGCCAAGCTCAACGACCCGGTCGAGATCGCCAATCAGATCGACCACGCCTTGCGCGAGTGCTACCTGCGCAGCAAACCCGTCTACATCATGCTGCCGACCGACATGGTCGCTCGCAAGGTCGAGGGCGCCCGCCTGGACGAGCAAATCGATCTGCGCGAGCCCCCCAACGACGAGGGCAAGGAGAACTATGTCGTCGATGTCGTGCTGAAGTACTTGCACGCCGCCAAGAACCCCGTAGTGCTCGTCGACGCCTGTGCGATCCGCCACCGCGTGCTCGACGAGGTACACGATTTCATCGAGAAGACGCAGCTGCCGGTCTTCGTGACGCCCATGGGCAAGGGCGCCATTAACGAGTCGCACCCGAGCTTCGGCGGTGTATACTCAGGCAATGCATCCCAGCCTGACGTCAAGAAGATGGTCGAGGAATCGGACCTCGTGCTGTCCGTCGGCGCCCTCAAGAGTGACTTCAACACGGCGGGCTTCTCATACCGCATGTCCCAGCTCAACACCATCGACCTGCACAGCACCCACTGCGTCGTGCGCTACTCCGAGTACCCCGGCGTGAAGATGCGAGGCGTGCTGCGCAAGGTCACCGACAAGGTCGACGTCAAGCAGCTCAAGGTCTCACCCCCGCCCAAGGCTCCCGCTATCGACTTCAAGGGCATCGATGGCAAGAGCCCGATCCTGCAGTCGTGGTTCTGGCCGCACGTCAACACTTTCCTCAAGGAGAACGACATCGTCGTCACCGAGACCGGCACCGCCAACTTTGGCATCTGGGACACTCGGTTCCCTCCCGGAGTAACGGCGCTCAACCAGACGCTATGGGGCAGCATCGGCTGGGCTGTGGGTGCCTGCCAGGGCGCTGCGCTCGGAGCCAAGGACGCAGAGCAGGACCGTCGGACGATTCTGTTTGAAGGCGACGGCAGCTTGCAGCTCACGGCTCAGGAGATCAGTACGATGATACGACATAAGTTGAATATCATTCTGTGAGTAGCCCCTTATCCCTTTGACCCTTTTCTGTCTGGAAGGGTAGCCGAAGGAGCACCCCTATTCCGCCCATGGCATTTTCCAAGTGCTGCGTAATGCTAATACACCCGACTCCAGCTTCGTGATCTGCAACGACGGCTACACCATCGAGCGCTTCATCCACGGCATGGAGGCCGAGTACAACGACATCGTCGAGTGGAAGTACAAGGACCTGCCCACCGTGTTCGGCGGCACCGACGACACGGCGCGCAAGTACGTGGTCAAGACCAAGGACGAGCTCGAGGCGCTGCTCACGGACAAGGACTTCAACGAGCGCAAGGGCATGCGCTTCGTCGAGCTGTACATGCCGAAAGAGGACGCGCCGCGCAGCCTGCAGCTGACGGCCGAGGCCAGCGCGAAGAACAATGCCAAGGCTGAGTGAGTTGTCGGGGGAGGAGAGGAAGTTGTATCAGGGGAGCTAGATAAAAGCTGGCGGGTGGTAGATGGATAGATGTTGCTTTGAGGTCTCGTACTGCATTCGTCTGGGCGTTTAGCGGGCTGGTGGTTTCTTGTTGTGAGTTAGTTTAGGACCCATTTCTACTCTACTTACCGAAATTCTATACTCCGTCCGAATGTGGCGAGAAGGGTTGACTTTTAATAATGCTCTTTTAACTATAAACACTCTTTTTAACACTATCAATACACTTAGCCCTTATAAGTCTTCATACACCACCTTTTTATTAAATTACGGTATATTTATCGAATTAAAATAAGCATATTAAAATAAGTATAAAAATAGCTTATTAATGTAAAGCTACTTATTTCTTATACTCATCATAATATTTTAAATATTATAACGAGTGGTTTACAGTATTATTAATACAACGCGTATAAAGACTCCCAAAGGATAAGTATAACGTAAGCCTTACTTATCAATAAAGTAAAAGGGTTTTGTTCTCTTTGATTAAATCCAGGAGAAATACTAAGGTTTTAATCCCGGTACATAAAATTATATTGTTAAACAAAGTAACTTAAAATATATTTAATTCTAAATGATTTTATTTATTAACTTATAAATAGAACGTAATAAATACTCCGTTTAATAAACGTACTATATTATATGTTTTCTATTTAAAAGATAAACATATTTTAAAATATTATTAAAGATTTATAAAAAAAATTTGATATTTAAATAGTTTAAAAAAAGTATTAATATAAAGATTGTCAAAACAGGCTTGAACGATCAGTCATAATACTCGTGTTAGATTAAAGGTACGCCTAAAAGGCACCCTGACAGGTAGACAACGGAACCTAGTTGTTCCGTTCCGATCCAGCCCCCTCTGGCACAAAACTGCCACGGTCGCACAAGGACACTCTAGACAGGGAGAATACACACACACACTTCACTCTGACAATTGGCTCAAATCTAACAACTCGAGTATTGGGTCAAGGTCATGATGTTGCTGATGGTTTGGATTAGGAGGTCTAGCTGGACCTGAAGGTCTGGCTAAGTGACCTCGCAACCCGGTATCTAATCTCTTATCTAATCATACATGTGGGTCCTGGTATAGATGGTGTTGAATGGGAGCCGGAGATAGACACCGGAAGATCTCCAGTGGGGCAGAGACGCACAGGGCATCTGACCCACCAAGAAGACAGATAATCAATCTCTGCACGCAAAGCAACACAATCAATAGAATCGATCAACATCCTTGTATTCAACAGATGGTTCGCAGGCTGGAATCGCATAGATCCAACAAATATAAAATATTAATAAATATAGAAAATATATTTAATTAATAAAATAAATAAACAATTTTTTTTAAATAATTCAATCTTTTATAATGTCGTTTTATATTAAAAACCTTATATTAATACGTAATAAAGGTAGATTCTTAGTTATTTATTAGTTTTAATTAAAAATTAAAAATATTAAAAATTAGAATAAATTATTTATTTTAAAAATTTAATAAAACCTTATTATTAAAATATTATTAAAATATTTAATAATAATAATAATAATAATAATAATAATAATAATAATAATAATAATAATAATAATAATAATAATAATAATAATAATAATAATAATAATAATAATAATAATAATAATAATAATAATAATAATAATAATAATAATAATAATAATAATAATAATAATAATAATAATAATAATAATAATAATAATAATAATAATAATAATAATAATAATAATAACAACAATAATAATAATACTAATAATAATAATAATAATAATAATACTAATAATAATAATAATAATAATAATAATAATAATAATAATAATAATAATAATAATAATAATAATAATAATAATAATAATAACTGTTGGATCCATGCGATTCCAGACTGCAAACCATCTATACCAGGACCCACATGTATGATTAGATAAGATAAGATAGTGGATTGAGAGGGCACTTGGCCAGACCTTCGAGTCCAGCTAGATTCCTCTCAATCCAACCATCAGCAACATCATGACCTTGACCCCATACTCGAGTATTATGATTGATCGTTCAAGCCTGTTCCAACAATAACAATAATAATAATAATAATAATAATAATAATAACAATAATAACAATAATAACAATAATAATAATAATAATAATAATAATAATAATAATAATAATAATAATAATAATAATAATAATAATAATAATAATAATAATAATAATAATAATAATAATAATAATAATAATAATAATAATAATAATAACAATAATAATAATACTAATAATAATAATAATAATAATAATACTAATAATAATAATAATACTAATAATAATAATAATACAAAATAAAACGAGAATTTGCTGCTGGTCCCGCCGGATTCGGTGGATGGCGTCGCCATTTTCAGCGGCTCCAGCAGTGATTGTTGGAGTCAGAATGTGTGTACCAGTCAAGTCATATATACTTTACTAGGCTCTCGGCGCGCCCGAACATGCCATCATGTCTTGTGCGTGTTCTTGGCTTGGCACATGAGCCATTTCTGGCTCCAGTACGTCCGTCCCATTTCCTGAACCCTTCCTTCGGTTCTCTCCCTTTGCCACACTTACACGCCTACTCTGGATCTCAGGACCAGGACCCACCCAGGATGGCAGCATTGATTCATAAATGACTGCACTGCCATCTATCTCTCTTCCTTCAACCTGAGCAATAGTCATAGCTACAGTATCGTTCAAAGTGCTTGCCTCCTCGTCACCATGACCACTCCAACTTTACATACCTCCACAGACCAAAATGCGGATTTCCTTAAGCGCTTCTCTTCCTTCGAAAACAAGAAAAGGCAACATCCAAAGCCTCTGTCGCTTGAGGAGCACGTTCAGTTTCGCACGCGTGCCAAGTCTGTAAAGTACGTCAGACCAAAGCTATCAGAGGGAACAGAGATCAATATTGGCGGGATACTGGGCAAGTGGAAACGGTATGCCCTACGGAAACCTTCACTTTTCAAACCTTCACTTCCTGTTTTTAGCTGATCCGTGTTTCAGTTTCTGTAAAGAGCTTCTGAAGACAGAAGACTGGCGGACAGTCATCAAGACGATAGAGGTGTCGACTATTATAGATTTCTGCCTACACATATGCGAATCGGACAGAGTAAAGGCTCAAGAGTCATTGAAGCAGTATTTTCGGCGATTCCAACAGTTATACACTTCCCAAACCGGGAACTTCATGAACCGTAATGATGCTCATTTGGTCTACGCGGTTAGTAATCATATCAACCCAGAGCATGCTCTAATGACTGACTAGTTCATAGTATATGCATGCCGTTCTTGTTCCACTGTACCGCCTTCGTCCTCCCAATACCAACAAACCAGTTCTAGGGGTGGAGGCACTGCATTCTATCCTGACTTTCAACATCGCCTACGATCCAGCCATTCAACCTCTCGAAAGGCAACGTATCCAACTATCAGGCTGTTACCAACTCCTTTGCTACACAGGCGTGCGGCCGGCTGAGCTCGTCTGTAACGAGCGAAAAAAGCCTAAAGACGGCACGGTGGAAGAAATCTTCGGTATTAATGGCGTTTCGTCCATTTGCACTGATTCTCGCCTTATAAACAGCACTGGGCAGGGGGAACTTGACGAGAACGAAGTCGAAGAGATTCCAGATAAGGGCGAAGGAGAGGTAGGGGTGAGCAAGAACAGAGGAGAGCAGCAAGGTAAGGATCAAAAGTCGTTGGTCCTTTCCCGGCTGCTATTACAGGAGACAGTTGAACGTGGAAGACCAAAGGCCCTTTGCTACGAAGACATTCTGCTGATGATAGTGCGTCACCCGGAGTCTGGTCGACCGATCCCGGCGATGGCTATCAAATTCGTCCACCACAAAGGGTGCGACAATAAACCAAGACCGTAAGTTGAGTTAGGGGATTCCTCCTTCATGACAATGTTAACTAGCATTCGGTACTAATAAGTCTCTAGTACCATCTTCTACTTTACTCCAACAAGAAAATTGATCTTCTGTCCGGTGAGCCTGATGATTGGTATAGCTCTTGATGATTGCGCTTTTGACGCTCCAAGCTTGGTTGATGCCTCAAGTGTGATGAAGGTAAAACCATGGGGGCCCATGCAATGCATTCCACTGCGGTGGAAAGAGTCAATGCGCAGGAAAGCCGTGTTCCGACGTATCAAGGGTGCGGAACTTTCAGATGACGAGGCCATGGTTTATGCTAAGCTCCGTGATGATATGGGTGAGCAGAGTCTCAATGCCGGGTTCGAGGAGCGATGGACTCCGAAGTTCTGCCGGAGAGGCGCAGGCAATGCTGTGAATGGTACGTGCAAGCTACCTTCGATTATGACAGACATTTTAATCACAGATCACCTAGGCGACGCACCGGATTCGATCCGGGATCAGATGATGCGTCATGATCCAAAGTTTGCTACCTTTCACGGTGCTTACCAAAATCACAACCTTCAATTCGACAGCCAGAACGCATTCCTGGAGGAGGAGAAACAGGTCCAGCTATTCAAACTCTTCGCCCACGTCAGTATCTCGCGGGATCCTCGTGCAGTGAGAGACATGGTTCCCGAGGATGTATGGAGTAATCTCCCACCAGACCCCGAGATCAGCGAGCTCGAAGAGCTACGTGCCGAACTCAAGGGCGGCCAGCATCGACTTGTCGGTAATGAGCATGAAGCCAAGATCCGCCAGCTTACCTACACCATCTCTTTGAAGCGTACAAATCGCGATAAGCTCGTTGTCAAGAAATATCGCGAAGACTACTTCTACAATGGTCCTACCCGGGACATTGAGCGGCAAGCCTGGGGGGAAGAGGAAGATGAATACGTAGAGCCGAAGCTGGATCTGGACATCCCCGAACGCGCTCGACTGGCTGAGCTGCTGTGCCATCAACCAGAGCATTGGAGCGAAGAACGGATCTCGGAAGCTCGAGTTGAGGTTATTGACCTATACGCAGCTCTTTGTAAGAAAAGAGAGACGGTTAAAAGAAAGCTGATCCGTGCAAGACAGGGTGATGCACTAGCTCAGCCTAAGCCTGCATCACCGCAACAGTTGCCTTTGGTTCTAAAGTTGAATCAGTGTCCGGACTGCATAGGGGATGAGAGAATCTCTCACGAGGAGCGTTCTTACAAATACTGCCGCGGTACCGTTAGGAATGACCATTTTGATGATCAGCACCTGCCAGTTCGTGAGCGTGCGGCTTCGCGTGGAGAGCTTCAGGTTTGCAGACATCCAGATTGCATCAAGGCCGGGGTCAAACTAGGTAGTTTGGATGAGTTCAGAAACCATGTACAGAAGGTTCACAATGTGCCTCTTCGATCTGCTGATCAGGCACAAGCCCGGCGGATGCGGAAAGCACGGGCTAAAAATCAGGCACGTCAAAGGGTTTTTAGCTAGATGAACTATACGAGCGTATATTATTTCAAATCGCCCGATGGGCTGGCACCAAATCCTTGGGGCACCTATAGCTTTCTTCATGATCGATTTGGGCCTATAAACTTCGTTTGATCATCTATTGCAGACGATTTGGAGTATGTCGCTAAAGGAGGCTTCTGATGACTTGTGGTATGCGCGTCGTATCTGGTGTAGGGGAGGCAGAAACGCATGGCGGGCAGAACCATCGCACTGGCAGAAGAGCCTTGGCTGGCAGAAAGAGCTTAGCGCTGGCAGAAACGCTCGGTTGCTAGAAAGAGCTTAGCGCTGGCAGAAACGCATAGCTGGCAGAAAGTGCTTAGCGCTGGCAGAAACGCATGGCTGGCAGAAACGCTCGGCTGGCAGAAAGAGCTTAGCGCTGGCAGAAACGCTCGGTTGCTAGAAAGAGCTTAGCGCTGGCAGAAACGCATAGCTGGCAGAAAGAGCTTAGCGCTGGCAGAAACGCTCGGTTGCTAGAAAGAGCTTAGCGCTGGCAGAAACGCATAGCTGGCAGAAAGTGCTTAGCGCTGGCAGAAACGCTCGGCTGGCAGAAAGAGCTTAGCGCTGGCAGAAACGCATGGCTGGCAGAAAGAGCTTAGCGCTGGCAGAAACGCATGGTTGGCAGAAAGAGCTTAGCGCTGGCAGAAACGCATGGCTGGCAGAAAGTGCTTAGCGCTGGCAGAAACGCATGGCTGGCAGAAAGTGCTTAGCGCTGGCAGAAACGCATGGCTGGCAGAAAGTGCTTAGCGCTGGCAGAAACGCATGGCTGGCAGAAACGCTCGGCTGGCAGAAAGAGCTTAGCGCTGGCAGAAACGCTCGGTTGCTAGAAAGAGCTTAGCGCTGGCAGAAACGCATGGCTGGCAGAAAGAGCTTAGCGCTGGCAGAAACGCATGGTTGGCAGAAAGAGCTTAGCGCTGGCAGAAACGCATGGCTGGCAGAAAGTGCTTAGCGCTGGCAGAAACGCATGGCTGGCAGAAAGTGCTTAGCGCTGGCAGAAACGCTCGGCTGCCAGAAAGTGCTTAGCGCTGGCAGAAACGCATGGCTGGCAGAAAGAGCTTAGCGCTGGCAGAAACGCATGGTTGGCAGAAAGAGCTTAGCGCTGGCAGAAACGCTCGGCTGCCAGAAAGTGCTTAGCGCTGGCAGAAACGCTCGGCTGCCAGAAACGGACGCTCGGCTGCAGAAAGAGCTTAGCGCTGCCGGAATAACCTTGGCTGGCAGAAACAGATTTCCCAGGACATCCATCTGTCCCAGGACATCCATCTGTCCCAGGACATCCAATTCTGTCTCAGGACGTCCATCTGTCCCAGGACATCCAATTCTGTCTCAGGACCACTTTTGTCCCAGGACGTCCATCTGTCCCAGGACATCCAATTCTGTCCCAGGACGTCCATCTGTCCCAGGACATCCAATTCTGTCTCAGGACCACTTTTGTCCCAGGACGTCCATCTGTCCCAGGACAGGACATCCAATTCTGTCTCAGGACCACTTTTGTCCCAGGACGTCCATCTGTCCCAGGACATCCAATTCTGTCCCAGGACGTCCATCTGTCCTAGGACATCCAATTCTGTCTCAGGACCACTTTTGTCCCAGGACGTCCATCTGTCCCAGGACAGGACATCCAATTCTGTCTCAGGACCACTTTTGTCCCAGGACGTCCATCTGTCCCAGGACATCCAATTCTGTCCCAGGACGTCCATCTGTCCCAGGACATCCAATTCTGTCTCAGGACCACTTTTGTCCCAGGACGTCCATCTGTCCCAGGACAGGACATCCAATTCTGTCTCAGGACCACTTTTGTCCCAGGACGTCCATCTGTCCCAGGACATCCAATTCTGTCCCAGGACGTCCATCTGTCCCAGGACATCCAATTCTGTCTCAGGACCTTACCTTGCGAGACGTGTCCTCCGTGGATTGTTCTCCGCCAGGGAGGGATGTTGACAAGAGTACCTTTGGTCACTTCCTCATTGCTGTCATCACCCACCAGACCAGGGGAAGGAAGCATCTAGCATCTTATGAGCTATGCAAGACAAGCAGATTTGAGTCGTGGGTTCAAAAGTCTATTCGCTAGGCCTATTACAAGGTACACGCACCCCCGGATAGCCATCTAGCCCACACGCTTCCAGCCAGAGGCCCTGGACCAGACCACTAGGTGGCCGGCAGTATTCGCTTCATAGATACTTTGATATCATTTAGCCGTGGCTTTTCCACGACCTGTCGCATTCTGGGCACAACTTCCCAGCCTTTTTTGTGACCTCTTTTAGTACCTTTGTTTTCCACTTCGCACATATCACGTAGCACCGGCAGAGCGCCGCTTCGGCCTCCTTCACATATTTCGCCTCGTAGGAACGTAGGCCGAGGAGGATGCTCTCTAGTAGCGGCGTGCAATGCTCCTTTGTCATCTCTCTCTTCTCGTTATCAAGGATCAACATCGTTTCTGATGGTGCGATGTGGGGCGTTGTGAACTGTATACCCGGGGTGAGCCCGCCTCTCAGCGTCATGGTCGCGTGGATGCAGCCGGGTGGCAGGTAGAGTGCTTCCACCGCCGTCTGGATGCAGAACTCTCCTTTTTCTAGCCGTCCCTGCAGCGCAATGAACAAGGAGTTCTTGTCATACACCTCGGACAGCTTGGCCTTGTTGTGATCCGACAGGGGATACAGCGCCCATAGCTTGACGCAGTCTTCGAAAAGCGCCGTCAGCCCGTGTCTCCCGTGGTCTGCCCGGTGTTTTCAGCTCTCATCCTGCGCATAGTTCGCCACCCGTCCACTTACCGACGTGTATGTCCACAAAAGAGAATTGTGGGGTGATGTTCGTGGTGGTCCTTACGTCTTCGGGGTCTAGGTTGTATATTCCATATAAGCACCGCAACAACGGGGATGGGCCCGTGAGCGGGACTGACTGTACTTATTTTCTTGAGACCTCCACAACCCTGCGATGCAGAGGCTCTGGGAGGCGTGGTTTGCACTACTGAGGAGCTACCCCCCACGTTAAATACAAAACAAACAAAACAATTCCATATAAGCACTCGGGAATTCGCATCACCGCCGACTCTGCCTCCATGTTCACTGCATAAAACGTGCTTTCCGGGTCGGGGAACCAAAGTTGCTTCACCACTTGGGTAATGGGTGCGCTGGCGCAGGGGAAGTGGCCGTTCCCGCGTAGGTAGATACGGGTCTTCTTCTTGCTGAAATCATCCATAAGGTCATCCAGGAACTCATCTGTCGACGGCGGCTTCCTCTCCCAGCACTGTCCCGACGTCACGAAAAATGGGGCCTTTAGGCCCATGTCATCCGACTCCCTGGACTTGTTCATGTTGGCCGTGCCACCTGCGCGCGCGATCTCCACACGGAACGCGGAAGACAGCGGCGCCAGCGGCGACAGTCCCTGATCCGAGATCGCGAGAAACTCACGCAGAAGCTCCTCCTTGTCTAGTGGCCTCGCTCCTCGTTCCTTTTGCTCCTTTTGCTCCTTTTGCTCCTTTTGCTTCTTGTTGTTTATATGCTTGCTTCGTTTTGTGTGCTTGAGCCAGCTGTAATAGGTTATGTCCTCCTCGCAGTACTCGCAATGTATCTTGTGTGTACCTGCTTGTTGCCGTAGCTTTCTAGCCCGGTTGGGCGACCGGCGCGGCTTTCGGATTCTGTTGGGCGACTGGTGCTGCGGTGGTGGTAGGTCTCCCATAGTGGTTTTCGTGCCCTGCTCGTCGATATAGCGTTGCTCGTGTCCAGGTAGTAGTGGTGGCGGTGCACTGGCCGTGACTATGTGCCGCTTGCGACTTGTTTGAGCACGGGTAAATCGTGTCGGGCTGGTCAGTTACCAGTGGTGGTGGTGGTGCTATGGTCGTTGCAGCAGGAACTGTGCTTGTTGGTGGTGTAGTGCGGCCGTTCACGAGTATGGAAATACGGGCTTTTATTTTTTCCGTTCCTGCTCCAAGTAGTATGCAAAACAGACAAGGGCTATAATCAATCTGGAGACACAAACACGGATGGCCGATGCGCGGCTGATGCACGGCTGATGTGTGGCTGATGCATGGCTGATGTACCATGCCCCACCCATCACTCGGCCACCCCCACCACTCGGACTGCTGCCACACACCAAAACATCAACAACTTCACTTACAGCGAAATCAGTCAATTCATGGTGTTTTCGGCTGAGAAAACGTTCAATCTACTCTTCTATGGCGGTTTAGTTATCGTATATAGCCAGCCGGCGACTCTGTCGGCCCAAACGAGTCTCCCTAGGGGCCACAATCTCCTCTTCTTCTTCCGAATCAGAGCTTTTATCCTCTTTCTCCTCATCAGTGGTATCTTCAACAACCACTGGCTGGGCGGCCCTGCGGCCTCTCTGAGGCTGTCACGGCGTTAAAGGGGCCGTTATCGAGTGGTTGAAGCCCGTGGGAGGTATGTGCTGGAAGAAAATAAAGCTAAACGTTATTCAAGAAGCACGTGTGTCGATACCATCCCTCACCCGGAGGAGGGAGGACACGATACGACCCGCTGCTTAGATGCAGTGGCTATCTACGGACGAGATCTGCTAGCTGGGCAGCTGTATATCATATAGTATGAGACCTAGCCTAGCACGCCCGCGCGCCCTTTTGGAGGCCCAGGGCCGCCGCTTTGCGGCAGGCCCCCTGGCGTTAAATGCTACTACTACTACTACTCCTCTCTCTCCCTGTACACGCGGCACCTTTTATCCCACGCCATATGGTTCCCTGCACAGTTCCTGCACTTAGCTCTCTTCCGATTGGTGTTTGAAGGGCAGTTAAGTTCCCCTCCTTCGTGTGGTGCTCCGGCACACCTGCCACACCTCGGCTTGTTTTGGCAGTATTTTGCCGGGTGTCCAAAGTCGTAGCACTTGTAACATTGTTCGACTCGGACGTTCTTTGTGAACGGCTCGCAAGAGTAAATTGCCGCTTTCCATACCAGCCCTTTCTCGCATAGCTTTTGGGCCTCCGTTATGTCATTCACCCGTAGCACTAACGTTGCGTGTCGGTGCTCCGGGTTTCTTGGGAAGATGGGGTGCATTTTCCCGATCTTTGGCGCATGCTGCTGTATCTCCCTTAGAAGCTCTTCCGGCTTTGTGTGAGCTTCCCGCAAAATGCGGTGCAGAAGACTTTTCGCTATCACCGTGAATTCACGGCTCGACTGTTCCGCCGTTGCCCCAAAGGCAGCTCTAATCCACGTTGCTGTCCCCTCCTTGTACTTGTTTGCCGTATCAAGGAACGTAACCGCGACGTCCCCGCTGGGAAGTACCGCTTCTTGTGCGCCAATCGCCATGTTTACCGCTTGTACCGTTTTGACGGCCGTCCTCTTCGTTATTTCTGGGACGCTTCCGGAGTTTCGAATGATAACCTCCCGCTGAATCCGCCCCGGCACGAACACTTTTGGCGTGTTTATCGTTACGGGTCCGCCTGCCGCGGCCACGTTGGCCCAGGACCGTGGTCCTGTTGTCCCCGGTACTGCTTGGGGTGTCTTTGGCATAAATCGCCGGAATGCTGCTTCGATGGACCTGTTGAGTTCGTCTCGCGTGATCGCTTCGGTGTCTCGATTTCCTGTCGTAATCGTTGCCGTGTTTGCGGTGGCCTCGGTGGCCTTTCGCGCCTCTATGGCTGCATACCTATGGACTACCATCCCCCCATAGAAGTCGTACACCCCCACTAGTCGTACAGCCAAACCCCACCATCACCACCAAAACGCTCCCTTATTCACTTATACACCAATGAAGCCATTCAGGTCAGAGAAATACAGCGAAATTGTCATTCGAAAGCGCTGAAGCTTTTCAAGCCTAATATCTAGCCGGCGCCCGAATGGCTCGCCCGGATCGCGATAGGCGAGGCTCCTGTATAGCCTCCAAAACGTCCTTATCAAGAGGGTCATCCTCATCTTCCTCTTCGTCCTCCGACTCAACAACTATCTCTTCTTGTACTTCTGCGCGTGCAGCAGGGCTAATGGTACCTCCATGGGATAGTATTTCCGTCACCTTTTTGAACTTCCCATTAGGATTAGGGATCTTCTGCCGCTTCTTCGGCCGTAGCCGCTCCAACTCAGCCTCTAGAGCCTTGATCTTCCGATCTTTTATAACAACTTCGGTCTCCTTGGCTTCGAACGCGTTGGCTATCTTCCTGTACTTCAGCCTGGTCCCTGGGGACTTATTTTTGCCGAAATCCATGATCTGGCGGCTCGTAGTAGGCGTCCGTTGGTCCTCTGGTTTAGAGCTTTCAGGGGTATCAGGCTCAGGGGTCTTTCTCTTCTCTTCTTGTATCTCTGGGTGCTGTAAGCACTTCCTGCGGCTAATAGGATAACATCCAGTAACTTTGAAGCCCGAGAGGATGTTTTGCTTAGTAAAAGCAGAAGTTCTGGTATGATAATGTCAGCATATTAACAAGATATATAATTTACTTCAAGACTTACGGTGTAGGAGATGACGTTTTAAATGTTTGGCGTGGAGGTAAGTCTTGGTACAGTGAGGGCAAGGAAACTTTCTATCCGCATCCTTTTGAGGAGTCACCGTGTTCTTGGACGTGCCGGTACCTGTGGGGGTGGCGGCTCTCCCGGCAGCATTGGGAAGGATACCGCGACGGCCTTGGGGCTTAACGATATGGGTGGCCTGTTGGGCGTCCTGGACTAGCAATCTCTCATGAGATATCATGGAGTGTCCGCCATAAGCAGAAAGTCGGCGGGTCTGAGCCATAACGCTTCCAGCGGGAGTGAATGCGGATTTCGTTCCTTGCCCCCTTGCGTGCGTGAATGTCATGTCCCGTGATAACACTACAAAGGCGGAAGGCTGGCCAAGCAGAGTAATTTGCGGCTCAGAGACCGAGCGGCAAAAGTAGGACCTATCATAGCAGGACAGTTCC